CTAAGCATCCAAAAATATGTCGAAGGCACCTCGCTCGCCCATGCTCGCTGGGAGCAAGCGCGGCGAAGGCATGAACTTACTGGAGGCCGCCACGATAACAGTGATCACTGGTCTATTCATCACTGCTCTGCTCACCGGTGAGGGCAACGAGACTATGGCAGCGGTGAGCTACCTGCAGTGGCTTCTGTCAATGGTGATATTTTTGGCGCTGAGTGTCGAGCGGGACGAGCATAACGAGAGGATCACAAGCGTGTACGAGTCGGTAGGGAGGATGTCCACGCTTCTGGTGGAGCAGCTTGCGAGGATATTCCATGACATCGACGCCATGCTGAAGAGGGAGGAGCTGAGCAGGGAGGATGCGCTGCTGAAGGTGCGGCAGGAGCTCTGCTCCGTCATGCAGATGGTGATCTCCGAGCCTCACCGAACGAGCTTCGCCCTGCCGCAGCCCGTCGAATTCATGCTCGACGAGTTCGTCGCCCAGAGGGTGCAGGAGAGGGTGGCGCAGGAGATGGATAATGTTTAATGAAAAAAAAAAACAAGAGCCTTACCTCCTCGGTCACAAAACTTCGTTCTCCTGGACCTTATCCCATGCATGAAAGAATCGCCATCTGCGGGAGGATGTGCGCGGGAAAGACGACCCTGGCGTCCAACCTCGAGTGGGACCATGGTTTCAAGAGGCTGAGCTTCGCCGAACCCATCAAGCGCTACGCAGGGGAGATCTTTGGCATGACGGGCAAGGACCGTGCGCTGATACAGGATTTTGGGCAGAAGATGCGGGAGATCGACAATCAAGTGTGGATCAAGCTGATGGAGCGGAAGCTTGACTCTCATCCCGATCAGAGGGTGGTGATCGACGATGTGAGGTTCTGGGATGAATTCCTGATGCTCCGGGACCGGAAGTTCTTGCTGGTAAGGTTGGACGTCGGGAAGGAGGAGCAGCTCAGTAGGCTCAGGAAGCTCTACGGGGAAAAGGCGGAGGGTCACATCCAGCGGCTCCAGCACGAGTCGGAGGGCTACGTCGATGAATTCCCCGTCGACCTAAGGTTTTCGAGCTGTAGCGATGCTCTACACTACCTTTGCACTCCCTGATTAGCAGGCAAGGTCTGTATATAAATAAATATGCTCATGCTTAAGCTATGGGTACCAAAGGCACTTCTACTCTCCTTTCATCTTCCAAATCCTCCTTGGGATTATCTGCGTACACCATGCTCGAAGTGACCTGGGGGACTTCGGCCATGGTCTGTTTCCGGGGTGGCGCCTGCAGCGCGGAGGGGAGGAGGTAGGAGGCGGTGTCATCCTCGTCGATCTCGAGGAGGGCCTTGAGCTCCTCTTCGAGTTCTGCGTCGTCGAGGTCCTCCTCCCTTCCAAGGCGGGACGACATGAGGTCGGACATCTCCTTGGCGTCGAGGTGGGAGTCTTCGAGGTCGGACATGAGGGTGTCGACGTCGTCGATCTGCTTGTGTATCCCGAGACTCTTCATGGCGGTGGCCGTCTGTTTCACGGTGGTGATGAGTGTCTGGTCGATCTCCGTGTTGTTCAGAACGTCGAGGTGGTGCTCGAACGACTCGCGCTTGCGAACTATCTGGGTGAGGCGGACGCGCTTCTGCTTGCACTTGAGGAGGAGGGGCTTCAGGGCCTTCATGCCGGCCGAGCGCTTGCCCTTGATCTGCTGCGTGAGGGCGGACAGCTCGCTGCCGAGCGCGTCCTCCTGGCCCCGCAGGTGGTCGATGCTGACGACCAGGCCGTTGATGGCCTGCGCGGTGACGGCCTCCTCGTCCCTGTACAGCCCCGTCAGGCGTAGGACGCGTATCCACCCGGAGGCGAAGACGCCGATGCAGCCTGGCATCCCTTAAAAAGGGGGTTGTGTATTGCGAGGGAGCGACCGGCCCGAGCCTATATAAATTCAGCCCGGGCGCCTGATCAAACGTATATGTCAGGCTCCGCGCAGGTTGCATCCTCGGTGGATCTCCGGACGAGGTGGGGCGCTTTCGAGTCGGCGTGGGGCAAGCATCGGGACATGGCAGGGCTGTTCTCTCGCGGGGGGCTGCCCTCCAACACGGCGAGCAAGCTGAACCGGGAGGGGGTAGCAGCGTCGTGCACTCCCGCGGTGCAGGTCCTGGAGCCGGAGTCCCCGTTCGCGCTGTACGGGGTGACGATCAAGGCGTGCGGGGAGAGGAGGCCCTCCTTGCAGGTGGCGGGCAGGGCGTCCTCTGTCCTCAAGACCAATTCTTTCGTCTCGGGCTCGCTGCTCGAGCAGGACGCCGCGGACGTGATGGGGTCCTACGGGGAGCTGGGCAAGGCTTGGCGGTACGCCTCCAGGGCCATCCAGGCCCAGAGCCCCGAGGCCAGCGTGGTGCTCTCCTTCTGCTGCGACAAGGCGGCGACCGTGGGGACCAGCACCCGCTTCGCCTCCGTGCAGGTGCACAAGGGCGTGTGGAGCATCCCGGAGGGCTGCGAGCAGGGGTCGCTGAGGGTGCGGAGGTCGACGGTCTCGCTCGACGGCACCGTGCTGGCGGAGACGGTGAACGTCAGCATGCGGAAGCACCCGGAGATGCCCATCAGCTCCGTCACGCTCACCACCACCATGCTCGCGCCGGACGCCCCCTCCGCGGTGCTCTCCCACGCCGCCAACCCCAGGCTGCAGCAGGCGGTCAGGGAGGAGACGCCGGTGCAGTGCCACCTGGTGCTCGGCCTCCCGCAGCCCATCGCCTGCTACGGCGTGCCCGGCGACATCGTGGAGGGCGCGCCCGGCTGCCCCGTCCAGCAGGGCATCGCGGGTTTGGTTGGGCTGAAGACGCAGTGCAGGCTGTCCGGGCAGGGGTTCGGGCAGGGACCCGCCGAGGGCATCCTGACCCTCCTCAACCGCGAGCTCGGCAACGTCTCCTCCACCTTTGGGATCTGCAACGAGGACCAGCTCAAGGCCGCCGTGTTCAATGGGTCGGGGATGGATGTGGTGGTGGTGTCTTCGCTCACCTGCTTGCCGGTGTGAATGGAATTGTAGGGAAGTTATTCTTCTTACGTTTAATGAAGCTTACTACGCGTGCGTGCTAGCTATGGAGGGTTGCTTTGTCTAGCGCAGCTTCTTCAGCGCATCCAAGTAGTCCCTCCTCATGTCGATCTCCTTCTTGCCGACCTTCTTGTACTCCTTGTCGAGGTCGGCGATCTTCGCCCTGCGTGCCGCCTTGGTTTCTTCCTTCTTGGCCTTTTTCAGGGCCTTCTTGTGAGATTGGATGGCGGAACGCAGCTCGATCCGTTCGTCCTGGAGCGTGTCAAGCTGCTGCCTGATGGCCTCTGCATGCTCGTGTGCCTTGAGATAAGTCTGGAACATATCTGAAGAGATGCTTCCCTGGTGACCGGCTTCATTTAAATACATTGCAGAAAAAAAATAAGAAGACTAAAGAAATCCCGGGGCAGACACCTGCACCCCGCACGCCCTGAGCGCCTCGACGATGGAGCGTACTATGCGGTGCTCGGAGTCCGGGAGGTGGTTCTCCTTGGCGGTGACGACGAGGTCGGCGGCGGGGAGGACGGCGATCTGCTGCTGCTCGTAGCTGTCGAGCGGCTTGTTGTCGAAGATGTAGGGGAGGTCGAGCTGGTCGCTCTGGAGGACGATGTTGCTTTTGTCCTGCCCCTCCCATTCGAACAGCCCGTGGTGGCGGTGGGGGAGCTGAACCCCCGGGGCTGTATCATGGAGGATTTCAAGTGCCTCCCCCATCGTTTTGAGCGTCAGCCCCTCTCCTCTGGAATGAATAACAAAGACGGTGTGCAGGTTTGATCTGCCTACAACCCCCACCCAGGACTTGCTCTCCTGTTCCTGCATGATCCTCTCCGAGAGCGTCATGTGCATGGGGTGAAGCTGCGGCCAGTCCGTCTCCATCGCCTCCAGCATGCTCTCCTTCGCTGCCTGCCATGGGATGGACTGGGTATAACTACCTTTTTTTTTGGTTAAAAAGAGAGAGGGATTGCCTTCGTACAGTCACATCGGCAGAGCCGTGGTTGGTATACAATCAAGATGGAGGGTACAATGGGAGACACTTCCGATCTGTACGGCAGGATCGCATCCCTGGAGTTGAAGATGCAGAATATCCTGCACCGCGCCCACAATATCTGCACCTTCCTGGGAATGGAGCAGCAGCTCGACATGAAGTCGGAGATCCTGCGGGACTTCTACTGGATGTGCATCGATGAGGCGGCGGGGTTGCAGAGGCAGATCATGGATCTTATCAGTGTGAGGGAGAGATTGGACAGGAAGAGGAGCCTGGGGGATGATGCGAGCGCATTGTTCATAGAAAAAAAAGTAAAAGCGTATGAAAAAAAATAAAGAGTTAGGAATGAAGTTTAATCATTCTGACTACGCGTGCGAGTGCTAACGTCTAGATCATGTGGAAAGTACCTCTGAGGATGCTTTGATGGGTTCCATACAGGTAATCGATGCCACGGAGTGTGCGACGAAGGTTCTCGAGCACGTAAAGGCGGTGAGCTTCTGGCACTTCTCTCTCATCGGTAGGGAGGGGAAAACGCTCCTCAATGATTTGCCGGACAAAGCATGGAAGCTCGTTGTATTGCGAGTCGTACACAATTGAACTCGGTGTGACGTACAAATTGCTCCATCTGGCCATGAGTTTGTCCAGTGCAATGACAGCCTCGGTACGTTGTTCAGCAGAAAGGATGATGTTTTGAAACATGATTGTTTTCAGGTGTAGGTTGCATCGATATTACTCTTAAATATAAAACCAGTTTCAGCGCAGCGTTCATAGAAAAAAAATAAAAAAGGAAAACTAAAAAAAAACTAAAAAAAACAACTAAAAAATCCCCCGCTTATAAAAGGCGGGACGGGCCGCGGATTTCCGCACCCTCCCACGCGCCTCCCGCCGCCATTGCATGGGACCCACTGTCTTGTACACGCAAAGGGAACAGCAGAAAAGTTTTGATCCCAGAAACCAGAGATCTTCGAAGAATGTTTTCATCTTCAACATCTACCGAACCTTCCACGTCGTCCAACGACCCGCCGTTTCCTTCCTCCAAGGCCTCGCCTGCATCCTGCTCGCCTTGCTCGTCGCCCTCCAGGCCCTCCAAATCCTCATCATCCTCCACGCCTACGGTGCTGGACAGCGGAGGCCCGCTTCCCACCTCGCTGGAAGGGAGTGCTACCGGGATCTTGACCGTGCCTTCTTGCTCCACGGGAACTACCGGAGGGGCTCCTTTCAAGCTTCGACTCACCTCCCCGGAGGAGTGTGTGCGCCTCTTCCTTGAGTCGGAGCGGGTGGATGCGACGATGGTGCTCCTCGCGCTCGTGCCACAGAAGAGGATCTCGCTGGTGCCTTACTTTGTGCCTCCGGGTGAGGTCGAGAGCGTGAAGAGCGGGTGCCACGGCCTTCATCCCAAGTTTCCCGTGCGGCTTTTGGAGGTCCTGGGTGACGACATGGTCGACGGGGGCCTTGGGATGGCAAAGTTGGAGAGTCAGCCTTGGGTGCGTGGGGTCTACGCACGGCTATGCGACGCGCTCCCACCGGACGCCTGGTTCCCGTGCCCCCCGCCCATCCGTGTCTACTGCGAGGACATCCGCTGCCTTTGGCTCTATGCCCACGGGGACTGGGGTAACGAATCCCCGGACGTCGCGCTCCTCCCGCTGCTCAACGACATGGTGGAGTTCCTGCATGGCAGGCTCAGGCACCAGGTGTACGTGTTTGCTAGGTGCTGCATGCGAGGCTCGTCCGTGAGTGTGGCGCTCAGCGTGATGATGACCTCCAGCGACTGCGGGTGGTTTCGGGACTTTTTCGTCGGTTTCGTGAGGGCCAAGGGACAGGCCGTGTACTCCGCCTACCCGGCCTTGAAGACCTACGTTGGGGACCTGGGGGTGCAGAGCCTAAGGGTCCTGGACTGTGTGATGGATCCTTCTGTGCGCAAGGTCAACGTCTATTCCTCCCCCTATACCTGCCCCTTGGATAGGAAGGATCCGTCGCTCGAGGTAGACCTGCGCAACGCGGGGGTGACACCGACAGAGATGGGCAGCTACCTGAGCTTCATGCAGGTGGACGCTTCCGGCTTTGCCAGCTCCCCTGCGATACCGATTCAGAAGAAAGGGTCCAAACGATTCAAGATTAGTAAAGCGATTGCTAAAGACAAGGAGAACGTCAACCCACACTGCCTGTTTTAAGTGCTATTAAGCCGTAATCCCTAATTATAATGTGTGCTAAGTACAAACACGAACAATACTTCCCGTTCTTGTTACCGCAACCTTCACCTTCATCTCGGGACGTCAACCTCCCGGGGCCTTAAATATGCTACTCCATGCCCCCTCTCGCTCCACGGATGCACTCGGTTTTTTTTGTTGTGCACTTGTTGCTCCGTATGACTCCCGGGATGCATAAAAGCGATCGTTGTTCTTACCCGTTCCAAAATGCTCATCTGCGGCATCGCCAACCCGACGGGGGAGGGCGAGGGCTACAACGGGCTGCACCTCAAGGATAGCGAGATCGACGAGATCATCGCAGGGCGGGAGATGGTCGGCCTGCCGGTCAAGATCGAGCACAAGGGGGTGGGCATCGGGAGCGTCGTCTCCGCCTTCAAGGACCGGGAGGGGCGCCTGAACTGCGTCATGGAGCTCAGCCCGGACGAGGTGGAGGGCGCCATCGCACAGGAGTGGGTGCGAGACAGGACCGCCAGCGAGCTGTCGCTCGGGTATGTCGTGGACATCAACCAATCGGGAAGGGGGGAAGGGGAGCGCCTCCGCGCGGGAAAGAAGAAGGTCCTCGAGGTGAGCATCGTCAGGAAGGGCGCCAGACAGGGGTGCAAGATCTACGGCGGGGATGCCCCGCATTCAAATCAGTCCAATGCCTTCCCCGTGCCCTCCAGCGCGGAGATCCTCAAGGACTGGGGCGTGGCGTTCGAGCTGTGAATATTTAAGCGGCCTGCCGGCCGCGATGCCATCTTGTAACAGATATGGTTAACATTACACACATCGTCGAGGCACGCAAGTCCGCCAACAAGCTGACTATCCTTCAGCTCAGCAGGTTGTATGAAGAGCCTCTGTCCTCCATGGCCGAGTATGGCTGCTACCGTATCGAGATGCGCAAGCACATCAATACAAACAGTATGAAGATCGGACAGATGAACAACGCGCTCATTCAAGTGACCAAGGAATACTACATGGAGTATCTCCCCTGTGTCTACCAGGCTGACTCTAACGAGCTCAGGGTCATCATCGACCTCCTCTCCGATTTCATTCATGTTTTCGAAATGGCTCGTAATGAGATCGAGGTCTTGGCAGAGGAGATCGTGGAGCTGGACGCGGCCCTGAACAGCACCGGACTGATGTACTAGGATGGCTGGAGGAATAGGATAGTGCGACCTTACTTTATTCACAATAAATCACGGTTCAATCCCTCTCTTTCTCTTCCCTCCTATCGCATATCTCCTGAAAGTAATCCAGCCTCTGCTCGCGCATCTCCTTTTCAAGGTTGTACAAAATAGTTTCGTACCGCGCGACGATGGCCTTCATTGGGGCAGTGCCGCGCGTGTAGGTGAGGTCTGTGAGCACAGCCTTGGCCATCTCGATGTGGTACATGAAGGCGTCGATCGTGTTGGCGATGTTGGCGGCGCAGCCGATGGTGATGGGCATCGTCCTCAGGCGAAGGAATTCGGTGAGGAAGTCCTCAGCCATGCCGATGTGGAGGGCCAGGCCCTGTGCTGTTACCTCTGCAAGATCGGTCTCCATTCCAGCCTCCTCATGGAGAATTCGTCGAAGGGAGTCACTTGGTGTGTCGCGTGATGGACTGCAGGGATATTCTGTTGTTGTGCAGGGAACGGACTCCGCGTCAGGACGTGGTTCCGGTAGAGGTACACCACCAGGCGATACAGGACCACCGAGAGGAAGATCGCAACGTACCCTCCTGTCGTCACAGCCTCGAACGCTATCGTGAAAAGCTTCCATCCCGTTACCCAGAAGATCAGCGCCACGCCGTCGTTGGCGAGATTGAAGGTGGCGAGGCCCAGGATCCTTAAAATAGAACTCCCTTCCCCCTCCATTCAAAAAAAAAGTTTTTTTTTTATTTGTTTTTGGGGAGGGTGGACGCACGTGTTTATATGCGGCCGCGTGCCGGGTGTGGGTGACTGGTGGTATGACTTCGGTAGATATGATCATTTTACTTGTTATTGCAAATTCCAAACAACCGGAAACCAAGTGTCCGGCGCTTGCATCGTCTCCGGTGACTCGAATCTGACGGGGGGCAGGGGCGGGGCGGGGTCATTGGTTTTCCTCCTTTTTGGAATCTCCACGCCCTGCCTCCTGGCGATGCGCTTCTCCTCCGACCGCCTCTTGGCATCCCGCAGGCTCCTGAGTTTGATGCCCAGGACGCGCTCATTGGACCCGACAAAACGCATGTAGTACTTCCCATCCTGCGTGAGTAGCGTCTTATCGGTATGGGAGGTTATCATCCTCCTCCTCCTCGCGAGGTTGTCGATCTTGCACTGCAGCGGGGTGTCGATGCAGAGGGAGTTGAAGATGTTGCTCATGATCCTGAGCGCCTTGTAGGTCTCCAGCGTTGACTGCCGCCTCGTGCCCTTCATCGCCCAGCGCTGCTGCATGGCGGATATGACGAGGCTTGCAATCTTGTCCTCGAACTCTCGTGGTTCGGGCTCGGTGCCTTTGTCCTCCTTGACGAAGATGTGAAACTCTATGATATGAAACTCTATGCCGTTGACGGTGACCACGGGGATGCTGCAGCCCTCGTCGCTGATGAAGAGCTGCTTCTCGCGGAGCAACGCAAAGGAGCCGTCCTCGATCGCCTTCCGGAAGAAGATGTCGGGGAGAAGGTCGGGGAAGGTCGATGACTTGATCGTGAAGATGTGGTCCTTGGTGAGCTTCATCGTCACAGGCTTGTTGAGGAGATCGTTGATGTCCATCGTGCGCGGGAAGGGGGAGCGTGGGAGGGGAGCGTGGGTGTGGGCAAAGTGAGAGGGGGAATTCCACGAACTAAGAAATACGGCCCCTATCTTAAAAAAAAACTATTTCTGGGGCTGGAGTTCATGGGTAATTTTTTTTAATCCCCCGCCTTTTTTGCCTTTTTTTACCCGGCCCGCCTTTTTTTGGCAGACCGGCCCGTCCGCCCGACCTTGCCGCCATGTCCCACTACCTGGAGAGCGAGCCGGAGGAGGACGACGAGAGCGAGGGGTGCGAGAGCGAGGATTCGGAGGACAGGCGGTTCATTGATGATGATGGCGAGTGTGGGAGTGTGGACCTGGGGGTATACAGAGAATTGAAACATGACAGCAGCTCTGAAGAGGAGGATGCAGGGGAGGCTTCCGCGGAGGACGAAGACGACGAAAGCAGCAAAGCCATGCGCGAGCTGCACCGCATGCTGGGTAAAAGCCGGGAACGGAGGGAAGCGCTGGGGAGGCAGTATCCGCTCGACTTTGGGTTGGGTGCAAGTCGATCGGAGGCACCGGAGCTTACCGCGGAGGAGGTCCAGGAGCGACTCCGGGCAATGTCGCCCTGCAGGGAGAAGCGGCCGCCTCCCTCGCGGAGGAAAAAGGGAGAGATGCAAGAAGAATCGCATGTTGCCCCCAGGTTTACTGCCGGCATCGTGAGGGCGGGCAAGACCCCCGTCTGCGCACCCCTGCCGCGGCCCGTCTCCCCCGCGTTCTCCTTCGTCAGGGAGATGGAGGAGGCGGAGAGGAGAAAGCGGCTCAGAGACAACGGGGAGAGGATGCGGAATATCCTGGACAAGGAAAGGGAGGCGCACGCCAGGAGGCTTGTGGCAGCACCCAGGAAGGCAGTGAAGAAGGCCGTCGCCGAGCCGCCGAAGGGCAATGCCACAATAGATCGATTCTTTGGTAGAGTTTGTAAGGCCGAATAATATCGTTCCGTCTACTGTGTATTTAAGATAATCGTATTGCAGTATGGTTACGAGTCATGTCGTTCTGTATTGATTACTGTCATGGAATCGCTTATAACTCAGCAAGATACAATGTCACGACCATCCTTGGAGTGCAATTTTCCTGCAGAGATAAGATGTTTGCCCCGCCACCTGGACATGGGATTATCTACTTGGATAAATCATGTTATAAGGTACTCACAAGATACGTCGTTTCGAACGTAGATAATCTTTATTGGTGCTTCAATGAGATCAAACATGCAAATTTATGGGGTTTAGATGCATTCAAAATTCAGATAAAAATTTTGAAAGAACAAAACTACATTGTTGGGAGATACACGAGAGAGAGAAAGATTATCGTCAACGTTTCTGCAGTCAATCCGACGCCTGCTGTTCCTGCTGACAGTGCCAATGTGGTCCCGTCTCCCGAAATCTTTGTGGGTATGGAGTGTGAATCCGAGGGGGAGGAGGTTGACTACTTTTCCCGTCCGATCGATGACATCGACATGGATTAGATAGACGGTGTCTAGTGTGTTTGTGCGTTCATATTTAGAATAAACTGCGTTCGTCAATAATTTAAGACTATACCCTTACTTTAAACCATTATATTACACCCTGTACGCAGCCATCACACACCCTGTACGCCATCACACACCCTGTACTTACACCCTGTATGCCGAATATTATCGTTGACGAGCGACTTTATCATCCTTTCATCATTCGATCCCCATTCCCAATGCTTCTCACATACGTATTTAAACGAGGTAGCGACCCATGAATCATCACGATGATATTCGTTGATTTCGTGAATCGAAAAGTGCATGATGAGAACGAACCTTCTATCTACACCTACAAACGCATCATGATTCTTGGAGTGTATTTCCAACGATGTCAATCCAATGATACCTCTAAGGGTAATTACATTGCTCTTACCGCGGAGGCTTACAAGTCTCTGAAGCGTCATAGAATCTTTGGACATCGCAATATTGACGCAACCTTCGGTTTATTGCACGATTCCTTCAAAGATGTAGGATTTATATCCAGATATGATATCGATGTACTTCGGAAAAATAAGTATCTGTGTTTCAATCGTAATTACCTCGACTCCTGCTTCGTGGATTTGACCGAATGCGTGGTGTATCGATACCTCGCCGGCGATGAGTATGTGAATTTACTCGGTGTTCAATTTAGATGTGTTTTCGTTGAGGACTGCCTCAGAATGTGTCCGGGTTTTCGTATCAGAGAAGATCGCATGCAGTTGCTCAGGCAGTATTATGCAACACATGGAAATGATCCTGTGTCTGTTTTGAGTGTGTTGTTGTCCAAGACCATTGCCTTTGAATCGAAACTGTATAACCGCATGCTAAATGGTATTATTTGGAAGATACCATCAGCTGCACCGGAATGTTCGGCGTCTCATGGATCCGGTGAAGAGTGCAACATCGACATCGCCGATGGAGAAATTGTCTTTACACCCAGTGAGCAGTGCAACACTGAGATCGTGGATGGAGAAGTTGCCGCTGAATTCGATGAGGAGTGCAACTTCGACATCGTCGATGGGGAATTTGTCTTTACATCCAGTGAGGCTGTTTAATCCCCTTGTTTGTTGCACGGCGATAATTTCTTGTAGTGGAGTTCGTTTGTGTCTTTGTGAGTAAAAAACGTGTGTAATACTTGTGCTTGTTCATTCTTACGCATACCCTGCCTACAGCCTGTACGCCGCCATCCTGGTGAGCGACTCGGAGACGAGGGGGACGTGCTTCATGATGCAGACGGCGAGGGAGATGGAGCTGAAGGCGAGCCCGACGACGAGTGACTTCATCATCTCTCTGTCCTGGCTGTGCTGGTGGACCTCCTTGCAGAAGAGGATGAAGACGAGGATGGTGGCGGTCTCGATGCGCCTGTTCTGCATGCATCCGGAGAGGAGGGTGATGACGGCGCAGCCCTTGACGAAGGGGTTGAGGAGGAAGAGGATGATGTCGCGGGGGCTGTTTCCCGTGATGTTGTTGATCTTGTCCACCCCGACGAACATCCAGACGACCCAGGCGATGCAGCAGGCGAAGGGGGCGGCCTTGTAGAGCGTCACGCGGTTCATGCGGGTGTGCTGCGCCTGGATGACCGGGAGGGTGGCGCCCAGGGGCAGGGCGATGCCGAAGAGGACGTCGACCCTCGGGTTCTCGATGCGGGTGCAGAGGACGAGGTCGTCCGGGGCGGTGTGGTTGGCGCAGGCGTTGAGGGCGAAGGCAAGGATGGCGGCGACGACGCAGATGAAGGAGAAGAGGCTGAAGCAGCGGTTGACGGCGACGTGGGGCTCGGGGTTCCGGTGCCGCATGAAGGAAATCGTCTCCGGGACCTGTGTGATGATGATGCCCGTGATGAGCGACATGCCCGAGAGCCCGTTGGTCATGTCCACGGTGTATGAGGCGACGAAGATGCTCAGCCCGATGAAGTAGACGACGCGGTAGACCTCCATGATCTCCTGGAACTCGGTGATGGTCTCTTCCTTCTTGGCACGGAGCGGGAGCGCCACGGACGAGCGGAAGGAGCGCGCCGTGCTCTCGTTGTCCCTTGTGCCGTCGAGGTCGAGTGTGAACTCCTGGGCCTTGCGCATGGTCTCCTGATGCTTCCTTCTCGTCTCCTCCTCGTTCTGGTCCGTCTCCTCGTTCTCCTGCCGCTCGAGGTCGCGGATCGCCTCCTCCAGCTCGCGGTCCTCGGCCGGCTCCACCTCGTTGTAGTTGGGATCGCGGTCGCGGTTGGTCATCCTGGCGATGACGAGGGAGACGACCTTGATGGCCAGGAAATAGGTGCAGCCCAGCAGCACGCAGACGCTCGAGTTGGTGACCTGCTGGTCCAGCGTGATGTGCCTCTCGTTGGTGGAGTAGAGCGAGACGAGTGTGCAGCTTGCAAAGACGATGCTCTTCACGATCAGGCTGAAGAGCGACATCCTCGGGAGATTCGGTGGGGGTAGGGTTTGGTGGTGGATTGTGGGGAGCTTGTTATATCTTCCCGGGGATGGCCCAGGCGCTTTCCGTGCATGGCCAATCCATCAAAAAAACAATTCATTAAAAAAGAGGAATGGTAAAAAAACAGAGTAAACAAAATAAGAGAGGGTCGCAATTCTGTAAAAAAAAAAAGAAAAAAATGGGTCGCAATGACATGGGACGCAATCATCTTGGGTCGCAATTCCCCTGCAGCGCCTATAAGAACGCGACCCATCCGTTCCCTCCCACATCTCCCACGCCGGCCTGACATGTCATCCGCGAAGGAACTCACCGACACCCCAACCGATTTTCTGTATTGCCACGAGGATATGCAAGCCTGGTCTCCCCTTGAGCTTTTTCCAGCAGAGGAAGACGACGACTTCTTCGAAGACGACGAAATGATGGATGATGAGATGACATTCCCTTACGGTTTCAGTGATTATTACGGTAACCAAAAGGACGGGGAGGATGAATTTTCTGGAGACTCTATCGATTCTCCACCTCCCGAGGACGGACCCAACGACGACACTCTCGCGCTGGTCCCATTCACTCCCACCCCGCAGCCCCCAGGCGTGCACGGCTTCACCGGGTTCGAGCCGGAGGCGGACATGGCGGCGTGGGCCGAATGGTTGCTTCAGGTCGACCCGATCGAGATCTTCCTGAAGATGTACAAGACCGGCATCCCACGCTTTGGGAACCGCTACCTCACCTACATCCCCGTCGACCCTGCCCACGCCGGGAACCTGCTCCAGTTCCACACCAACACCCTCGAGCTCAGCATGCTGCCGGGGAGGATCAGCAGGACGGAGGGCCTGGTCGCCGAGACGCGCTGCATCAACTCGGGGCGGAGGCTCTACTGCTGCATGCGCTGCTTCGCCAGCTCTAGGGTCAAGCCCTTCATCGACACCAGCTACGACGGCATCGTCGGGCACATCTGCCGCGAGACGGCGTGCCGGAGTCTGCATGGCTGCTTCTTCATGTAGTTCATAGGGTTCTGTTTTGTGTTAAGGGCTGCAGATGATTAGTCATCTGCGATCGTATTTAAAGCTCCCATCCGCCTCGCCCCGCACGATGTTCGTAAAGATCCATTCACCTTTCACCACTTTCGTGGTCACCGACCAGCAGAAGCTGGAGGGCGTGTTCCTCTCTGACGGTATGATGGTCCTCCCTTCGTACCTTCACAAGGTGGGCAATGTATATCGGTACATGTACTCTGAGGTGCGCCCCACCACGGCCGGAAACCTGCATAGTATGCAGGAGCATTACAAACCTGACATGGACGCAACCGATGAGCAGATGCTCGCTAAGGATTGCGACATCTGCACCGACAGCAAGATGTGGCGCTTTTTGAAGCAGAACTACGAGGCCATCAAGGGCATCGATCGCAGGAGCCTGCGAGCGTTCTGCAACCTATCCATGGAGGAGCGCCTCCCAGGCGCTGACTCCGCCGGCACCAGGGACCCTGCCGAGGAGCTTGTCAAGTACCTTGGCGACCAAACGACGTTCTCGAGGGAGGATATAGAGACCCGCATCCAGCCCCTCAAGGATGCCATCCTGAAGCACGACGAGAGAACCATGCGGTTCCTGCGTTTCAAAGGTCTGGACTGTTCCCCTCTCGGCGAATGCGAGGTCGACATCGAGGCCTAAGCCTTCTAAGCCTTCCATTCTACTGGTCTGTTGGCTTTGATTAATAAACGTTCTAAAAAAAAGACCTGCAAGCGCCGCACTTGCGGGCCCGTTTACACGGAACCACACGGAACCCCATGCTGTCCCGCCTGAAGAAGGCCCGGCGCCCGCACGGCTACGAGTGGAGCACCTTCGGGTACGAGATCCTGTCCAACGTGATGCCCGCGGACTACAACCTGGTGGGGAAGGAGATCGTCCTGAGGCACAACTCCCGGAACGTCTTCCGCGCCACGATCCGGGCGGAGAGCTGCCTGGTCGTGCTGCTGAAGGACCTGGAGAGGAGGGGGAAGGAGGCCGGGAACCGGCACATCTCCGGCTTCTGCTGCGTGGCGGAGCGCACCAGGATCGGCGGCGACCAGACGCTGCGGGGCTTCGTCGAGTCCCACCTCACCCGGCTGCTCAGGAGCATGGCGCACGGCATTATTGCGCGGGTGGACGGGTTCCGCGTGGAGGAGGAAGGGAGGGAGGAAGACAAGGAAGAGACACCGGACGTGATCATGTTCGAGCCCGGGGACCCGCCTGCAGACCCGTCGGACACGACATACCCGTTGCTGCGGCCCATCAACCCGTCCGACCCGGCATGCACCTGGCCGCTGGTGATCTACGGGGGCCAGACGCAGGGGGTGGAGACCAACAGGGAGTGGCTGAACTTCCTCCTCATGTGCCAGTGCATCGCCAACACCCTGGGGGTGAGCCACCAGGAGGCGGTCTACCACAACTGCATCAAGATGGAGATGGCGAGGAGACAGGTCCCGCACATCTCCCACTTCCACTGCGTCCAGCGGCTCCCGGGCGGGGAGATGGCCAAGATCGGCGAGCTGGACCTCCTCGTCGAGCTGGCGACGGGCAACTACCTCGTAGAATTGAAGGTGTGCGCGCAGTGGAGGAGGTTCGAGAACCAGATCAAGAAGTACATCAACGCAGTCCACTCCATGGGGTACCGGGCGGCGGGGGCCGCCATCGTCAACTTCAACCCCAAGGGGGTCATCGAGGTCGCCATGTTCGACGCCGCCAGCCGCCACGCCCCTGCGCCTAGCCTGTAGTGCAGAGTGCTGTATTTAAACTGCCGCAGCCGGGCACCGCGCATCATGACTGAGTTTTTTGAAGCATTCGATTTATTGAAATACGACGTCGATGGCACGAAGTCCGAGGTGGTCTTCTTCCTCCCCGTGGCTATCCTCTGCGGTATTGTCAATTATGTTTGGGAACATTTCGAACCCAAGGAGATGAAAGACATTCCTTCAAGAGAGGATTACGAATCGAACGATGAGTTCTGGAAGGACTGGAATCGGGTCAACAAGGAAAACCATGAAACAAGGACATATAACGAGACCAAGAAACAAGAGGCTATTGATGCTGCAGTCGTAAAATTCTCGTTGTATACAGACGAGGAGAAAAGCAATCTTGTCAGAATCATGAAGACCTCTACTGTTCAACAATGGGAGAACACCAGAGTGTATGCAAATTCACAGATACCCACGCTTGATGAATTCCGTAAACCCGTTGAAGGAAGATCGAGACCTTTGATCAATGATTTCGAAGAACAAGAACAAACAATTCGATCCAATGCAGAGATAATCCATCGGAGAATCAAGGATATGCAGGAAAATCCGATTGACGTTGCCACATGCACCAAAAAAGAAAAGAAGGCTTATGATAAAGCATTAAAGGATCTGACCAATGATGTGAGCACGCTGCACAAACAGTGTAGATCCTACGAATTGGAGGTCAAATATACATTCCCTATCATAAACCCTCTTGCGATAGATGATGAATTAATCGAGTCAGATGTGAGTGATGCAGAAGAAACCGACTCGAAAATGCAGGCGCCGCAAGATCAGGTTCAGCAGCCACCCCGCGAAAAACGTCCCCGTACTCCCACCGAGGAGCGGCAGGTTACCGCGGATCAGCCGGTCAAGCCAAAGCGACGCATCATTCCCAGAGTCGATCCACAACCCCAGCCAGTGCAGCAGCCCCAGCCAGTGCAGCAGCCCCAGCCAGTGCAGCAGCCCCAGCCAGTGCAGCAGCCCCAGCCAGTGCAGCAGCCCCAGCCAGTGCAGCAGCTGCCCCAGCCACAGCGCCCCATCACAGCCATCGTCATTTCTGACGACGATACGAAGGAGCAGAAAGCGGTTGCTGACAAGGAAAGGAAGAAGCAGGAAGCGAAGTACAGGGCAGCTTTCCGCAAAGGTATCGTCGATGAGATGCTCGCCAAGATACAGGAGTGCAAGGATGACCCCAATGGCAAGGAGAAGTTCATGGAGTACTACAGGGAGAAGAAGTATGGCGGGATAGAAACTGCGTTCCAAGAATATAATAGCTGGACTCGTTCATTCTGCTTGAAGGAGAATTTGCAGGATCATGTGAGGTTCTGGATCCATGTCCCGCCATTCAATCCCGTCTAACCACCCAAGGATGTCGGTGAACCAGATCGATTGGTTCACACCAAGTAGTCCGTAGACGTTGATAGTTCTAGAGTAAAAATCTTCAAAATAATTTACTATTTGTATCCGTATTTAAGACCACGATGCCTTTTGTGATCACGCACAATATGCCAGGTTTTGTTGGCAAATTTCTCACAAATTTGTGCATTCTTGCTGGTGTAGGCGATAACAGTGAAGTTCATGATGCTAACAAAATATTTGCAGCACCTCTTCCTCAGCAGTTGCAACAACAGTCGCAACAACAGGCCATTCCAAACACCGAGTCTGCAATGGATCCGGATGTCCAACAAGTCATGGTTGATATACTCAATATTACCAATCCCGGAGTGAAAGATCCCAGAAAAGTGCGCATCCATGACTTGCCTAATCTCAGGGTAAAAATCGAGAATTGTAAACCAAAGGGTATGGACGAAGAAATTGCTGACATCAGCCGCAACATTGTGAACGCCAAAGAAGCCGATACACCTGCAAATTCGTATTTTCACCATATCACCAGACAGGTTTACAAGAAGGTTCGTACCCCTTCCCACATCTGGTTTGCTATCCGATACCTTTTCACAGTCCTGGATAAAGTTGAATTTCTACTGCAAAACGACTCTAAGAAAACCACTGCTTTGCCATATTATGCTGACTATCTTCGCATCGTTCTCTGTTGGGCCTGCAGGACATACATGCAAAACCCAAATGATTCAGTGTTTTTAAAAAAATTCATTTACGCAATGTCACACGGCAATGCAATCCTTTCAAAGCGTGATGGGAATAAACAATCCGCTGAAAAAGACAAGGACGTGCAAAAAAGTAGCACGAAAAAGAATAAGCAAAATAGTGGGAACAATGAACAAGGTACCACAAAAAAGAGGAAGAAAACCGTGAACCGTGATTTTGCCGAATCTGTTGCAAAAGTAGTTGATATCGACTTTATTGCAACAACCAACACGGAGCCTGTCACCAACACGGAGCCTGTCACCAACACGGAGCCTGTCACCAACACGGAGCCTGTCACCAACACGGAGCCTGTCATCAACACGGAGCCTGTCACCAACACGGAGCCTGTCACCAACACGGAGTCTGCCTTCGACACAGATTCTGCCTCCGACACAGATTCTGGTGCCTCTTTCTTGGAGTTGGAGGAGGATGACGAGGAGTAGGAAGATTAGTACCTCCCGTAATTTACCGTAAAGAGCACAAAGTTGTTTTTAATAAACCGCTCAATATTTTAATCCTGCCGTATCCTTACACATGGGATCCACCGCCGCAGGCGCAGCACCCTCTCCCCCATCCCATGTCGGCGGCGAGGGAGCGGGCGTGATCGAGGTGGGACTCGGCCTCGCTGGTGAGGTAGTAGTGGACGTTGACGGAATAGTCCCTGCAGTGCCCTGCGGTGCTGCTCTGTATGCAGGTGAGGTGCAGCTTTTCACTGGGAATGAGGCAGTTGAGCGCGCAGATCTCGCCGCTGCTGAGCCCGTGCTTGGAGCGGACGTCCGCGTCGCTGACGATCCTGGTGCGCTTGCAGTCGAAGCACACCCTGCAGCTGAGCTCATGGAAGAGGATGCCGCTGGACCCCCCGCAGAAGGTGCAGTTGGAGAGCATCGTCAGGCGCAGGATGCGGGTGACTTCCTGGAAGGTGATCGGTTGGTTTTTCGTGGGTCTGGGTGCCGCGTCACCGTGTGTGTTTCTGAGTGCACGGAGGAGCTCGAGCTGGTTGGCGCGGTGCTGGGCCCTGCGCTGGTCCATGCGGATGAAGTTCAGGAGATGGCTGTGGTATGCCCCGAGAAAGTCGACGGTGGTCATGAATGCCTGGACCCAGCGGCGGTGAGCCCGGTTGCAGCTCGCGAGGCGGAGGGCCATGCCGATGTTCTTGACAGCCTCATCTTTTGTGAAATTCCCGCATATCTGCCCGCGGAAGAAGTAGGACATGAGATCCGCGTCCAGCCTTCCTAGGAAGTTCTCCGTGCTGCAGTCAATGTGCTCCATACCCTTGATGAGGTCCTTGTAGATCCGGAGGTAGAAGAAGATGTCCGGGGTGGTACGCGGGGTTGTGCTATTGTCCCGCCGCACTCTGCATGGCATCGCGCGCTTCGGAAAGGGCGGGAGCGGACGGGCTACTTTTTTTGAAGGGCTAAAAAAAATAAAGAAAAAAAAATAAAAAAAATGGGGGGACGTAGCGAACCCCTTTTTAAACAACCCCACTCCCACGCCCCTGCCACCAGGCACGGCATGCTAGCCGAGAGCACGGACAAGAAGATCACGCTGCAGTACGCCACCACCGGGCAGGACGGGGTGGAGTACAGGGTGAGTTTCGACCTGGACTTCTGCAAGGGGAAGCGGAGCTCGGAGTTTGGAGAGTACGAGAGGCTGTGCTTCGGCGAAGCCTATGACGTCGAGACCTTCCTCCTGGACGAGGGCGACAGGAAGGCCTACCGGGTGATTGCGGAGGAGGGAGTCCTGCTCTCCCGCATCAGCAACATGTCCGTGAAGACCGCCGAGTCCGGTGATGCCGACTCCAACGACTACTCCATCGCCGTGCTCATCCACACGAAGGAGCCCAAGTTCCCCGAGGATGACAAGGACGGCGACACCCCTCTCAACCCCGACAGCACCGACGGCGTCCCCTGGAGCGTGCCGATCTACCGCAACAGCCAGACGATCGACCAGAACGGCCTGGGCAAGTTCCAGATCACGGTGAAGCGCGCGGTCGAGCGCAACGAGCTCCCGGAGGACCCATACACCGAGGTCACGACCGACAGCACGGGCGTGGTCTACATGACCTTCTTCGTGGAGCACAAGCCCAAGCCCGAGCGGGAGGAGGCGACCCGCGGAGGTGGTTCGTTCCGCACCCGCGGCTGCGGCGAGGTCAAGCACGACCAGGCCAGGGTCGGGTATGGCGACCGCGCCAGCACCGCCTCCCAGAAGAGCCAGTACAAGACCATCCCCGGGACCGGGCGCTTCATCCTCCCCCTCCGCTACATGGTCCGCGCTGGCTCCGACGCCTCCGAAGCGCCCTGCTCGGAGACGGCGCCCAAGGCGGAGGCCCGCATCCAGGCGCTGGAGGAGCTCCAGGCCCGGGTGGCCGTAGTCCCTCCCTGAATGAGCACAATTTGTGTTTTCAGAAGTGAGTAAATTTAATCATAACGAATCAAATAAGCCTCGTCAGAGAAGGCTGCATCATGGGCCTGAGCCCCTTGCCCTCCCTGACGCTCGCCACGCCCTGGAAGGAGTGGCCCAGGTGGCCGGCGCCGTGGACCTTGCTGATCTCCGACCCTCCCAGCGCGCAGGTGACGACGTCGCCGTGGAAGCTGAGCGCGCAGACGTTGGTCTCGTTCTGCACCGTCTGCTGCCCCGCCACCTTCCTCAGCGCGTGCAGCTGGTTGAAGTTGGGGAGCAGCGCGAGGTAGTGCAGGTACTTGTCGCGGTACCAGTCCTTGGTAAACACCCGCATCTCCGGCTTCACCGTGTTGTACAGGTTGTCCGGGTCGATCGGCAGGCGGTCGTCTGTGTTGGCCGAGTGCGGGTCGTAGAACACGATGGGGTTGGGCCACGGCTGCTTGATCTTCGTGAGATTCTCGTGGTTAGGTGGTACGAAGAAAGACATGATAAACATGCTCTTTCCCTCGTAGGGTTTGTCGATCGAGCTCGTGTCCTTCCTGAACTGATCAAGATCGGCACCATCCCTCCAATCCACCACCGTGTCGTCCATCCCGCCGTTGTAGCCGTCGAAGCAGATGTCCCACAGGCGGATCAGGTTGCGCTCGTTGTGGACGAGGGCCTTGGCGTGGTACTTGTACTGCATGCCCCAGATGCCGTGCTGCCCGTCGTCGTAGCACGTCATCTCCGTCTGGCCCCAGTACGTCGCCCCCAGCTCGCCCGTCCCGCCCCTCCCCATGATCGCCGCCAGCATGTTGTGCTCGATGTTCGGGCGCACACATACGATATCCACGTACCAGTCCAGGAGGGGGTTCCGGTTTGGGGCTCCGACAACTCCGGCGGGGGGTGCTGCTGGGGGGACGGGGGCTGGTGTTACACGCGCAGGTCCAATCCCACCTCTTGCTGGATTTAGTGGACTACGCCTCTGAAGCTCATTGATAACGGTCTGCGTCGCGTTCGTCTCATTGTCAGATACAATGGTGTTGTAGATATCGTCGAACGTCAGTGCGTTGTTTGTGTTTTCAAAGTTGAGTCCAATATTTGGTGTATCGATGACAAGTGGGGAGCTGGTGATCCTGGCCCCGAGGGTGTGCCTGACGTTCCCCACCGCGCTCTTGGCGGCGAGCACGCAGCCCGGGGCGGCGGCGTCGTTAGCGTAGTGCATGACGCTGGTGAACATCCTGGCGAAGGCAAGCCTGTAGAGGTGGGAGAGGAGATGGTCGCGGCTGTCTTGAGCTTCAAAAAAGCACTGGACGTCCTTTCTGAGTGCCTCCACGTCGAGGGAAGAGACTGGTACTCCGCCAATCGGCTGTGCTGCAGGATGCTGTCGACGGAGGAGAGGTCGGCGGAGGTGAGCGGGAAGGGGTAGCAGCGGAACTCGGTGCCCAGCACGGCGTCGGAGTCGAGCTTCAGCCCGTTGTAGGCAAGCTGTGCGCTGGTCTCGTCGTCGCTGTCCCCGTTGAAGATTGGGGAGTCGCTGATGCTGTCCCCGGAGGCGTTGACGTGCATTGTCGAGGTCGCGAGGATGTGCAGGCGTCTTTGCGCCGGGGCCGCAGACGCTCGGAGGTGGAGCTCTGGACCAGTCCGGTGAGGAAGATGACGTCCAGGCCTGCCTGAGCCCCGGATTCCAGGGAGTCAATCACCTTGTTGCTGTAGTCGAGGAGCGTGTCATCGAGCTGGCGGGAGACTTCGGGGGCCAGGGACTCGAGTACCTTGCTGCAGCGCTCCCCGCACGCCAGCGTCGGGGTGGGCGTGGGAGATGTACTTGACCATGAGCACGGAGCAGTAGGGGCTGTCGCGGTCGGCCTGGGCGGCGGCCAGCTCCTCCCGGTTGCCGAGGTCGGCGAGGCCTAGGAAGGAGAGGAACTCCCCCTGGAGGTCGAGCGGGACGTTGACGTGGGAGAGCAGCGCGTTGCAGAGGGGTGAGTCCATCATCGAGCGGCAGAAGCAAGACTGGATGAAAGGGACGAACTCCCGCGCCGCCGACTCCGGGACCTGGGGGTTGAGCGCGTTGGGGGCGCGGATGCCGTTGAAGAGCACAGATCCGACGACCCCCACCGCCGCCGACATCTCCAGTGCCGTCCAGGGACGCTTCCTGAACTCCGCCTGGGCTTCGGTGATTTCGTCCTTGGGGATCGTCTGGTACCCAATGTGGAGGGAGTCACCCTTGAGTGTCAGGCGCTTGGCCTTGAGCAGCACGGCCTCCCGCGCCAGCACGTCCTGCTTGCCCTCGGGTGCCTTCAGCGAGGCGCGACTTTGACGGAACTGGTGCGCCGCCCAGTGCAGCACGCCGCTGTTGCCGGCGAGCATCGTGGAGACGTTGTCGACCGCCATGGCGTGGGAGGGGGCGATGCCACCCAGGCCCGCCGACACGGCCAGCGCACCGTCCATGCTGTCCCGCACCCTCAGCGCGTTCAGGTCGTGGGCGTGGTAGGGGTTGCCCTCCGCCCGCAGCCTGTGGTAGCCCTCCGCTTCCTTGGCCGCCTGCTCTGGGTAGTGCACCCCGATGTCGCCCGCGGTGAGGTTTGGGGAGGTGAGCTGGAGAGGTGCGGAGAGGAGCTTGAAATCGGGATTATTGTATGGTTCCCGGTTTGGACGGACGACGGTGGGTCGTGGACGGTGATCCTTGGTGACGTTGCCTGCAATATCCGAGTCGATCCACGAGTGCTCGAGCAGCTCCCTGAAGGTGAGGTCGAAGGTCCCATCCTTGGACTGGTCGTAGAAGCGCCACTTGTTGTCCCTGAGCTCGCGGACGGTGCCGTTGATGCGGTAGTGCTCTGCGACGCGGGACCTTCTGCGGAGGACGTCCCTGGGCGGCTCGCCGGTGTTCATGGAGAACTTCCTGGAGTGAATGATACTCAGCCCCCTATAGGACGGCAAATCCGGTCCCTGCTTCAAAAGAAGAGGACCACCGGTCCCGTTGGTGAGGTACTGCGTCTTCTCCGGGTTGAAGGTCATCTGCATGGTCAGGGCGCCGTTGCACATCAGGAAGGTGGGTGGGGGCGAGCCCCAGGTCTTCAGGGTGTTCTTCGCGTCCTCGATCATGATGTCAAGAGCGTTGGGGTGCTTCTGCATGAGCCCGTAGCTGTCGACGTACTGACGGATGAGCTGCAGCGTCGTCTTCTCGGTGGTGTAGTACTTCTCGCGGAGGTGGGCCTCGTAGTTGGGGGCGAGGAGCAGCGCGTGGTGGACGTCGAGGTCGTTGGACATCTGTATGGATCCTACCAGCTGCATTAACTGGCGCTTGAAATTCTCGCGTCCAGCCGGCGACATCATGAAGTTGTGCTCCATCTGGATCGCCATGCCGTTCCTGGTAATGTAGGCGGCCTGACTGGTCTTACTCTGGGTCAGAACCCTAGCAGCCGACTCGTAGGGCACGCGCGTGGCCAGGCCCTCGTCGAACCTCCAGACGTTCCACTTGAGCTTCTGGTCGGGGTTTTCGAGGTAGACGTAGGGGAGGATATTCCTAGTAAAAGGAGAGTTGGTGGCGTCGGTGATGAGCCCGTCCACGCGGTCCGCGAGGAAGGTGTTCGAGCCCTTGAGGACGTCGGGAAGGTGCCACCTCTGGTGCCGCTTGTGACGCTGCGTGTCCTCCTTGATCTGCCGTGCCGCGGGGCCGAAGACGGCCTCGTAGTCCTGGATCGTCGGGGTCGTCGAGTTGGCCGTCATCGTGCCCCCGAGGTTGACCCCGACGTCCCCCTGCGGGAGCATGAAGTTGTTGGTGTAGCTGCGGCTCTCCTGCGTCGTCCCCTCCATCGCGGCCGGGGCGCTGTATGCGGGGTGCATTGGGTCTATGTTTATATATTGTTCGGAAGAGCTTAGGTGGTTACAGATTACGAGTCTGCTCTCTCCCTCCACCGATTGACCGCCGTGATGAGGATGTGGATGACGGTGATCCACAGGACGATCACGACGACGGTGTCGGCCATGTGCAGGGCGTTGACGGCCTGCTGCACCATCCCGAGGATGGTGTTGATGAGGATGAGGACGGTGAGCTCGGAGAGGGCGGTGGTGCGGGGGAGGTAAAGGCGGAAGGCCTGGAGCGCGAGCGCGACGAAGATCGCGACGGTGGCGACCGAGCCGCGGTTCACCTCGCGGGCCACGATGAGCGCGTGGATCTGGGCGGCACCCTGCCACACGGCGTAGTCGCGCATGGTGTGGAAGTCCGGGTACCGGAGGGAGAGGGCGTCGAAGATGACGAGGAGGCTGACGAGCTGCGTGATCTGCGGGAACTTGTCCGTGGAGGTGACGGAGATGGTCCAGCTGGCCAGCACCATCATGTTGGTCAGGGAGAGGATGACGGCGCTGAGGACCGTGGCGGTGATGGCGCTGTGACCCGGGAAGTGCTGCAGGCGGGAGAGGGCGAAGAAGCCAGCCATGCTGAGGTATGGCAGCGTCCAGCCGAAGCTTACCCTCTGCACGACGAACTCGGTGTTGCTCGCGAACATGAACAGCACGAGGCGGAGGAACTGCTGCCCGTCGGGTGATTCCCGGAAGCTCGCCGGCAGCACGCAGACCAGGATCAGGATGCAGAGCGACACCGTGAAGCACTCGATCTGCTCGAAGAGGCTGGCCGCCTCCGGGTCTGCGGGCTGGACGGAGCGGATGATGGCCTGGATGCCCACGAGCGCCGCGAACTTCCGGACCAGCTCCGCGATGTAGGCCAGTGTGCGCAGCATGCTGATCGTCGTTGGTCTGTTTCCGAGAATCGCCAGCGTGTTGTAGGACAGCGCCGTGATCAGGATGCTGAGGAACGCGATGGAGACGGCATCGAGGTGTGCGCCCACGGTCTTGTACACGAAGCGCACTATGGTGAAGGTCAGCGCGCTCTCTATCCTGGTCACAGTCTCCAGGACGTTGGAGAGGGCTTCCATATTTCTTGTTTCTGGCATTTCCTATGACAGATAGCTTATATCTTCCTCTTCCATGCTTCGCATCTTTTTGGAAGGATTCGGCTGAGGTGAATCCTGTGGAGATGGATTCGGTGGAGGTGGATTCAATGCAGGTGACTGCACCTCGCCCTCCTTGAACCAGATCTCCAGTTTGTATCTCGGGTCGTTGAACAGCAGTGGGTTCGTACCATTGATGCGAATGTGACCCTGCAGGTTGGGGGGCGGTGCCGGGTGTGGGTTGATGCAGAGCTCGTGCTGGACCTGGTAAAAGTAGGCAAACCTTCCATCCGTGGCCAGCGGTATGGGCGTGACGGTGTCCCGCATGCGCACCAGCATGGCACTTATGGTATTTCCCGGGGGGAGGATGTCCCTGCGGATCACCAGCCGCGAGGCGTGCGGGGCGTGCGGATCGCAGGCCACCCTCTCCCGCACACCATCCTGGGCACACAGCGAGAGGGACTGCGGGTGCCGGATGTTGATCCTCTCCTCGAGTAGTACCGTGTTTCCCTGATTCCGCGATAGCCGGACCAGGGCGTGGACCGGGGTTTGGGGTGCGTGTGTGAGTAGGATTGGTGTCTCCAGGATGGGCTGCTGTCTGGGCATGTTCCCAGGATCGAAGGCACGGTAACTTTATAGCCATCCCCACCTTCGCCCATCTCACGCCTCCAACCCGTGCCTCCAGCCCGTATTTAAGATCCTGATCGAGCGCAATGAACAGGTGGTGGTGATGGACGTTTCGCGAGGTGCTTCACAGCAGGCGCTCTCCCAGCAGGCCATGGCCCAGAACAACCAGAATGTCTTCAGCAGCGATGCTACCCCCGAGGACCTCCAGTCCAACACCCCGATCACCATCCGCAGAAGGATCCATGTCAACATCTCCGGCACGATGGCTAACTTTAAGAAGCAGGGCGAGCTGGCGGCGACCTGGAAGCCCAGGGAGGGCAAGCAGGCGGCCGTCTTCGGCCTGTACGACGCCTTTGACAGCTCGCTCGACCACACCACCGCCGTCAACGCGCTCTCCAGCGCCAGGGTCAAGACCGCCAAGATCCTCGAGTACTCGAGCACCTTCCCCGTCTCTCTGGGCGTTTCGGTCAGCTGCCTGAACCCCGACGAGGCGACGGAGACGGGCGAGCGCTACGTCATGACCGCCCTCCCCAACACCAGCAACACCAACGCCCTCGTCATCCACGAGGCCGACAACTCCTCCAGCGAGAGCCTGGAATGGCGGCACAAGTACCCCGAGTACAACGAGAACAACCTCGAGACGGAGGGTGTCATCAACCTCGAGAAGCGCCCCTACATGTTCGTCAACAAGGACCACCCCGTCATCGAGATGCTCAGGTGCAACAAGGACGTACTCTCCGCTGACATTGACGAGCAGCCCCTCGTCGACGGGCAGTACTACAAGCTCGCGACCCAGGTGATGAAGACCATGTGTAACTTACTCCGCACCAAGGTCCTATCCAAGGTATCCACCCGCGACTTGAACACCTTCCAGGTCCAGCTCCACCGCCTCAACGGCCGCGACTGGGACTCCATCCGCAAGGAGGAGTTCGGGGAGATGGTCGGAAGGAACGACCCCTCCTCCGTCGACGCCATCACCGAGCTCCTCAACAAGCACTGCAACTTCACGGCGAGGGTGGAGCTTGAGTACGAGATCCAGCCTTAGAATATATGTGTGTATATTACAGGGTTGTTAAAAAAAGAAAGACTATGCTCCTCACCTGCCACCCACACACTCGTAGGGGATGAGCGGCACAGCATGAACATCCCGGAGTCCTGGGTGGGTGCCAAGCGCAGCCAGGGCCAGCCGGTGGAGTCCGAGCCGTCCGCATCGAAGAAGAAGAAGAAGCGCATGGTGGTGGAGAAGAAGGCAGAGGCGAAGGCAGAGGCGAATACAGAGAAGAAGACAGAGACGAAAAAGGAAAAGAAAGCAGAGGCCATCCCCATAGAACCAGTGGAGACCGTCTTCTCCCTCGGCGCCGAAGAACCAGCGCCCTGCCCGGAGGTGACGCCCGAGGACCTCGAGGGGATGCCATCGCAAGAGTCCGGGGTCTACAACGAGCTGCGCTGCGCGATCCACGAGAGCGGCAGCAGCGGCCCGGCGCAGACCCTCTCGCTGGACAGCGTCATCTCACGGCAGCCCTACATCAAGATGATGCAGAACCTGTTCGGGGCGTACGACGAGAGCTGCTTCTCGCAGGTCCCGCCGGTGAAGATCGTGACGAAGGCGTGGGAGGAGACGCACATGCGGGAGCCGCACCCGGACGAGCGGCCGTGCTCCATGGGCATCAACTGCGAGTGCATGTTCATCGACCCCGCGCTCCCCTTCACCTGCGTGGAGTTCCGGCTGCCAAATGAGCCCCTCCCGAACGAACAGCAGCTCTGTGTCCTGTGCCTCCGGAAGCTCACGCAGAGCATGTTCTATGACATCGTGTACCAGGGGAACCGCTTCAACGGGGTGATCCAGAGCCACGGCAACATCTGCGACCAGCCCGGGGAGTACGCGAGGCAGGTGATGCTCTCATGCCCCATCGGCGGGCCGGTGCACTGCATGCCGCTCCCCATCGTCTCCCACCAGCGGAACCGCTACTCCGTCGTGCTGAACAACGTCGGGGTGAAGCACCTGAAGCAGCACCGCGTGGCGTGGGAGGATTTTCGATCGACCCCTCCTGGGCCGTGAGGCTCGCCCCCGCGAGGAGGCCGCAGGGCCCGGCCGGCAACCCCCTGGACAGCGTCGCCGTGATGCGACCGGGGAGGGAGCCGCTCGACATCCACCCGCTCGGGTGCCTGTCGGAGGCCGACCTGCCGCCCCGCGGAGGGTGGGTCCCAGGGGGGGGATTCCAGGAAACCTTCCAAGAATCATCCCAAGAAGTAGGCAGTTTCTGTCCGGAGGACCCGGTCCTGGACGCGGAGCTTGCGGGGCTGCATGTGCTCCTCCATGCCGGGGAGACGAGGGCGCAGCTGCTCATCGACGCCCGCCTGCTGGCGTGCTGGCTGGCCACCACAGCGCCGGGGCTCTACAGGAGCGTGCCGCGGGAGTCGCTCGTCCCGCACCCGTCCTCGGCCTACCACCACAAGAACCTGCCGGACATCGGGCGCTTCATCCTGCAGAGCCTGGCGCACCGCGACTGGAAGACGAACCTCATCGTCAACGTCATCTGCAACAGCATGCCCTGCCTGAAGCGGAACCGCGTGGCGTTCCTCGACAAGGACGCGTTCGCCCACCCCCACGCGACCGTGCTCATCAACATCCTGCACGGCCTGCTCCTGGGGCTCTACCCGAGCACGGCCAAGCGCCCCGCCTTCCGCTGCAGGGTGAGGCTCGCCGGGGAGCTGCGCGCCCTGCTCTGCGCCCCGCTGCGCGCCCAGGCGGAGTTCCTGCAGGGCCACCTCCCGCTGCTCAAGCTGTCGATGATGGAGTACCTCTGGCACGCCTGCGGCACGTACCTGACGACAGAACTCGACGCCATCTCCCACGTCCACGGCATGGCCACCTTCATGGAGATCTGCCCCAACATCTGCGACGGGTTCCGGCAGGAGGGCCTCCAGGACTCCCGCTGGACGTGGGACTCCCTGAGCGCCGTCGCCGCCACCTTCGTCGAGCGCTGCGTCCGGACGTGCAAGTTCCGCATGGGGAGGGCCAGGGCCGACGCGGAGGGCCACGCGTTCTGGGCGCTGCCCTGGAAGCCGTACCCGGTGCGCCCCCCGAACACCCCCCACCAGGAGCCGCTGCACACCCCAGGTGGACAGGACCCTCCCTGCCCGTACCTGACCAAGCCGGGCCAGGAGGCGCTCCAAACCCCACAACCCCCCGTCGCCAAGTGGAAGCGCATCGCCCCATCCCAGTCCCACCTCTTCGAAGTCGCCCGGGAGATGCACGTCGCGCAGGCCCCCGGCGTGCTCTGGAGCGTCTACTCCGAGCTCCACCCCCACCTCTCCGTGGAGGACTTCCACCTCATCGAGCACCTCCACGCCCGCTGCCGCGTCCACCCGCTGCCCTGCAACCTCGCCGCCACGCAGGCCCGCATGCTGCTCGAGACCTACGGGCAGGACCACGCCCAGCTCGCCAGCGTCTCCCGCGTGCACCTCTGCCTCCGCTGCTGCAACAAGCCCAACGCCGACGCCATCTCCACGAAGCTCCGCCTCTGCATGCACACCGGCAGGCTGATCTGCGTCTCCTGCGCCTCCCACCTCCCCGTCGTCGCCGTGGACCTGCTCGGGAAGGTCCTCGTCGTGCAGGGCGTCACCTACTACCTCTGCCCGGTCTGCGGCGGGTGCAAGCGCTGGGCCTTCAGCGGCACGGAGTTCACCTGCGTCGACTGCGGGCACCGCCCCGCCCCGCCCCCGCCCCGCCCCGCCCCCAGGCGCTGCCTCCACTGCAGCAAGACCAACGGCCTCGAGCGGACCACCCTCCTCTTCGCCGACCTCGGCGCCCGCATCCAGGTCTCCCTCTGCTCCAGGCACGCCCTCCCCGCCCACGTCTCCCGCTTCGTCCGCGACGTCGGCGACTACTGCAGGGCCGCCCGCGCCTGCGAGGCCGAGAGGGCGGAGGCCCGCCTTTGCAGGGGCAGGCGGAGGTGACCGTATTTAAGAGTGCGCTGCAAACGCCCGGCACTGCTCTTTCGCGTATCCTACCATGCCGAAAAGTCAACCCCGAATCGGGACAAAGTACAAACAAAATGTCCAGGCCGTGAATCGCCCACGGTCCCCACAGAGCTACAGTCAGGCTCTGCAACCTGCAGCGGATCAACCGGCTCTCACCGACGCAGACAAGAGACAGAAGTACAGAGACTTTCAACAGTTCCAACACGAATTGATAGAGAGAGTCCAGTCGTTGTCCTGTTACGCCAAAAAGGATCCATCCTATGTAAGGGACGGCATGCGGACGATGACCGAACTGTTCAAAACAATGTCAGAGGTATTCTACAACAACGAAGGAGTACTTCAGAACAAACCAATCGATGCTTCAGATATTGGTTGTGTGAATGTCGCCATGCGCGCACTCATAATCTCTGATTTCGAGAACGTCAAATACCTGCAGGACATGCGGGTATACGACTCCTTGAAGACAGAGGTGGCGTACCTCCGTGCTTACTTCCGTTCCAACCAGCTGCACCGTAAACTGTTTGAAGACAAAGATATGGATGCGTACAATGGAGGACAAGAGCAGATTGTCCAGGACATGATCAACACCCTCTTTGACGATGAAAAATACAGTCAAATCGAGGATATCGATTTCACGGAGGGAGATGCCATCTATGTCCTGAAGAATGCGCAGAAGAATATGCTCACAGAGCTCCTGGATGCAATTTACGGTGATCAGAAACTCAAAGATCACCATGCAAATATCCAGCAATGGAAGGATATGGTCCATAATGACAGTTATGCGTCTGTCATCGAGTATCTTGGAAACGTTCAGGAAAGATCTGCCTTGCTGAAAAAGAAGATCAATTCACAGCTGGTCAAGATCAAGTCCATTGCAGAGCTAGAGGTTATGGTCCGATCCTTGTATGTCGAAGGATTTATCTTCGTCCGTACTGGTATCCTGAAGATAGTGAAATGGATCAAGCACACTTCTCAACACCCACTGGAAGTCCAGGGACAGGATACTCCGATCTATCCCAAAGAAATGACAGATGAGCTTACCTATCTAGTTGATAATCGCAAGGCCGACGGTGACGGCGACTCTGACAGTAGCGAAGAGATGGTTCAGGAGACCCAGAAGGTTGACTCCTCCTCCTCCTCCTCGGAAGAATCTGACAGTGACGGCCAGTGAGCAGCATTGTACTAGTGCCCCGTGCGTAGGTTTCGAGTAAAGTTCGTTCATAATACTTCCCCGTCTTCCCATACCGTGGTATTTAAAACTACCCTCCCCGTGTTGCGTAGAACACGATGGAGGTCGTGAGGCTGAGGGTGGCGAGGCAGCCGTTCCATGCGGATGGTGTTTTTTTGAATGGCCATGGTGATGATGATATGGACGTGGAGGGAGCGAGTCCGAGTAGTGTAGATCTACATACACTTGAAAAGTCGGTGAAGAGGCTGAAGAAGACACTGGAAATGCTACCGGATGGATACAATCTGAAACGGGAGGTGACACCCCTTTACCAGCAGCTCATCGAAAAGTATGAAAACCATATGAAGATCTACAAACCTTACCGGACGCACAATCACTCCCGAGAGGACGATAAACGGGACCTTTACAAGCGCAAGAACACGCATGCATGGGATGAGCGCGGAAAGAGGGTAAAACCGTCACCCATAGAAGCTTCCATCTGGTAGGACCACACAGCGGTGATTTATTTAAGCCGCAGGTGCGGTGTTTCGAGAAGAATGCAAACGGTGCCGTGCGAGGTGGTGAGGGTGCGGGTGTCGTGCAGAGATCCAATGCCGCTTGGAGCGAAGCCGCCGGGCTCGGTACCCGTTAGGATTCTGGATAAACCCCAGAAGGTTAGAATGGCAGTATTACTGAGAGCTTTCATCGATACAACAAAATTCATTCAAGCATACATGGATTCCAACATGCTCACTCTTCATAGATGGTACAAGATTGATTTCAAAGACAATCTGACAAGCATCTTGCGCATGTATGAAGAAGCTTGGAACGGATTGGATGCCAATACCAAGAAATCTTCTTTCGACTCATACAAGCCTTTGGAGTTTCATATCGAACACCCACCTGAAACGATACTATTTGATTACCATGAACTAAACGTACTCTACGCTATCCTGAAGTGCCTGATAGACCAGAAGGCCGGTGTGTCCTATTTCGACGACATGGGTATTCGATGGAAGACTGACATAAGGGAAAACATGAACGTTTGTATCAATCCTATCTTGAAGTTGATGAAGAAAAAGCAAGAAGAAGGATGGAATCCCGATCCCAATGAGTACTTGAACGTGATAACCAATTGGCCCATCGAGGGGTGGCCCGATATCCGTAAAACAGAGCCCATGGATCTTGACCACCGCTTCCTGCCCCGTTATGGCTAAGTGTTTCAAATAAAATCTATAACATCTTGTCACCCCAGCCCCACAATGATCGGCATGAGCTCGACCACGCCGTTGTCCCTGTTCCACTGCATGGCCTCGAGGTTCTTCATGAAGGGCTCGTCGAAGGAGAAGTACTCGAGGTTGAGCTCGAGGTTCTGGTTGGCCTGGTGCTCGATCTCGAACATGCTCCCGGGCACCGTCACGACGTTCTGCTGGAAGATCTCCATGGAGATGGCGGAGACCTTCACGGGGTCCTTCCGCGTCTCGTAGAAGCCCTTGACGTTCCTCCGCATCCTTGCGATGGGGTACGACCCCGTGGGGAACGCGCCGCAGATGAACTGCGAGCCGAACCCGGACCCGTAGGACTGGTAGCCGTTGCAGTTGACCCTGGGCCCCTGGAAGAGCCAGACGCCCTCGCAGGGGTGCATGGGGCAGAGGACGCCGTTCTCCGCGGCCTCGGTGTTGCAGGCGTGGTTGTAGACGGAGACGACGTCCCTGGCGGTCCTCTGGATGTCGTGGTGGAGGGTCTCCGTGGTGGGGACGGCGACGTGGCTGCCGCGGGTGGAGTGCTCGTGGGTGTCGAGCTGGACGGGGATGTCGAGCCCGAACTCGTCGGCGACGGCCTTGATGATCTTGCACCGGGAGCGCTGCGACGCCTTCCGGAGCCAGTGCACCTCCTCGCTCTCGTACACGTCCCCCGCCGTGACGCTGTCCCCGATGTCGAGGATCATGTTGTAGAAGTCGTGCGAGGCGTAGTTCAGGCCGCCGGAGCAGACGATGTAGAGCTTGTGCTCCCGGATGTCGTTGATGAAGCCGCGGGTGAAGCCGTGGTAGATGCCGACGAAGTCCGGGGGCTCGGGAGCCCAATACTTCGAATCCGCGTACCTCCGGAAGTCGGAGAGGTAGGCGTCGCCCTCCTCGTGCGCCCCGTAGGCGTTGACCGGCATGCACTGGAAGGACGCCTTGCTATGCATCGATTCTTCTTGGATCTTTTGCAGGACCCGCTGCATTCGTTCTCTACATGACTGAAGATCTGAAAGTAGCTCGATCGCCTTGTGGTTGATGCCCTGCTCACTCTGGACACCCCCCGGGGAGATGCACTCCGTCATCGTCGTCCCGAAGAACATCTTCCTCGAGATCGGCAGGATCCCCGCGGAAACGTGGGTCCCGGCGTTGAAGCGGAAGCCCTGGAACTCCCCCAGCTCGTTGATCCGGTGCGTCGGCATTACAAGGAGGGAAGTGTGCTTGCACGGCTCCAGCAGCGCCGCGCAGGTGTCCTGCTCGTCTCTCGTCAGAGGGTAAAGCTCGAAGGTACGGTTGATCCGGTCGTCCGCCGTGCTCTGGTTCTCCATCGCCGCGATCCGCTCCCTCGCACGGTCCTTCGCCAGCTGCTTCTCCCGCTTCGCCTCTTCCATCTCCGGGGTGCTTCCGACGGGGGCGTTAATACCCCACGGCGGCACGCCTGCAGGAACGCTGTTATTTAAGACAGCCGGCGGCGCTCGCCGGCACCACTTACCGGCATGTTTGTCACCCTCGATCTATCCGTCTTCGACCTCTGTGCCGTCGCCCTCGCCCTGTACGCCCTCGTACTCGTCAGGGACCTGTGCGACCGCTTCGACGACCTCGTCCACCAGCTGGACAGCGAAAACGGGCTGCACCGCCATTGACTGACTGAGCCCAGCCCGCCATGACGCGCGCCGTAGAGGTTGAAATAAACCGCCATTATCTAATAAAAAAACTAAGAAAAAAACATAAAAAGAAGGGATGCTGTTTTTTTTTTCGGGGAAAGGGCTAGAAAAAGCGCGGGAAACGGGAGCGCGCCCCAGACAACATGCGCGAGTGCCTGTGCTGCAAGTGGGGAGAGGTGGACGACCCTCCCGAGGGATGGATAGAAAAGCCGATCTCGATGAAGATCTTCTTTCATGTATCTGCGCTGGATGGCGGGGCCAGCCCTCTGGATGCTGTGGATGCCAGGAAGAGGATCCTGTCGATGGCCAGCGACCGCCTGGAGAAGGGGCTATGCCCGGGTGTGGTCGCGTGGTGCGAGAAGTGCGAGCGGGTGACTCCGCTGGTGCGCCGCGGGTGGTCGGACGCGGGGGAGGCGATCCTCGACATGCTGGAGGAGGCGCGCAGGTTCGACGTGATGTACCGGGTGGAGAGGTCGGGCGGGAGGCACACGGCTACAAAAGAGGGCGGGAAGAACTTCACCAAGGAGCGCGCCAGGAAGGATGTCGGGAAGGATGCCGGGAATGATGCCGGGAAGGAGGCCGGGAAGGAGGACCAACCTGGAGGTGAGGGTCTTCGGGGAGAACCGCAGGTCGGAGAGGACGGGAGGGGTGGAGGACAACGTGTTTGCGGCGCTGGGCCTGCAGCGGGACCGCCGTGCTACCCCGCTGAGCCAGCTGCAGGGTGACCTGATGTTCTGGCCCGTGAGGGCCGCGCCGGGGAACTTCTTCGAGTCCAGCTACTCCCTTTTCCATGTGGGCTTCAAGCCGCGGAGGAGGACGGAGAACGAGAGGGAGGTGGTGCGGGAGGCGCAGAGCATCTCCCTGGAGCCTTTGCAAGAGATACGCTGCCGCGGCGGCGTGACGCTCGTGATCCAGTCCTTCCGCCCCCAGCGGCCAAGAGCCTCCGTCAGCACCGGGATCCGGAAGGGTCTGGTGGAGTGCGAAGTCAGGAGGGATTCAAGGCAGGAAGAAGAAGAAGAGGAAGCGGACGCGAGACGGGTTCCCGCGGGCGGTAGAGCAACGTAGCGGGCTAGGTGGTATATTTAAGAATAAAGTGATCGCACGCCAGGAGAGATGTCGGAGGGCGACCACACGCATTCGGGCATGCAGGCACTGCAGGGGTCTTCCTTCCAAGGGTCTTCCTTCCAGGGGTCTTCCCTGCAAGGCCAGCCCTTCCAGGGTACCCAGCAGTCATCCATTTCACAGACCCCAGGGAATCCGGGCCCGGGCAAGGTCGTCGACTCCAAGGGCGAGGTCAGGAACTTCAACGACATGACCCCCGTCCTGCAGCACATCAAGAGCCTGGAGGAGGCCAACCAGAAGCTCCGCGCGCAGATGGAGGAGCTAATGAACAAGAACAACAAGCTCAGCGAGAGGACGAGGCACGACATGCAGAAGGTGCTCGACACCGTCATGGCCAAGTTCGGCGACGCGCTGGAGAGCAACGACCAGGGCATGAAGGACAGGCTGCTCACCGGCATGAAGCGCCTTGTCGAGAACAGCGCCGAGGACAACGGGGTGTGGCGCATGATGGTGTGCGCGTCCAACCTCTACGAGCGCCAGACCCACGAGCTCGACCAGCTCAGGCTCGAGAACAACGAGCTCAAGGAGCGCGTCAACGGGACCTTCAGTTCCGAGGCCGCGAGGGTCGGGGACAAGCGCAGGGCGACCGACGAGCTCGAGCGCCCGCCCGCCATCGGGGGCGATATCTGGAACGACTTCGCCATGGCGTTCAAGGAGGAGGGGATCTAGAGGGGAAGCTGTGGTTTAAAGAAAAAATAAAAATATCAAATTCATCTAGCTAGGGATAGGTATCTTCAGAGAACAACAGAGGCATGAACATTTTTTTCATCTTGAGCCTTGTCTTTGTGCTATCTGGTGTCCTACTCCTTATCCACCACAAGTGGAAACACTCCAGAAACGACGAAAACCACATCCACGACACGTGTGAGCAGTGGTTCCAGCCAGATGACGTGTGTAATGGCAATTGTGCCCATGAAAAGTGGATTGTCATGTTCTTTGTTATCGGGTTTATTCTCTTCATTGTGGGAACGACAGATGAACACTAGGTAAGTACATCACGGTTACAAATAAAAGATTTAAATCCTAGCGCAGCAACACAGAGACATCGATCTTGAGCTCGGAGATGAGCCCGCGAACGTCGCACACCCCGTGCATGTGCCGGATGCTCTCGCTGACCACGCCGCGCATCTCGCGGATGTCCTCGGCGAGCAGGCCCGTCTCGTAGGCGGCGGCGACGCAATCTCCGGCGAGGGAGAGGGTGTCGTACTGCGTGGAGTCATCTTGTGATGCAGAGTCCGGGAGCGTGGAAGCAATCCGGAGGCAGCGGGAGTAGCCATCGTACAGGGCGCCCAGGGTGGTGTAGGCGGCGATGTAGCCGTCAAAGACCTTGGCAGCCAGGTCCTGCTGCTGCTGCACGAGGGCCTGGCAGTCGGCTAGCATGCTGGGGCCGAAGGCCTTGTCCTGCATCATCACCTCCAGGACCTCGAGGTCGGCGGTTCCCGCGGGGGACGACAGGAAGTCATCCAGGTACGACCTCCACATCTGCATCACCGTGTCGGGAACGAAGGGGCTGCCCTCACTGGACAAGTCAGACAGGATGTCCTGCGAAACCCGCAGCAGCCTCCTGAGCGCGATGGCAGCGGGGTGGGCGTTGGGGGCGACGATCTCCGCAAGGTCCTCTGCCTCGCCCATGTGCGAAAGGGCGTCGAGGGTGCTGAGTGCCTCCGCGGTGCACACGCCCGTCTGCAGCGCCATGTCGACCGCGTCCCGGAGGGCACAGACCCGCGAACGGAGAGGCTCCAGCCTCGGGACGGTCTTGACGGCCTCCGCGATGCTCCGCTTCTGCTCGTCCGTGAAGGGGGCGCCGGGGGCGTGAAGGGCGCTACCGACGCGCTCCGCAGCCTGCCTGGGGTCCAGCGTCTCCACCCAGTGGACCATTGCGTGGAGGTTCTGCAGCGCCGTGTCCGTGAGGGTGAGGCGCTCGATGTCCGTCCCGGAGTAGCCCGTGTCCCGCACCTCGGCCATGGCCCTGCCCAGCGCCTGGACGTTGCTGCGCTGCGTGGCGCGGCGGAGGACGAGGCCGGCCGCCACCTCCGGCCCTACCTGCCCATGGAGCGCAACCCTCCCGGCATCAATCCTAGAAGGGTCCAGCCCCGCTGCCAGCAGCGTGGACATCACCGCGGAGTAATGCCGGATGCAGGCCTGCGCCCGGCCGCAGCGCTCCTCCTGCGCCTTCACCGCCGGGTCTCGCCAGGCAAAACCGGTCCGGAGCATCTCGTTCACCACCATGCCGTCGAGCAGGGCCTGGGGTTTCTGCGAGGATGGCTGCCGGACGCGGTGGTAGGCGGCGACCTGCTCCTTCAGCGCGGCGGCGGATTTCTGTAAATTCAAAGAGATCGTCTCCCTCCTCCTGGCCGCGCCGGGCCGGGAAGGGTCGATGGCCGCCAGGTCGCTGGCCAGCTTCCTCACCCCGAGCGCCGTCTCCCCCGCGGCGATCACCGCGTTCTCCGTCTCGTGGATGGTGGCGAGCGTGTCGACCCAGTCCTCGCACTCCCGCGGGTACAGCTCCTCCGCGGTGTGCAGGACCTTGGAGCGGTACGCCCGGATTGCCCGCACGAAGCCCCGCACCGCCTTGTTCGCGTGCGTGACGTGAAGGTTCCGGTAGCGCGCGGCTGCCTCCTCGTCGGGCTCATCAGCCCTGACCTCCACGGGACGCAGCACACCCGAGAACGCCAGCTGCATGTCGTTCACAAGGGCATCCAGCGCGTCGTGGGCCTTCTGCAACTCGGCAGTGTCCGCGAAGGTCTCCGCGGCGGCCTGCAGGGTGGCCTGCGCTTGGTGAAGGCACGCGGACGCTGTTTGACTTACTTGGAAAGGAGTGCCTCCCTGCAGAGCCGACACCGCTTTGTCCACCCTCCGGATCGCCAAGTCCAGGTCCGCGTCGCGCACCTTCCTGGAAGTCCACGTCGCACCCAGCGCCTGGCCCTCCTGCCTCGGATGGATCGACACCGCGCTGAGCGCCTCCTGCGTGATGGCGAAGAGGCTGTCTTCCTCGGGGGATACGTAGGTCCGGGGCATGCGGGATTCCGATGTTGCTTGCATACTCGTGTCATCGTTATCATTTGAAGTGGATTGCATATCCTCCTCTAGTCTCTTCTCCTCTTCCATCAGCTCTTCTTTCTCAGCATTCAAGTTGTCTTCTTCCTTATCGAGCTCATTAAGATCTTCGTACACCCGGTTGTTTTTCTGCATACGTCGCTTCTCCGCATCCGTTACCCCACCCTGTGCAGCCGATGGATTCTCTTTGTTGCTTCCGGCCAGCTCCTCCTCATCACGCTTCCTTTTTTGTCCAACACGGCTAAGTTTATCGTCGATCTCCGCTATTTCCCGCTTGATCTCCGCCAGTCTTTCGATCCTCTTCTCGTGCTTCTTCACCACCTTCGCATCCTCGGTGGTCATCCTCGCCTCCTCCTTCTCCCCGCGCCTCACCTCCCTGAACAGCGCCCTGGCCCTGCGCTCGGTGGGGTCGGCGTCGGACCGGGCGGAGTAAGGGTACGGGGCGTTGCTGGCGCCGATGAGCTGGTACGCCTTGATAAGGCTCCCGATGACCTCGCCGACATCCATGTCGTCCTTCCAGACGATCGGCAAAGCCGCCCGAGCTGCGTGGGTGGCAGCGAGCACTTTCTCCGGCTCCGCCTTGAAGCCGAGCTGCAGCGCCCTCGCCATTTGCTCCATCTCGACGGCCTGGAGGGAGGCAGAGGCGGCGTGCTCCTCGCGGGAGGTCCAGGCAGGGCGGTCCGGGAGTTGGTAGGGTTCATCCCGGGTGACAATCATCGCGATGTTATGCAGGTACCGCTTCACCGGCCTGTAGCCGTCAAAGTCACCGCCGGAGGGGTCGAGCCTCTCCAACGTCAGCGGCTTCTGGAAGACACCCCTGCTCACCGCCCGCAGGTAGTTCCGCATGATCCCGCCGGGCTTCTGGTAGCCGCGGACGAGGGTGTCGATGGCAGCATTGATGTCCCCCGCGCTCCCTATCGTCGCAGCGATCTTCCTCTGCATTTCTCCCCACTGCCGACCGCTGGGAACGACCGGGTCCTCCCCCGAGGGCATGGCCATCTCCGAGAGCATCTCCAAGAGTGGGTCCATCCCTTCATCCTGGACACCCCCGATCCTCGAATTCCGACTGGAGGAAAGGGTCCGCAGCACGGCCCTGGGGCCCATGAAGGGGCGGAAGACACACCTCAGCTTCTTCTCGTTGAAGTGCCTCTGGAGGGCCTGCCGATCGATGGTAACAGGGAGGTGGGCAATCACCATCCTCAGGCCTTTGCTGTTCTCGAACGCATTGGAAACAACCTCCTCCACGGGGGTGCGCTGCAGCCCGCAATACACGCGGTCGTTGGGCTCGTTCCCGTTCTCCTCCCACGTCGGCGACACCAGCAGGTACTGAGCATTGAAGGGGAGGGCAAACTGCGTGAAGTCGTCACGGATGACACCCACCCGAGAGGGGCTGACACCAAAGTGTCCGAGGATCGTGTTCATGTTCTTGCGCAGCTCGTTGCACTCCTTTTGCTTCCACTCGACGCAGTAGACGATCTCCGACAGCAGCGCCAGAGGGACGGTGCTGCCACCGCATCCAGCGCCGTACACCGCGGTCTTCAGGGGGAGGTCCTCCCCATCCACCGACAGCTGGTGGAGCTTGAAGAGGGCGGCAAAGAAGCAGGCGAGGTCGTGCGGGGTGGTCGTGGTGACGTCCTCCCTGTCCACGAGCTTGAGCTCATCCCTCACACCACGCCAGGGCAGGTACCCAAAGTAAGACCGGAGCCAGCGCCGCTTGTTGTGCAGGGGAGGGCGGTGCTTGCGCCAGCCGGGGAGGAAGTGCCTGTCCACATTGAAGGCAGGGGGGACCGGGGCAGGCGATGATTTCTCCAGGAGCCTGTCGTCGTACTGCAAGACGGGGCCCATCGGCATCCCCTGCGAAGCATCCCGCTCCCCGCTCCTGTGAGTCAATAGAAGCGTGTACCTCTGGTTCTCCCGCATCGCCCGGAAGCGAAGGTCGATCTCCTCGCGGTGGGGGCGGAGGAAGACGGGGGGCTTCGAGGGGGCGGCGGGCTTCGACGGGAATGTGAAGGTCGTTTCATGTTTGGCTGGTTTGACAGCTTCCTTTCTCGTCACATTCATGTGTTCATCCCTTTTTTCTTTCCTCTTTTCCTTCATGAGCTCTGGATCTGGCTTGAAGGTTGGCGGTTTCACATTATGAACTTTCTGGTTATCCCCGTTAACCTTACTAAACGCCTTCCTGCCTCTCACCGAAACACCAACCTGAACCATACCCCAGGGATCCATCCCACCCGACACGCTCGACCCGAAGACAGGCCCGTAGGTGTAGAAGGGAACGTGGGCGGTCATAAGGCCGTACTTACCCTCCCGCGGGAGGCAGTGTCCTAAATACGGGTTGGTGGACAGCCGTGCCAGAAGTATAAAACGCGATTTCGCGTTTCCGGGAGGAAGGAGCCCGCGGGCATGGACGGAATGATAGACCAGAGGATGGAGGAAAGTGAAAACTTGCAGGAAGGCTGCTGGTTCTGCCGCTACTGCAGCTCGGACTGCTCCTACATGCAGGCGGTCCTGGACTTCATCCGGGACTCGGCGCTGCTCATGTCGGAGGAGGAGATCGTCGCGCAGGTGCACGAGAACCTCCTCGCCCAGTGGCCGGACTGCGGCATGACCCGGGAGGGCGTCAAGTTGCACATCCACTCCCACATGGTCTGCCCCAACATGGTGGCGGCCAGGAGCATCAGGGAGATGTCCAGGATCGCCGCCGAGGTCAGGGAGTGCGTCGTTTCCGTCGATCAGGAGACCGGCCACCGCTGCGTCGACGAAAAGATGGCCAAGCTCTACCTCTCCTTCATGGGCAGCATCAACGGTGTCTTGAAAGGGGATGGGAAGCGCGGGGTTATGGACACCGGGAAGAAGAAGACGGGATAAACACCCAATTTATTACACGCTATCCGGGGCAGAGACAGGGACCCCGACGACCTGGGGAGGCTTTCCCCGCAGGCGATTCACTGCATCCTCGGACAGCATCACCCCTACTGGAGCCACCGGAACGACTGGGACTGTTGGAACCATGGGACGGCCACGCTTAACCTGCTTGCCCTGGGTGTTCGCGCCGTTCAAAGCTTCAGACTTATTCTCATCCTCGGTCTGTCTTCGCAGCTCGTGGTACTCCTTGTCGAGCTTGAGTAGTTCAATTTCATCCTTTCGATTCTCGATCTTGATCCGTGTCTGTTCCCTTATCTTCTGCAGTTTTTCGATGGTGTAATTCTCCTTTTCGGCGGAGTACTTCTCCTTCTCAGCGGAGTGCCTCTCCTTCTCGGCGGCAGCCTTTTCCTTATCAACACTCCTGAAATCCTTAAAATTCATAGTGAGCCTCTGTTTCTGCAGCCCCAACACATGGTCACCCATCTCCTGGATGTTGCGCTTGCAGACCTCTATGTTCGTCTGGATAATGGCTTGTTGGTATTCATCCGTTGGGGGTGCGACCATGTCCGAGTACGGGCTGCTCACCACGGGCTCCTGCTGTGCATTGCCCACGGGTACACGCTCCTCACTCGCAAGGCCGTTGAGCAGGTTGCTCTTGTCTTTGGCGATGTACTCGCACAGCATCTTGGCTGTACACTCGCGGTACTGCTGCGCCATCGGGCCTGGCACGTGTTGCATGATCATTAGGACCGTCTTCAGGTCCGCCACGGGTGTTTCGCGCTGTCCTTGGCCCGGGAACTTGTAGTAGCTGTATTTGCCCTCGAACTCAGGGATGCGGGAGCAGATGCGCCTGAAGTCTTGAGCTGCATCGTTATTGTTCTTCCCGGTCAGAGCCTTGATGCAATCGATGATGGATATCAACGGCGATGGCACGGTGGTATAACGGATGTGCGCATCCTCTGAGATAAAGGGAAGTAAAACGACCTGCATGGCAGTCATTCCGTGGCTTGCTCGGTTTGGATGGATATCAGCACCCCGGGGATTAAATCAGAGGGGATACCACCCACCCTATATCCGTACTATTTATGTGACTACCCACCATACTTAAAACAATAAATACAAGTTAATACAACGTGTCTTAACTTTTTTCCTGGTACTAATTTCTCACAAAGGGACCGGTAGTCGACCACCGGTGGTACTGACATCACCCTTCCAAGATACTACCCACCCCTCGAATTCCCACACGGGCCGGGAAAGGCGGGAATTTTTTTTCATTTTTTTTTAAAAAAAAACAAGAAAAAATCGTTGCCAAGCCAAGCCAAGCCATCCCCATCCCCTCTATGACCACACCACACCACACCACACCTTCCTTCCAAATATCCTCATCCCCTCTATGACCACAACACAACACAACACAACACTTCAGGGACGCTTACGAAATCCATCATACATGTGTTGATCTGTCTATTATATAAACCAGGGCGGGGCGGAGTTGGGCATCCCTTTCAGGAATGGATAGGATTACACTGAATCGACTGCGCGTATACGAGGTGACGATGCTCGAGGAGTTCAGGGGGATGCGCAGGATCGACCTCCTCCTGATCCACATAGTCCTGCAGCTCGGAGGCCCGTACAACGATGCGCTCCATGCCATGTATAGGATTTCCGGAAACATCCAGACGAGCATCAGGATCATGATGCACGGGGTCCACCTTGGCACGCCCCTGCAGGTGAAGCGGTACATCCTACGGGAGTACATCCAAGCCGAGGTTTACATCATCCAAGCTTTCCACGCCATCCCTTCCCATCAGGTCGACCCTGCGGTGTATGAACAGACGCGACTTGAACTGGTTGACATGGTGACGTACATCATCAATGTGTTGGACAGTGACTAGGCAGCACCTCGTAGCGATAGAGTAATAAACAGTTTCTTAGATTTAATTTTTTTTTTGTTTCATATGATCAACCCATACCCCATGACCGACAGAGCGGCCAGCATGCCTATCGCCTGAAGGTGACCGCCTCCACCACCCCCTCCGACGTCCTCTCCTTTGTCCTGGGGCGGTCCGCCTGGCTCCTCTCCAGCATGCTGATCTTGAACGGGACGCTGGAGAAGAACGTCCTGCCGGAGTTCCTCGCGGCCTTGAAGATCATCGTCGGGGTGGTGCGGTGGGGAGATAGCAGCAAAAACTCCGGCACGTTCCCCATCTGGAGGGTCTCGACGACGTGGCGGCTGCAGAAGGTACGGTCGATCGGGGTCCGGGTGTACAAAGGCAGCGCGGCGAGGAGAAGGCCGAGGTTGTCGAACCTGACATTCTGGGCCGCCCGGCGCTGGCAGTAGAGGTACATCTCCTGATACCCCCTCTCCTCCGCGGTGAGGGTCTCGATGTGGTAGTGCGGGTTGGCGAAGCTGCGGGGGCGGAAGAAGAGGACCTCGCCAGCGAAGATCGACGACGCCATCCCATCCTCGAACCTCAGCTCCACGTGGACGTACGGCGGGTCCAGCCAGGACACGAGGCGGTTGATCCAGTGGTCCTGCGGCTGGGCGCGGTAGAAGAGCAGCTGCACCGTTCGCATGCAGGTGCGCGGGCAGGATGGGGTGGTGCGAGCCGATGGTTTGATTTTCTGGTACATTCACGTTTTGTTAAATACACACTGGGTTGAAACACCCCTACGCACGGATCATGCTCCCCACGCTCCCCATCAGGAGGCGGGAGCTGCGGGTTGTTCCCGGGACGGGGGATGCCATGGAAGACGCGAGGGATGACGTCGCAAGAGATGAAGACACCGGCGCCTTATCCTTTAAACCCCCGGGAGTTTCGCCGGACAGCTTCAACCGGATCTCCTTCAGGCTCTCGCGGACGTTCTTCAGGATGTCATCATGGTCCGCCTTCTTGTCAAGCTTCCCCTCGGAGGAGGACTTCAAAGAAGAATCGCCGGATCTTCCGGCCAGCGCGGACAGGGAAGAATAGCGGGACTTGCAGTTCCGGCGGAGGTTCTCCTCCACCATGCTGCGGACATCCTCCGCGGAGGCGCTCACCGTCTCCTCCTCCGCCTCCGCAGTCTCGTCGTCGTCATCATGGTACTTGCTAGCGATGCCCCTGGAAGAAACACCCCTGCGGCCGTTCCTCTGCAGGAAGTCAGAGCTGACATCCCTGTCAAGCTCGGCCTCGTCCTCGACGATCTGGATGCCATCCCGGAAGTCCACCAGCGCAGACACCCCCGCGAAGCTCTGCTCTTTAGGAGCCGCCTGGAACGGGGAGTTGTACGCCATGAAGTTGGGGTGCGGGGAGCCGAACCGCTGGGCGGCGGTGGGACGGATGGGGGCTGAAACATTCGCCGGACTGGGGCCGGGCTGCGAGTAGACGCTGTCGAATGTGTCCGCGGGCGGTCTCCTGGACATGCGCGCGACTACTTTCCCTCTCTCCAACCCCGCAAGCTTAAATAATGGCCGATGCAGGACGCCTGCGGTGGTTCTCCCCGCCCGATCTCCCCGCCGCTCCCGCCTTGCCATCGACGGAGGAGGAGGAGAAGACGGACCCTCCCTTTAAAAAAAATAAAAAAGAAAGGGTCTGAGTGGGGAAGCGGGGGGTTTATAATTACTTATACAGCCGGGTCTCCCAGGAAAGGCCCCCCCCTGGCCAGAATCTGGAAACCGTTAAACCGTTAAACCGTTAAACCGTTAAAACCTTCAACCATCATCCGGCGATTCTTCTCCTTTGATCATTTTAAATAAGGTTCGCAGGACATATATATATATATACATATATTACATACATAGATACATACATATACATACTATGTATATACATACATACATATACATACATATACATACATACTATATACTATATACATACTATACGTATACTGTCCGGCGAACCTTCTTTAAAGGTTTTAAAGACCGTTAACCTTTAACGGTTTAACGGTTTAACGGTTTAACGGTTTTCAGATTCTGGCCAAGGGGGGGCCTTTCCCTGGGGACCCAGGTCGGGGTATGAGGGTGATGATTTTTTTCAAGTCTTTTTTTCCCTTGTTTTTTATTATGGTTGTGTTTTTTCAACTCTGGTAGAGTCTTTTTTTCCCTCACACCCCGCAGTCGAACCGGAAGTTGTTGACCAGGCAGTACAGGGCTAGGTTCAAAAAATTTAAATGAATCTTTAATCAATGAATGATCTCAAAGGGATCATAGTTAAAGTTGATCTTGAGAGCCTCTAGCTGTGTCTCGTACTGCTTGACCAAGAAAGGGATGATCTTCGTCTCGAGCTCCTCCACCTCATGCCTGATATCCTCATGCCTTATAGACATCCCTATGTCCCCTTCGTGCTCGTACAAGGGGGGGCTATACTTTGTGTTTGGTGGCGGGAAGAAGGGCTTACCATCTGGATAGATCTCCCGAGTCACATTCTCGCGCTCCTGCAGGTCCGTCACTCCCTTCTTGCGCTGCAAGGCGTGCTCGATCTTGGCGTTGACCCTGCTCTCGTGCTCCTGCCACATATCAAAGTAGGTGATGGCATACATGATGCGGTCTCGGATGTAAGTGAGATAGCATCTCTTCTCACTCGTTGGCATACCAGGGTACGCCGTACAGAACATTGCGTGCCGGGATGAAAGACAAGAGGCAGGGCTCACAATTTATAGACCAACTCGGGGACAAAGGCAACGCTTGGTATTGGGGGGCCTTTCCCTGGGGACCCAGGTTGGGGTATCAGGGTGATGATTCCTAGTTTTTTTTTAAAAAAAAATCTTGTTTTTTTGGGTTTTTTTTAAGAAGTTCCCTATAAAGGGGGACAGACTGTTGCAGAACCAAATCGAAGCAGATGGGCTACAGAGGCGGTAAAAATGGTTGGAAGAGTGGTGGGGGTAACAAAGGTGGTGGATTGGGTACTGGCAAGAGTGTCAAGCGGTGTGGTGGCAACAGTGGTGGGGTAAATTATTATGTCTACACGTTAAATTTGAAGGGTGGCAAGAAGTACGTTGGTTACACAGGCAATCCTAAAGCGAGGATGAAGCAACACTTTGGTGGATATGGGTCTGCAGTTACGAAATCTTGCCCCCCTGTCTCTGTGCATTCGATGAAGAAGTGTTCATCCCAGAAGGCTGCAAAGAATGCGGAGCGGATTGTGTACGAGAACATGAAAGCGTACCACGGTTCTGATAAGGTGCGCGGTGCGGGTAATACGGGGCGATTTTGAGAGGTTTGGTTATAGAATAAATTTATCCTATACCCCGCAGTCGAACCGGAAGTTGTTGACCAGGCAGTACAGGGCTAGGTTCAGGGACAGACCGACCGAGAGGTAGGATACCACTGTGTAGATGATGCGCTCTTTCACTGCGTCCATCCCTTGTCGGTTCCTCTCCGTGTCCCTCTTTTATCGTTCTCCCTGGTTACCTCCACCTCCCCCAGCAGGCATAGAGCGATGTCAGGAGGACACTGTTGCAGACGACGTACAGGACGCGGCACTCCACGATGTGCTCCATGACGACTCCATTCCCTGTGTGGCAGATGACGAGGATCATGTCCAGGAAGAAGCGGGTGGCGACGGCTGCCATGACTCCTTCTGTGTCGTTCCTGGCTTGGGAGTACAGGAAGGTATACACAATCAGCATTAGCAATAGCGACAGAGACCGAAGGAAGTTAGCGAGCGTATGCCCTTCCTCCTCCCCGCGCGGGAGCGTGACGATCTCCCCCGCCAGGACGAGGATGCAGGTGACGAAGGTGACGACGGGTAGATCGACCGGGCTGCAGACGTAGACGACAAAGGCCGCGTTCAGGACGAAGAGGATGCCAAAGAAGAGGATGTGCCAGGTGGCGTGCTCCTGCATGGCTTCATGTGAGTAGGAGTCTTCGGGTGATATCTTCGAGCACGACTGCCTGCTCTCTGGCAGCTTGAAGATCGTCATCGTCGTCCAGAGGGTCACAAGAAGGACAGGGAGGATGGTCAAGGTTACGGAGTCAAGGTGCGATGGCATGATGCGGTTGCCCTGCGAAGCCGTAACGCTGTCAAACCCCGCACCCCCCATCCCCATATCGTCCATCCCCCCCGGGTGAAGCGCCACGAAGGACACGTTCCGCGACCAAAGCGCGTCCATGTTGTGCGTTGTGATCCTCGTGTGGTAGTAGTACAGGCGCGGGCCTACGATCTTGGAGGTCACCACGATGGCCGTCAGCGCAACCGCGAACTGCAGCGCCGCGAACAGCACCGTGAAGGCCATGTCTCTGGCATGGCGGGGTGTTCAGTACGTTTAAATCGATGGCGTCGCGCCCTCATGTGTTTCCATATAAAAGCGCGGGGTTGGGAGGGCGGGCGATGCAATCTGTCATGTCGGATCGTGTCTACACGTTGCGTGACTGCAACCTCCGCTCTATCCACACCCTTGATAGGGGTTGGCTCTTCAAGTCCATTGTCAGGACCAACAAGATGGAGGAGGGGAACGAATATGGCCGGTTGGTGTTCGTGAGCTCACTGAATAAGATCGGTCAGATTGTCGTCATGACGATCCTCAACGAGGCCTACTCCAACATTGACACGTTCTCACTCAAGCAGCTGAGTAGGAAGAAGAAATCGTCGAAGGATGCATTCCTAGACCCATTGCTAGAGGACTTGATCCGTGATATCACTATCACCGTGGATTTCTACGTGAAGGATTGGCTTGATGATGAGATTCTTCCCCAGAGCTTCGTTGTATCCGACGCAAACCGATGTGTCAGTAGGTTGTACCGTGACATCCTGAAGCACTCGGATACGATTGTGGAACTGCTCCGCAAAAACAATCCTAGATCGTTGGTCAGGATAATGAAAAAACTGTTCCATGATCCTCTCGCGATCAGGTACTTCAAAAAGTACGTCGAGAAGAGGGAGGATATCAGGGTATTGCTCTCGAAGAATAAGCTCGCAACCGATAAGAAGAAGGAGATTGAAAAGATTTTGAAGGACGCTCCCGAGAGGTTGAAAGAGGATCATTCGCTGAAGGCAAAAAAGGACGAAGTGGATAAGCTTCGAGCTGAGGTCAGCAAATCCCTGAAGAAGTTGATGGATGAAGATAAGCTCAAGAAGAAACACATCAACAGCACTTTGTTCAATGATGTGATCACTTTCCTGTTGGATTCTATCTTCTCGCCCTTGAAGACGTACGAGGTGCTCGATGAAAAGTACGAGAGCATCTTGCAGGAGAAGGAGGAGATCCTCTCCCGTGAAGGCTTCGACAAGAAGCTGAAGATGTTCGGTGGCGAGGATCACATTTTTGAGATGATGAAGAAGCAAGACTTCAAATTCACTCTCATACTCACAAGCAAGATCGAACCACGCGAGGTTGAGGCGGAGCCCACCGACGAAGGCCCTGCGCGCAAGAAGGCGCGCGTGTGAAGAGATGCGGAGACTTGCAGTCTTCTGAGAGTAAAGTTCGTAGTTTTATTATCTCATACCATCCCCATGCACCCCCCTTCTTCTTTCTTACACGCCAGCGGTGTCACCGCTACATTCGACTCCAAAAATAGCAGCCCGAAGATCAAACACGTCGCCAGCACCATCGTCTGCTTGTTCTCGAATTTGGCGTCGACGATCGCGGAGGTGACGATGCAGAGGAATATGAGCACCGAGCACACCGCGGAGAGGATCCGCCGCCAGGCTGTTGACATCCCGTAGAAAAAGAGGGTTAAACAGAGAAGGCCGGGTATGTGCCGCAGGAGGGAGAGCGTCGTGTCCGAGAGGATGATCGATATAGAGGATGCTGAGAGGCACGTGACCCCAATCATAGCAAGCAACGAATAACGTATCCTCCCCTGAGAGCTGCTGTGGAGCACCATGGTAGCACTCAGCAGCGGCATCGCCGCCAGCATCGCAAGGTTCAGCGCAAAGACGTTGCCCCGGTTCTCTAAGATGCAGGTTGCCATGATTACTATAGTAAACGAAAGGATGTATCCTGTTCTCACAATCTCCGGGTGCTTCGAGCTCGTCCCGTCGTCGGTCGCAAGGCTGTAGGCACTATCAGAATCTTTGAGAGATGGGCTCAGAACCCGGTCCGGAGGCGGAACCATCCGCGGACCGCTCGTCACAGGCCGCTGTGTGATCGGCTTGGTAGGAACGACGGTTTGCGGCCTGGAGGTATGACCAGGAACCCCACTCACAGGCATCCGGAACCCTTGCCGGGCCCGCCCCACCAACGAGACGTCGAACGCGCTGCCGTTACTCCCGTTACTGCCCTTCCCGCTCCCGCCAATTTTTGGCTCCGTCCTGTTTGCAACCCCCGGTACCTGCCCCACGTCGTTATCGTCGCGGTAGTCCATTCCTCGCGTTGCCCGTCTCGTCTGCACCCACCGTGGTATCCACATATATCAGTTGTTGGTGTGGGATTGAATTTAGCATGGGTTGGAGGTTTGTGGTGTGTCTCTTGTTATGGGCGTGCGTGGTTGCAAGTGTGGATGCTGGCACATGCTCCATTGGATACTACTCGGCAACTGGGAATGACCCCTGTAGTCGCTGCCCCCACATGACCACCACAAATTCAGTCGGCGCGACTTCTGTCAGCCAGTGCGTGGATTATGCGCCGGTGGTTAGTTATCAGTTTGAGGATGCGGGGGATTTGGGAAAAGATATTTCTGGCAATGGAAATAATGCAATCAATACAGGTGTTCGTTCACATTCTCCAGGTTTAATAGGTAGTAAATCAGCATATTTTCCAATTTCGTCTGAGTTGCTCATACCAACAACGGTAGATTTTGAAGATTTGTTTAAAATCGGCAATTCCATAGCTTTTTGGATACTTGTACCTGCTGGAACAAGTATCAATGACAATATCTTTCAACTTGGAGTTGGTAATAGTGAATTTTATCGATTCACAATATCTACAATGTCAACGGAGGGGCATATTGGTGCAACATATGGTGCAGGTTTTTATTCAGATTCAATAATACCTTCTTTGGTGACGAGGGACGGAAAATGGCATCATATGGTTTTCACTTCTGAAGAACCTGAAAACAATGGAGATGTCTTTATTTACATTGACGGCGTTCAAAGTGCGCAACGAGAATATTTTAATTTTCTTAACTTAGGGGGCAATACAGTGTATAAATTGATGGGGTCTACTATGGGTTATTATTTGGATGATTTTCGAGTTTACGATTTTCCATTCACTCAATTTGACGTGGAACAACATTATTCGATTCCTGTTATACTATGTGATATCGGATACTATGATGATGGAAGTGGTACGAATACCTGCCTTCGCTGCCCCGCTGGCACCACCACGGAGTATATGGGCAGTACAAATTACACAGATTGTTACATGGTTGACTATGAGCCGCCGGTGACTCCCGCGAATACCTATTCGAGCACAGGGAGGATGATGGATTGGTCGTTGAAGTGTGGTGAAGGAAGTAATGAAATGTGTCGCTTTCGACAATATAGTTCAGTGGGTGCTTATGTGGGGTCCACATGGACAAACCAATACATTTCAAGGAATCCATACACAATATTGAATCGTGTTTTGGCTTTACAAAATTCCATTTTGCTTCCACCCGATAGAGATGGCGATCAAACGATGCAGACCGCGTACTGGTTTGAGATTGACTTGGGTCAAGTTCGTTTTGTTAATCACATTGTGAATAAGCCGAGATTGAGTTTTGCAAATAAAGCCTACATGGAAATCTGGATTGGTAATAACAGTGAGGTTTATTCAGAAAATCAATACTGTGGCCTTTTCAATCCAAGCACAGATGATTTTCACACGATAGACTGCAATATCTATGGGCGTTACGTATGGGGATTCAAAAATGATGCAAACCCTGCAGCAATCAATATCGATGAGTTCATTGTGTTTGGATCTACAACATGTCCCCTGAATACCTACTCCGGCCCCGGCGCCGTGAAGTGCTCGCAGGGGGTGTACTGCCCCGGGGGAACAGGTCCCAGACCCCAGATTGATTCCTTGTGGGATGTGCAGACAATTGCTGAAAACAGCGGTGAATCAAAAATATGCGCAAATGACAGATATGTTGTAGTTGGAACTTACTCTGGTACTGTTTTAAAGGTTTATGACACACAACAATCAAAGTTATTTACATTGTCGTTGGTCAATTCGGACGGGTCTGGTTTTACTATGACAAGACCACATGTTGCTTTGATTGATGCAGAATCAAACAATATCTATTTTAATCTTTATGATTCAAAGTGTATTATGCGTGTACTCTGCAATGGTGATTTCAGCACGCCACAACAAGTGGAGATGTTTGTTGGTTATTGTGGTCAGACTGCACTTTTGACATCGGTGGATGATGGCGTAGGTACAAATAGTCGTTTGGATGTCGTTTTTGACATGGTGTGGGATAAAGACGGGAATTCTTTCTTGATATTGGATTCAAACAGTGGCAGACTGCGACGTGTAGTGGTATCAACTAAAACTGTTGTTACATTGTACACATTCTATGTACAATGTAGAGGAATTTCGTTCTTATATTCAGACAGCATTACAGCCTCTTGCAGCAATGGCAATACATATGTTTATGACTTGGTGTCTTCAACTGTATCGGTCACCATGGTAACAGACGCAAACATTCAACAAACCAATTCACTGGTTCATTCAAACGTGATAGCAGCTGCTGGATCGACTTCATACCGCATATACATTCTAAATATATCGTCCAAAACATACACTTCAGTTGTGGGAAATGGATTAATGCTGTATGCTGATGCTGTATTGGGCAACAACTCATTAGTTGGCAACGTTGCTGGTATTGCCACTTCATACGATGGTGAGTATCTGTACTTTACAGAATGGAACCGCCTACGCCGTGCCACCATCTCCGCCTGTCCCGCCTGCGTGCCCGGGAAGTACTCGATCGGGACCAAGGATGGCTGCATGGACTGCCCTGCCGGGTACTACTCGAATGTGAGCGGGGCCACGGCTTGCAGCATTTGCGGCCCGGATACGTATCAGGACACGGTGGGGAGCACTTTTTGCAAGAGCTGCTTAGTCGGGCAGGATACAAGGGGGTATTGGGGATCGGTCAGTGCTGCGACGTGTCTTTACAAGTGTCCGAGTGGGTATTATGGACAGTTCCAGCTGCAGCAGAGATGTGGCGCGTTGGGAAACGAGCTGTGCCCAATCACCACATCGAGCGGGGACCCATTGCCGCTGATTGACACTGACAATACTACGAATTTCTACACTGGCAATCAGCAGGGCTACTTCATTATCGATCTTGAGAGTGTGGTAAACATACAATTTGTCAGGTTGTGGGCTTCTCAGTATCGGAATGTCCCAGAGCGGGGGTTGACCACGATCTGGATAGGATATGACAACGCCATTTACAGCAACAACGTTCAGTGTGCGGACGAGATCACATTCACGTACAACGGAGAGCAGAAGAATGTGTCCTGCGAGCTGTCAGGAAGATACATCTGGTTCAGACAACCAAGCTACACGATTAATTATGAACTGTCGGAGATCGAGGTTTACGGTTGCTATTCCTGTCCCCCTGGCACCACGTCTCTCCCTGGCCAAGCCCCTTCTAGATGCAACTGCACGTCGAAATGTTCCGAGGGGTACACCAACTCGACTGGGTCTTGTCAGCTCTGCCCTGTTGACAGTCCCTTGTCTCCTGCGGGCACCGCGGCGACCAGCGACACTGGGTGCGACGCAATACCAGAAAGCTTTGTGAACCTGGTCGAAGGAAAAGCACTCTACTATTTCCGGTATGATGGGAACGGACTGCAAACTGATCACGATTTCACCTTTGACTCGGATGTTGTCCTGGATGTGCTCATTGTTGGGGGTGGAGGCGGAGGTAGTGGAGGAGGCGGGGGTAGTGCGGGTGGGGGGGGTGGAGGTGTCATATATGCTCGGGATGTGACTGTCCCGGCTGGAGCATACACTGCTGTTGTCGGTGCTGGTGGTGGTCAATGGGCCAATGGGCAGCCATCGTCTATATTTTATGCAACTGCGTATGGAGGAACAGCAGGGAAAGGACAAACAGGGGCAGGTGGATCCAGTGGTATGGAGGGAAAGGATGGGGAAGCGGTGTTTGGCTTGATACCATCGCACTCACCACTGAATTCATCAAATGTGTCGGGGTATGCAAACAAAGGAGGTGCCGGCACCTACTGGGCCTCCCCGATCGTTGGTGCAGGCGGTGGTGGCGCAGGTGGGGTGGGTGGAGACGCTGCGCATGGTTGGCCTTACACTGGTGGTGGGGATGGTATACCGATCAACATCGATGGGTATGAGCGTTACTGGGCGGGTGGTGGTGGTGGCAGTGGGTACTACGCGGGTCCATCGGGTGGAGGTAAAGGTGGTGGTGGAAGTGGATGTAGATATGGGTATTGTTGGGGTGGCAACGCAATCCCCAGCACTGGAGGTGGCGGAGGTGGCGGGATTGGGGCAGGTGGTAGTGGAGGCTCTGGTATCATAATCATCAAGATCAAGCACAAATTCTGCCCTCCGGGGAGCTGGAGTCCTGTCGAGGCAGCCTCGCAGTGTTATTGCAAACAGAATGAGTGCCCGATGAACCAATACGTGGATACGACCACGGGGAATTGTCTCCCCTGTCCAAATGCGAGTATTAGTGCGGGGTTTAGGGCCCGGTCTATTAATGATTGTGTCTATCCGAGTGAGTGTGAAGCAAATACTTACTTTGATGGCACCAGTTGTGTCCCTTGCAGTGGGAACGATGTGACGATCAAGGGGGCAAATGGGAAAAGTTTCTGCCAGCCCAACACAAATGAGTGGATCGACTACTTTGGAGGTGAGACCGAGGGTATGTACAAGAAGTGCCCAGATGGCACCGTCAGCCCACCTATTGTGAGCACTTCCATCGATTTCTGCAAACCCCAAAGCCCCTGCCGTGAAGGTTTCTACGGGAATGGCACTCTGACTAACATGTGGGATGTCAGGACCTTGGCTGGGGATGGCTGGGCGGATCTTCGGGATGGTCCTGGGGAGTTTGCGAGGTTTGACACTCCCTATAATCTAATGTGTGGGGAGACTTTCATCCTGGTCGCTGATGGTGCCAACAATGCGATACGAAAGGTCGATCTGGAGACAGGCTACACAATCACATTGGCGGGACAAAAAACTGCGGGATACATCGATGCGGTTGGGATTGGGGCGCAATTTCGACTTCCGATTGATGTCACTCTCACACAGGACGAGACTGTTGCGTTTGTCGTTGATAATGGCAATAATTGTATCAGGAAGATTGATCTGAAGACTGCCGAGGTCAGTACGTTTGCGGGCCTCTGCACCGACACGGTGACAACGTCGAGCGTTGGGTCTACCACCACCAACACCAGGTTCAACCTCCCAAGGGGTGCCGCGCTGGGGGACAATGACCACTGGCTTGTTGTTGTCGACACGGATCACATGCGAAAGATCAACCTCCAGACGGGAGCTGTGAGTTCCATCGTGGCTGTCCCGGCGGGGTCTCCAACGATGATTCCCGCTGGGTTGGACCTAGTTGGGAGCCATGCCTATATTGCGTGTAAGTCCCACCACTCGATCAAGCATGTGGACTGGCAGATTCCAGATACGTGTCATGATCTTGTTGGGAATGGGGTCTCGGGTTTGAATGATGGTATTGGTACCAATGCACAGTTCTACGAACCCACTGGCGTTGCCATAAGCCTGGATGGGAAGTTTCTGCTGGTCGCCGACAGCAAAGATCATTCGGTGAGGTGGGTGGATCTGGACTCCCTGGAAGTGAAGACCATTGCTGGATCCGCCAATCCCGGATACCTAGACGACAACAATGCCAGCATCGCCCAGTTCAATCTCCCGTGGGGCGTTGCAATTACCAGAGATGGGCGATATGCAGTTGTGTCAGACCAGGGCAACAACAGAATCAGGAAGATGCGCATCGATGGCTGCTTCGAGTGTGCGACGGGTCTCACGTCGATGAATGGTTCTTATTCTGGTGACTTTTGCACATTGGATCATTGCCAGAGACCAATCCTGGGTGACATCGTGTCCAATATCAATGGCATCAGCAAGACAGCCTCAGGCATCGACCCGGCCTCCCTCGTTCTGTGGTTGGATTCTAGAAATGTGGATGGATTCGGCAACGATGGATTGTATCGTGCGAATGGTTATGTGACGGAGTGGAAGGATCTCGGGGTGTACAGCCGTGTCTTTACCCCCGCACGTGACCACACACCGTACCTGACAGACCAGGGGGTGTGGTTCTATCTTAATGCATCGCACTACCGGTCGGACCTCACTCCCCCACTACCCCAGCAGATCACCTTCTTTATCACCCTGAAGCCCACCAACTTGGTTGCCACGCTACTAACCTCTCTGGATAATGCCGACAGTGTCCAGCAGGGGGTACACCTCTCGGAAACGCAACTTGCCTACACCCGCGGTAGCTCCTCTTCCACGCAGACCGTCCCCCGTATTGACTTGACTGGGGACCGCATTATTTTGAGCGGGTATATGGATTCGACGAGTTACTCGAGAGTTTTTGTCAACGGGAAGCCAGGCAACCCCACCGCCATCCCACAGATGGTCTCCACGGCGAATGGGTACATTGAGGTCGGGGGCTTATTCGAAGGCTACCTCCAAGAGATTCTAGTCTTCAACAAAAAACTGAACAGCTCGCAAATGACTTCGACCCATATGTATCTCTCCAAGAAATGGAACATCAGTCCTCGTTCAATGGATTCTGACAGTGACAATATTATGGACCAGTACGACGTAGACAACAGCATCCGCCGCTGCTCGATATGCAATCCCGGTTCCAGTGACTCTCTGCACATATGCCGACTCTGCCAACCGGGCAAATACAGCCCAGACGGTGCGACCTGCCAATGGTGTCCCATCTTTGCCACCAGTTTCGTGGGTGCCATATCCCTCAACCAGTGTTCCTGTGAACCGGGCTACTACAGGGTAGGTCTCGATACTTGCCAGCCCTGCCCAGCGGGGTTCTACTGCCCGGCACAGTGCTAGACAAAAAGAAAGTGGTATATACGCCTGGTTGCATAGCCCTTGTGAGTGTAGGAGAGTGATGGGATGCTTTGGGCTGGTTTTCATTGGAATGTTCTTCCCTGTCGTCTGTCTTGGTTCTCTGTGCCCTGCAGGTACATACAGTGCTTCTGGGAAGCCAGTGAACCTGGAAGATGTGGTTGGGGTCACGGGTAGCCAGTCAGATTATTACAATCCCTTTCCGTGGACACATGCGATTGACAATGATCTGTCAACATCTATACAAACACAGAACACAGATCCAAGCTGGTGGAATATCGATCTTCAGGGTGTGTACTACGTTGCCAATGTGAGCATCTGGAGTGCAGGCAGTAATTTGGGCAGGGATTCCTACACACAGATATACATAGGGAACAACTCTATTTCTGCAGTCTTGAATACGCTATGTGGGGATACAGGGGATTTCACCGAAGGCGGGCAGAAGAAGACTGTAGTCTGCAATGTTTACGGGAGATATGTATGGGCTTACAAAGCTTCCACTGAATATATGAATTGGGGGGAGATTGAGATCAAAGGATGTCCTTCCTGTTCCGGAGACCTGATCAGCTCCGTGGGCTCTACATCGTGCTCCTGCATCCCTGGGTATTACATATTTGAAACGGATAAATGTTGTTCGAGTGATATATTGGAATGCTGTCCAATGAACCAATACTGGGAAGGTGTATGTAGGGAATGCCCTGCCCATATGACCAGCTACCCTGGGTCGAGGTCTATTCTCCATTGTGTCTGTGATGCAGGCTACTATCGTACTGGTTTGAAGACGTGTACTGCCTGCCCCGTGGGGTATGAGTGTCCGGGTAGCTGCCCGTAGATTTTACAAAATATATTGACAATAAATGCTCTTCTTTTTTGCATCCAGGGGTGCCATGCAGGACATTTAAGACATGTAGGTGATTCTAGGTGAGGAAAATGAGAAAAGGATATGCGGGATGGAGTATCTGGGCAATACTGCTTTGCATGTTGGCAACATTGATGAGAGTGACTTTAATTTCGGCGGAAATACCTATAATTGGCAGCTGCTATAATGACAGTAACTATTGTCTAGCTAATCAGTTTTGTGCTGTGGGGTCATGGGGGAGTGATTATATACTGTATAAATGTTTTCCGTGTCCAACAGAGTGGTGTGGGATGGGGCAGTTCCTGTCTGGCTGTGGTGGGAATTCCCCGGGAGTTTGCCTTGATTGCCCGAAGGACTGCGGGTTTGGAAATTACAGAAAGGGATGCAGGGGGTTATTCATGGGAGATTGCACAGCTTGTGTTGAAAACTGTCCAAATGGTGAGTTTCTCATTGGTTGTGAGGGATGGCGCCCTGGATTCTGTATGTCATGCATGGATCATTCGGAGTATGATCCGGACCTGAAGAGATGCCGTTGTTTACCGGGGTACTACGCATTCGACGGTGGCAACATGGTGAAGTGTTCTGCCTGCCCTCTAGGGAAGTACACGAATCTCACCGGGGCCACGGAGTGCAGCCTGTGTTTATCCGGGAAGTACCAGAACGAGACGGGGCAGACCTACTGCAAGTCCTGCATCGGTGAAATTTCTTGCAATCCAGGTGATTACATCGCGATGGCTTGTGGGGGTTCGTCTGCCGGGTTCTGTGCAAACTGTCCGATCTGTCCAATTGATTCCACATTGGTGGGATGCGAGGGTAGTTCAGAGGGGGTCTGCGAGCCGTGCACCATGTGCCCGGCGAATCAGTATATGAAGACACTGTGCAGCTCGGAACAGTTGGGGGTGTGCGAAGTGTGCAACTCTACGCAGTGCGCCCAGGGTGACGATCTCCGGCATTGTCAGGAGCTGGACCCGGGTAAGTGCCAGTATAAGGCACTGAAGTTCTTTGCAGAGGCAGACCCGAACAAGTGCATGCATTGGGATTTTTGTCCCGCGGGGAGCTTCAGGAGCAACTGCTTGAACAGCGCCTGTAGTCAGTGCCCCATAGGGACCTATACTTCAGCCCAGAATCGATATACATCGTGCTTCCCGTGTCCCAGGGGTATGTACCAGCCGAATGTAGGGAGCACCACGTGCATGGCTTGTGGGTCTGGGTTGTACCAACCAACGCAGGAGTCTTCTTTGTGTTTGAGCTGCTCAGGTTCGGTATCCAGTTCTGTTCCGTCAAAGATCTGCTGCCCTGGATACGAATGGACGTGGACAGCCGGTTCGATTCCAGTGACGGGTGTCTGCACGCAGTGTCCAATCGGGAAGTACTCTAATGCAGTCAACGAGATCTGCCTGAATTGCCCCGCGAATAGCTACTCCGCGGTCGGATCGTCTGTGTGCACCTCCTGTACTGCAGATCAGGTTGTCGTTGGTTTGTCTTGTGTTACCACCTGTGTCAGTGGGTTTGTCTATAATCGATATCTGGTTTCTGGGACATGCACTACAGGGTCTTTCTGTACTTCGTCTAACTATGTCGATCTGACCGCTTACGGTACTTCATCGCTTTCCTGTGTTAAAATGAATACAGCTCAGTTGACTTTCTTCAATGCTGGTCTCTACAAGTTTTCGAGTAACAACGTGTTCCGATGGGTGGAGGAGGGCTCGTGCATGAAGGCATTCACATCGTTCTGTATTAACCAGGCGTTGCAAAATGAGATTCTTGTACAGAACCTTAATGGTGTGATGCTCTATGCGTGCCAGTGCAGGCCGGGGTATTATGTGGCGTACGAACCGAGCAGCGCAGTCGTCCCTTCAATTTGCCTGAAGTTTGAAGTGCCGTCCAGTGTGTACTACTGCAAGCTGTGTCCCACTGGGTCCTTTTCCCTGGATGGCGACTTCGCGTGCAGGACGTGCCCGCAAGGGCAAAGGTTCAATGCTTCGTCGCAATCCTGTGTTGTTTGTCCTTCGGGAATGTTCAGTCGGTACAATGCAGATCATGACTATTATTGGTGTGAGGACTGTCCGTCGGGTACCTTTACCAGCAGCGTCACCCAAACCTTCTGCTCGGACTGCCCAGCCGGGAGCCACATTACCTCGCCCGGGGTCTGTGAGCAATGTTCCGCAGGGACTTACCAGAATGTTTCAAGACAGTCCTTTTGCTACCCCTGTCCATTTGGAGTAACATCCTTGGTTGGTTCTGTATGCTGCAATGGATACTATCTCAGGGATAACCTCTGTGTGACGTGCCCCTTATGCGCCCCTAATTACTACAATGAAGGATGCTCCGGGGTAAATTCAGGGGTTTGTGTGGCGTGTCCTTCGAATAAGTGTCCCTCAGGCCAGTACCTCAGCGGATGTCAGAGTTCTAACGTCGGAGAGTGTCTCCCTTGCGAACCCTGCCCTGTCGGGACATACCGCGCCGGCTGCACCTACACTAGCCCCGGGACGTGCGAGAGCTGTGACCACTGCTCTCCCGGTCAGTACGCGAACGGGTGTGGTGGGATTTCGGCCGGGGTTTGCAACGCCTGTAAGTCGTGCCCTTCTGGTGAGTACGCGGCGGGATGCCGGGGGAATCAGGACGGGGAATGTGCTCCCTGTAGTTACTGTGGTCTGTACAAAACAAGGGTTGGATGTGGGGGGGCGTCACCTGGGACGTGCGAGCCGTGTGCAGGATGCCCGATTGGTCAGTTCAAGAGGGACTGCCTGAGCGCTTGTGAGGCGTGTGTGGAATGCGGAGTTCATCAGTACAGGGAAAACTGTGGGGGGTTCGGGCCGGGAACCTGCCGAAACTGCACGGTATGCCCATTCGGCAACTACAACTTGGGATGTAGTGCCCATTCGGACGGGGTATGTACGGCATGCCAGTGGTGTATCCCACAGGATGTCCTTGTGGGATGCAATGATGGGCTTTCCGCGGGCCGGTGCATACCACGGTCTAGTATCCCGTCGTACTGCACCGGTGGGATACGGGTGGTGGGTGATTCGGTGGTCTGCGAGAGCGCAGGTTCGGGAGTCTGCCTTTCGCCATGCCCTGCCGACACCTTCTCGACCGGTAACGTCTCCGGCTGCACCCCATGCCCCTATGCCACCTTCTCCCCTCCCAACTCGACCACCTGCAAGGCCTGTATCCCCGGTAAGCGCAAGCAGACCAGCAACGCCGGTGGCTGCCCCGACTGCGGACCCGGGACCTACACAGACACCTTTGAGGCAGATTTCTGCATAGAATGCCCCCATGGAACTTACAATGATGTGCCGGGAATGACCTTCTGCTACGACTGCGCCTTGCTCCGCTTCTCGAGGATGAACACCAGCCTTCCGCAGGGGTGTGCGTGCGAGCCGGGTTTCTATGAAGTGGAGGGGGAGTGCGTGCCGTGTGTGGATGGGTTTTATTGTGAGATTTTGAAAGAATAATATGGCGTCATAGTTATTGGTGGGTGCATTTAAGAGAATAAATCTGGGAAGAGTAGAGAGGTATAATGTCGCATTTTCTGACATACATTTTTATAATTATGTGCATTATCCGAGTAAGTCTTGGCACTCTGTGCCCTGCAGGTTCGTACAGTGAATCTGGAGTTGCACAAGGGACGGCAACAAACCTGGAAGATATCTCTGGGGTCACGGGCACTCAGTCAGGTTTTGGGAGACCTGAGGACAATCTGTGGAATTATGCGATTGATGATGATGCTTGGACAGGCATATTGACAATTAGCAACAATCCAACCTGGTGGAATATTGATCTAAAGGGTGAATATTTGATTAAGGAGGTGAGCATTTGGAGTAGTCCACGCTATTATTATCAGTGGACATGGTATAACGATGACAACATGGAGATATACGTAGGTAATAATGAGAATTCTGCAGTTTCGAATACATTTTGTGGGGCTATGGGAGAATTCACCTCGAATCGACAAAAACAAACTGTGGCTTGTAGCGGCTTCGGGAGATACGTATGGGCTTACAAAGCTGAATATGTTCGTTTACGTTTTATAGAAATTGAGATTAAGGGCTACCTCGATAGTGGTTGTCAGCTATGTCCTGAAGGCCAGTTCTCGTCCGAGCCAGGCTCGACTGTATGCATCGATTGCCTCACCGGTTCGTACACGGACAACTTGGGGACATCGGTATGTACGAACTGCGCGGCTGGGAAGTACCAACAGGACAGCGGAAGCACAGTCTGCCATAACTGCGCGGCGGGCACGGTCTCGTTCGTCTTGGGTGCGAGCGCGTGCAGCAACTGCGCCGTGGGACAGAAGCAGGCGAGCGCGGGACAGGCCGTCTGTGATCTGTGTGAGGCGGGGACTTACCAGGGGAGTACAGCCTCAACGAACTGCCTGCTGTGCCCGCTGGGGAAGTACAATTGGGATACAGGTCAGTCTACTTGCCTGGACTGCTGGGAGGGTACGTGGAGCTTCATCATGGGGAGTACCACCTGTGAGTACTGCTACGCTAATATGGTGTCTTTGTCTACGGGAGAGCAGGGCTGCCCTCTTGGCTACTACCAGCTGAGCTGCGGCCCGGATACCTACTCGCAGGACATGTGTCTGAGCTGCACCTCAACCAACTTCCTGACTGACCGGTCGGCCTGCACGCTGGCCTGCAAGCCGGGCTTCTACATCGCGGCGGGCGCGGGCTACTGCCCCTCGTGCCCCGATGGCGAATGGTACGGGTGCCTTACGTGCCCCGCGGGGAAGTATAGCCCTTCCCTCACCTCCATTACCCCGTCGGTGTCTACCGTCATCCCAGAGGGCTGCATCGACTGCCCCGCCGGCACCTACCAGCTCATGACGGGGGCATCCTTCTGCTTCAATTGCCCTCTCGGCTTCACATCCTCCAATGGGGTGACGCCGTGCTCTGCCTGCAGGATTGGTACATACCAACCCACGAACGACGGTGGGCTGTGCCTGCCCTGCCCGTCGGGGAGATCGTCCGGGATCGCAGCGCACTGTTGCGATGGCTACGTGTGGGTCAGCAACGGGGTGTGCAAGCCGTGCCCTGCAGGGACATACCAGGACGGCAACCAGTGCATTGCCTGCGGCCCGAACCGCTGGAACCGCGCGGCCTTTGCTGTCTCGGACCCCGACCGCTGTGCCTGCGCGCCTGGGTACTACCTCTCTGGGTCGAGCTGCGTTGCGTGCGGCCCGAACACTTTCAAGCAGGACGCCAGCACGCGGGGGCCGATAGTGACCGCGATGGGTTCTTGCACGGCGACCGCGGTGGCGGTGGGGTCAAAGATTGTGATCCAGGGAGGGACGGACTCGAGTTTTTCGACATGTGCAGTTGAGATTGAGACGCATTCGAACATTCTGCTGTATGCCTCGAGCTTTACAGCCGCTTTTTTGGAAACCCTCGAGGTGCTTGGTTCGGAGTGCAACGACTGCTTGACATGCGAAAGCTTCTACACCCTCTACTCCCATACAGGCTCCGGGTCTTGGTCGTACAGCATCACCATGAACCTCATCGATGCTCAATGCTTCCGTATCATCGGACGGAATCCTTCTGGACAGATATCCCCCTGGACCATCGATATGCTTATGGGAAGCGTGTGTAACCCGTGCCTTGACAACACCGTCTCTCCAGCCGCCACCACGGATCCCGCGCTCTGCTCTTGCAATGCGGGCTACACCACAGGGAGCACATCCTTCCGGGACGTGATGCAAGGAACTTCCAACACGCTACGTAACATCCTGCAGGTAAGGATGGGTTCTGGGATGTGCGGGACGCTGAACCTGGTCGGTGGATTCCTTTCCTTCGGCTTCACGGACGCGCTAGTGTACTCCATCGGGCTCCCCGTGCACGACAGCCTCATGCTTAGGGTTGGGGTGGTATTCATTGACCTGTGGTCGGGGCAAAAACTCCATATTCTCACCAACAACAACCTACGGGTCACCTACGTCATGTACACCGGGATGGATGCGAACCTCTGCGGTGATCCAGCTATTGGAGACCGCGAGGTATTCTTCTCCATCAGCATCGACGATTCCCATTCAGTGTTGAATCTTACTTTGGTGCTGGACCAGACCTCCGGCAGTGGGAGAACTGACCGACTATGGTGGGGAGTGTCGGAAATTTCGATTCACGTTAGCCACCTAACTTGCACGGCCTGCAGCCCCGGAACGTTCAAGACGCTGATCGGGTCTGGGGTTTGCAGCCTCTGTCCAAATGGAATGACAAGCCCCTTAGCCTCAACCTTATCTTCGGATTGTATCTGTATGGCTGGGCACAGCTTTATCGCCTCGATGTGCCAACCCTGCCTGCAGCACTTCTACGATATTGGCGGGGCCTGTGTGCCTTGCCCGCAGGGCACAGAGAACGCGCTGATCGGGCAGACATCCTGTGTCCCTTGCGGTAATGGCTTCTTCAAGCAGTTGGCCGTGCCTATGGCTTGTATACCCTGCCCACAGGGCTACACCACCAACGGGACGGGGGCTGCTGAGTGCTTCTCAATCATCCAGTCTACACTGAATAGCCTGTTGCTTCCACCGTCTTGTCCCGCGATGCAGTATGGCACTGGGAGGGTCTCGGCGGGTACCATTCCGGTCACCATATCATTCACTCTTGGTTACACAGGCGCGCCTCTCGTGGCGGTAGCGGACAGCACAATCTATGTACTCAGCCGTTACTCTTCTGGGACGCTCTCGGTGATACCCATCAGTACGGGGTGGCCAACTCTCCCGTGTCGACGACGTTCAACACGGGTTCAGCCATGCTGGTGTGGAATTCCATCTTCTTTGTGTTCGAAACCTCCGGGACGGAACTCACAAGGACAAATCTGACGACAGGAACCAAGTCCTCGGTGGCCGGCAGCTCTACCCTCGGCACTCAGGATGGGACTGGGGCCGCGGCCAGGTTCCAGGGTGTGTTCTACATGGATATTGCCCCGGATGGGACGAGGATCGTGGCGCTGCAGACCGGGCTGGCGGGCATCCGGTCGGTGGTTCCGTCAACACGGGTTGTTTCTACCTACACCCTTAGCTTCATCCCCACCGCCATAACCGTACTCTCTGACGGGGCGCACGTGTGGGTACTGTCCTCCACGGAGCTGTTCCTGGTCGCTCTGTACGAAACCGCTTCGGAGTACAAGATGCCGCTGAGGTACGAGGCAGTGGACTTCTTGCTGTCTACTCCGATTGGGGTTATCGCGCTGGGGACACAGGCCGGGGTGGTGGTGGTGCAGAATGACGGGACTGTCTTTGAGCTGAATGCCATGTCGGAGTCCGTGAAGGAGGTTGCGACGCTATCCCCTCCGGGCTCCTTCGCAGTGGATACCACCCGGAACCACCTCGTCCTGTACTCCGCGATCCCATCCGGCTCCGGCGGCACGGTGCGGTTCTCGGCGCTGCAGCTCGGCTTCTGCAGACCATGCCCCGATGGCTACGTGTCCCAACCCGGCTCGGAATCTTCCATGGACTGCTACACTCCGTCATGTGTAGTGGAGGATGCATATCCCATTAGAATGGAGATCGACAGCCAACCGGTGCTAGATTCGAGTGGTATACAGATGGGTGTGTTTTTCTTCTATCCCTACTGCCGCTGTAAACCCGGCTTTGTCGGCAACGCGCAGGATGGCTGTGTCTCTTGCCCTACTAACACCTACAGTACGGGAAAATCGGACCTTCCAATGGATATGACTTTCTGTACACCATGCCCTCTGGGAAGCTACTCCCCGGAGATGAGCATAAGCGTTGCCGCTTGTATCTTTCCGTCGTGCAAGGTCACTGGGTCGGTATCCACCAGCATCGTGCTTTTTGATGACGCCACAGGAAAGGCCTACCTATCCTGCGTGTGTCCGGCGGGGTTCATAGGGAGTCCAGACAAGGGGGTGGCCTGCCAGCCCTGCTCACCTGGGACCTACGCAGATAGTATCCTGAATCAGTGCCGTCCCTGCGCGGATAACAGCACCTCCTTCGCCGCGGCGGCGACTTGCTATTGCCTGGTTAATTACATTCCTTTCCCTGTCCCTCCCTCGGATGAGTCACTCCCAGTGGTGTACACGGGTCTGATCACCGGGGATGGATCAGACCGGTGTGTGCTGAGGTCGGACCTTGTGTTAGGCTCTTACTACATCTGCAACCAGCTCTGTTTTCTGCTGCCCTCTGCAGAGTGCACGGGTCCGGCAGAGTACCTGGCGAGCTACGGTACGCTGACCTGCAGCTGCATTGATGGTTACCGCAGGGTGGACGGAGAATGCGTCCCTGAGATGGCAGAGTGTCCAGAGGGGTACTCTACCATAGCAATCAATGAGACTCACATTATATGCAAGTGCCCGGATAACACCTCGACGTACTACCGGGAGCAGCCCTGCACGGCGTCCTTCACGATCCAGCAGCCCTGCCCTCGGGCGCTGGTGTCGGGGCCGGGGTTCTTCAACCTCGACCAGTGCAAGTGCCGGGATGGGTACGTCGAAGTTGAGGGAGATTGCGTCCCGTGCCCTGAAGACACCTACCAGATCGGGAACCAGTGCGTGCAGTGCAGCTCGGACCAGATCGCCCCGAACGCCTCCACCTTCTGCCGCTGCAAGCTGGGATTCGAGAGCCTGGGAGAAGGCTGCACTGCCTGTCCGATAGGCTTTTTCCGCCAGCTCACGACGGAGCTTCTCTGTAGTCGCTGCCCGGAGTTGACCACCACGCTGCAGACCCAATCCGTCTCCATCGACCAGTGTGTGTGCAATCCGGGCTATTCCCTCGCACCGACCTCCACTTCTTCCGTTCCGCGCTGCACGGCCTGCCCGGCCGGGACCTACCAGAACGGCACCAATGGGCCGTGTATCACGTGTCCCTATAACTCTTTCAGTTTTCCTGCCTCCTCCAGCGTCTTCGCCTGCGCCTGCTTCAAGGGTTTCTTGAACTCAATGAGCGAATGCACGGAATGCGCGGCGAGCTATTACTTTGACGGAGCAGCCTGCTCGGAGTGCCCGACTGGGAGCACGAGCGTGGCGCAGAGCAAGGGGGTCGAATCGTGCCTGTGCGACCGGGGCTACAGCGGGACGTTCGGGTCAAACTGCGTGCAGTGCTCTCCAGGGGCTTACAAGGACTTCGTGGGATCGGATGACTGCACGGCCTGCCCACCCCTCTCCCGCTCCCTCGTCCATGGCGCCAAGGACGTCTCCCAGTGCTTCTGTGTTGAAGGCCACGAAGGCACGGGCGGAGATGTCTGCTCCCCCTGCAGGTTGGGGTTCTACAAGCCTGTCGTCGCAGCAGAGAGGTGCTTACCATGCCCTTCCAATTCGAATACTTCCACAACGGGCGCCACGTCTATCTCTGCCTGTGCCTGTTACCCTGGCTTCCTCCCCCGGTTGGGAGCGGCCAGCCTCATCTGCGATCCGTGTGAGGTGGGCAAGTATGGTGAATCCTGCCAGTCCTGCCCTGCCAACTCGGACACGCTCGACCGGGGGACGCGGGACATCACTGGCTGCCTGTGCAACCCAGGGTACGAGCCCGACGAGGAGCTGACCACTTGCGTACCGTGCCCTCCGAACACCTACAAAGGCTACATCGGGAACGACACCTGCGCCGTCTGCCCACAGGCCTCTGTGACGGCATCTCCTGGGGCCAACTCCGTCTCCGACTGTCTCTGCAACGTCTCTACCAACTCCACCACGGGATCCACGCCCTGTTTCCCCTGCCCGGCTGACACCTACTCCGACTCGATCGGGTCGGTGGTCTGCACGCCCTGCCCGGATCTTACCACTGGGCCTAACGGCAGCGCCTCCATCACCAACTGCGTCGCCAGGCCCGGGTACTTCATGTCATCGACGACTCCGCCGGGCAGGCGCCTGCTGAGCAGTAACGGGTTGTACTTCATCGTGGAGTGCCCGGAAGGCACCTACAGCGACGTCGCTGGGCTCTTAGCCTGTAAGAGCTGTCCGATTCTCATGTCATCCCCCGCCGCCGCCGACTCCGTCGCTCTGTGCTACTGCCCGGTGGGCTACTACGGCGCCAACGGTGGGATCTGCGTGCCCTGCGATGTGGGCTTCTTTATGGACAGGGCAGGGTCGACTTCTTGTCTCAGGTGTCCCTTCAATTACATCACTGAATCGATAGGGTCTACAAGCATAGAAGACTGCACTTGTCCAGAAGGTTACTACCAGGACATGTCAGCTCCCGGGGTGATCGTGTTTGGAAGACCGTTGGAGAGGATTTGCCGTGCGTGTGATTTCGGTACTTACAAGGAAGAACCAGGTCCGCAGGAGTGTAGTGATTGTGATTCTTATAAGACTACCAGAAGGCAAGGAAGTGTCTCCCGCTTCAACTGCTCCTGCGCCTCAGGCTTCTACGACACGGGCAACCGGTCCTGCGTGGCCTGCCCGGTCTCTACCGTCTCGTCTCTCAACCTCTTTGGGTCTTGTTCCTTCTGCCCGGCCAACATGATCAAGCTGCAGAACCAAACCGATGGGGTGGAGTACTGCGCTTGTGACCGGGGCTACGAGATGACGGGAGGGATCTGTAGCGCCTGCGTTGCTGGGAAGTACAAGGACATGTACGGGGATGACCCTTGCCTTCCCTGCCCCACCGGCGCCACGAGCTTCGTCGCCTCCATCTCCCGGTCGCAGTGCACGTGTGTGGGGTTGGGTGTGGAGATCGACGGTATGTGCGTCGTTTGCCCTGCCCAGCCCGTCCAGTGCCCCGTGAACCGCACTTCGCTACCGGGGGCAGCCACCATCCATCAGTGTGTCTGTAAGCCCGGTATGCGCGAGACGAGCGATGGGACCTGTGTCACATGCGATGGTCAAATAAATAGTTGCCCTCTTGGGATGACGTCATCACCACAATCGACCAGCATCAACGATTGTGTCTGCAAGCAGAATTACTTCAAAAATGGCAGGGATCCAGGCACGGGAAACTGGATCTGCTCACCCTGCCCAGGTAACAGCTACTCTGCCCTCAACAGCACTTCATGCGTATGCATGCAGGGTACCTTTGACGGGAATTTCAGCACCTGTGTGATGTGCGGCCCTGGGTTTGTCTATTCTTTGAACACTTCGACTTGCCAGGATGTCAACGAGTGCTTGGACGCTTCTCTCTGCCCGGCCAACTCCACCTGCATCAACACCTATGGGAGATACAAGTGCACCTGCCCCGTTGGCTACTACGACATGTCGGTTGGCTGCGCGCCCTGCCCTCCCGGCATGTCCTCCCCCCTGGGATCCACCAACCTCACGGATTGCTACTGCCCCCTTGGCTTTTCCCCGAATGCTGACTATGAGAGCTGTGAGCCCTGCGCGGCCGGGACGTACTACAGCGAGAGGTACAAGGACTGCATACCCTGTTCTACCCACTCCGCCTCCTCGGAAGATGCAAGAAAGTGCGTGTGCGATGACGGTTATGTGGGATTCTTTGAAGTTTCTGTCTCATTTGGAGCTGTACAGATCGATACGGAAGACTGTAGTCTGACGGTGATCAGTGCAACCACGGTGGTGTACCCAGGGATCATCCAGGGTGGCGCCTGCTATCTCCGATTCTTGCAGTTGACGGTGTCCTCGGGTGTCTTACTGAATGTCATTGGAAGTGGCATACCCCTGGCAATCCATTCAGATTACCCGCTCCTGATTGGTACCCCGATTGACCTAAGCGGGCTGGGCTACAGTGGAGGCCAAGCGGGGGCAGCTGGGAACGGCCCCGGTGGCGGGACGGCGGCGAGCCCCTGCTGGTACGGAGGCTCTGGCGGCAGCCACGGTGGCTACGGCGGGGATGGGTCGTTCTCGGCACCCAACCCGGTCGGGAACGTCGATGTCCTGTCTGGTTGGCCTTCTCTGAGCCTTGGAAGTGGGGGTGGTGGAGGCGGGACTTGTAACCTTGTCCCAGGACAGACCAACAATGGGGGAGCAGGGGGAGGGGCGCTGCTGCTCTCCTCTTACGCTTCCGTAGAGGTAACAGGAGATATCACCACCAACGGAGTCAACAGCGGGTCATACCAGAGTGAAAACGCCCTGAGAGTGGGAGGGGCGGCAGCGGTGGGTCCGTCGTCATCACCGCACCGGAGGTGATCCTCTCAGGGACCATCTCCGCCAACGGGGGAAGCGCCGACGTATCGAATAGGCAGGGTGGTGGGGGTTCGGGAGGAAGGATAGCGATCCTTGGGTCCATGAAAACAATCACAGGGCTGCTCCATGTAATACCCGGAAGGGGGTACGTGTCATTTCCAGCAAGATACGGCACGGTGTACTACGACGAGTATCTCGACCCGACGTTCCTCCCCGCCATGGCCTGCAAGGTCTGCGCTGCGGGCTCGTACCTCGACGCGGGCGTGTGCAGGGCATGCCCTGATGGGTCCACTTCACTCCTCGGTAGCAATTCGCTTTCCAGTTGCATCTGCGAAAAGGGCTACACCCTCCAGGGTGCTTCCTGCAGCCAGTGCATCACAGGAACCTTTAAGAACACCTCTGGGAATGTGCCCTGTGATGCCTGTGCGGCGGGGGCGAGCACGGCCTTCCAGGGCTCCGTATATCGCTGGGACTGTGCCTGCCCCCCTGGGAGCTACGGGGATGGTGTCTCCCTCTGCACCCCCTGTCCTGCAGGCGAGTACAACCCTTACTCCAACCAGACGGCCTGTCTCACGTGCCCCGTCCCCACCACGACGCTGTCGGAGGGCACGACGGGTATCGCGGGGTGCGTCTGCCCCAAGGGCTACTCCAGGCTCGCCAACGGGCTCTGCTCCCCCTGCTCTCCGGGCACGTACAAGGACACTGCCGGGAACGAGGCCTGTGCGTTGTGCCCGGTGGGGAGGGACTCGGACGTGTTTGGAGGGGATTCGGTAGATTCGTGCTACTGCCTGCCGGGTTACACGAGTGCAAACTGCGATCCTTGCGGAGTTGGGTTCTACAAAACAACCACAGGTCCGGGTCTCTGTACGGCCTGCCCCGCCGGCTACTTCCAACCCGCGGAAGTGGCAGTCTCTCCGACGCGCTGCCTTCCGTGCTCCCTGGGGTTCTATTCGGACATTGTAGGCTCTGGTTCTCCGTGTACGGCCTGCAGGACGAATACCTTCTCCGATCAGCTGGCTTCCACTTCATGCACCCCTTGCCACGGCAACAGCTCATCCTCGCTGGCGACTATCAGTCGGAGCCGCTGCCTCTGCAACCCGGGATACTTCCCCGACGTGCCGGGGTCGTGTGCGCCCTGCCCCCCTGGGACCTTCAAGAGTGGGCTGGGTAACTTTGCCTGCGAGCCCTGCTCCGCTGGGAGCTACTCCGAAGCCGCAGCCTCCCTCGCTTGCACGGCCTGCCCTCCCCAGTCCTGGGTCGAGTCGGGGGCGACCAGCCGGTCCCTCTGTCACTGCCTCCCTGGTTATACCCCTACAAATGGATCATGCCAAGCATGTGCAGCAGGAAGTTACAAGCGGTTGATCTCCAATGACGCGTGTGTCTTCTGCCCAGAGGACAAGTACCTCCCCATCACTGGAGCGACAAATGCAAGCCAGTGCTTCCCCTGCCCTCCCAATTCAGTCTCCCCGAAAGGTAGTTCCGTCATCTCCGACTGCATCTGCAATGGTGGCTTCCAGAGGGTACAGGATAGTTGCCTAGAATGCGGAGCAGGGCAGTATTCCCCGGTCCCAGGTCAGTGTGTGAAGTGCCCACCCGATACCTTCACTTCGATATCCATAGCAAGCTCCGTCGTGTCCTGTGAACCCTGTCCTCTCAACACTTTCTCCCCAGAAGGCTCTTCCAGTGTTTCCTTCTGCACCTGCCTCCCTGGTTTCACCGCTTCAACCGACGGGATCGCCTGCTCTCCATGCCCGGCGGGGACTTACAAGTCACTCCCAGGGCCTCTGCAGTGCATCCCCTGTGTTCAAGGAACGTACTCCTCCGCTCTCAACTCCAGCAGCCAGCAGCTCTGCCGGTCGTGCCGTGCCCAGTCTACCACTCTGACATCCGGATCTCCAGACCCTGACTCCTGCCTCTGCCTGCCTGGCTTCGAGCCCGACGGCTTCGGGGCGTGCCAGCCCTGCCAGGTTGGCTTCTACAAGCCCTCCATCGCCAGTGCGGCCTGCTCGGCCTGCCTGGCAAACACCTTCAACGCCGACCGCGGGAGCACATCACTCGAATCCTGCAAGCCATGTGCCAATTTCTCGGTAAGCGACCCGGGCAGCACTTCCTGCACCTGTATTGCAGGATTCTACCGGAGCTACAGCACCGAGGTAAGCTTCTGCGTGCCCTGCCCGAACGGGACCTTCTACAACGCCTCCGGCATGTGCGAGGACTGCCCGCTCGGGAGCTACACAGACGTTCCAAACCAGACAGAGGCCTGCACACCCTGCCCTGTCAATTCATACACTCTCCAGACCCGCTCGAACAGCTCCCTCCTGTGCTACTGCGAGCCTGGTTATGCGAGAGTCTCCAAGACGGAATGCAGGGCCTGCGCACCAGGGAGCTTCCGCCCCGATAGCTCCGCGCCTGGCAAGCCCTGCAACATTTGTCCCATCAATACTTACTTACCAGAGACAGCCTCACTGGGGCCCTGCATCCGCTGCATGAATCACACGACCACGCTAGGCCTTACGGGAAGGTCCAGTGCCAGGGACTGCGTCTGCAACCCAGGGTACTACGGCAGCGGCGACGCGTCTTGCGATGACTGCCCCGCCGGCTCCTACTGCCCCGGTGGCATCCACGCGTTCCCTTGTCAGTTCGGGTCCTCCTCTCCCACGCTATCCACCAACGCCTCCGCCTGCGTCTGCATCCCGGGATACTACAACCGCAACGGGGTCTGTCTGATATGCCCACCCAACCACTTCTGTGCGGGCGGTGACAGCATCTTACCCTGCGCAAACAACTCCTTCTCATCGGAAGGGTCGGTCTCTTCCGACAACTGCACCTGCCGCCTCGGGTACCTTCAGAGCTTCGTCGTGTGCCCATCTGGGTACTACCGGGTAGGCACGGACGAATGCACCCCTTGTCCTGTGGGTACCGAGAGCGTCACCGGGTGCGGCTGCCTGGAGGGGTACGTGCCAGTGCCCGGGGGGTGTGTGGTTTGCCAGAACGCCATCCGGGTTGTTGCCTGCCCCGCCCCGTTCCCCTTCTCCCCCGCAGGCTCCACCTCCGTCTCCCAGTGCACCGCAAGCTCCTTTTGATTGGAATTAAATAAAATAGCCCCGAGCTACCCGCCTGCATATAAGCCTGAAACCCACTCGCCGCGGCTGTGAAAGGGGATGAAGAGCAGGGTGTGTGCGCTCTATGTTTTTTTTTTCTGTTGTGTATGCATAGTCCATGGATCCGATTTTTTTCGAATTTTTGAAAAGGACTGGGTGGACTTGATCAAGGCTAATTCCATTGCTATCTGTGCATACAATGCATACATCTATGAATGGGGATATACAAGTGTTCCGGATGGAGAGAGTTGTTTTATAATCTGGTGCTCTCCCAAGTACAAGAGCGTCATCCGGGTGGGGTGTGCATGCAACCGTGGATACACCTACGAACCAAACTACCAGAGTTTGAGTTTTTGCCGATTATGCAGCGGATGCGGCGGGGGCCAGCTTGCGGTCCTAGACAGTTGCACGGGTACAAGAGACACCCAGTGCTTCACCCCGAGCTGCGGTGCCTTTCAATGGTTCAATAGTATGGTGCACGTAATCAACAAGTACTTTACGCGGCAGTATGTAGGCTGTTTGAGTTGCAATGACTGCCCTTCTGGATTTTACAAGAGTGGCTGTGGTGGCCTTTCAAGTGGAACATGCCTTCCGTGCTCCTGCTCCTCGGGTTTCTACTACGAGCAGTGCACCGACTCGATCCAGTCCCCCTGCAAGAGCTGCGCCTCGGTGAATTGTCCCGCGGACCACGTGTTGGTGGGCTGTGGGGGTGGCACCGCGGGGACATGCATAAGCTGTAGCACTTATGCAGATTCTTGCAGTGATAAACAGTACCTCAGCGGGTGTTCCAAATTTTCATCGGGAACTTGCACGAACTGCCCGGACAACACGGGAACAGTGTCGGGGAGCCGACTGGGTGTGTCTTCTTGCATGTGCGTGGCTGGGTATGAGCTGGTGAGTGGCAGCTGTACGGCCTGCCAGTGGGGTGGTACAAAGGTGAAATGTCCAACCAGAAGTGCACCAAATGTGATTCTTACAAGTCAACCTCCGATACGGGGAGTACTTCGCAACAATCATGCATGTGCATCCCCGGGTATTACCGGAACACATACTTTTCGGTGGGGGTTATCGAACTTAAAGACACATGTATTGCCTGTCCTGCTGCGACCTACAAGACCTCCCTAAGCCACGAATCGAAATGCACACCGTGCCCCTCTCAATCCTATACCCGAGCAATAGGGTCGACCTCTTCATCACAATGTATCCCTTGCCAAGAGAACAGCTTGCTGCAAGCGTCGGGAATGTCATACATATGTGTCTGCAATCAAGGGTACTATCCCATTGGAGACAGCTGTTACCCCTGCCCTGCAGGCCAGTTCGGCACCTCCTCCCTCACATGCCAGGACTGCCCTGTAGGATCCTACGCCAGCTCGCCCGCGCAGACGGCGTGCACCACCTGTGAGAGCGGAAAGAGCACAGATAACACGGGGTCGACTTCAAACGAAGACTGCTACACCTTCTGCGTGCCGGGTACACGAATAGTAGGAAAATCTTGCGCCGTCTGTCCTGCAAATACCTACCAGGATAAGAGCATGCAGACATCATGCATTCAGTGCGGGTCCCACTCGCAGACTGTAATAACGGGTGCGTCCAAATTACGGGACTGCCTCTGCCAGCCTGGTTTCTACGCGCCGCAGGAGGGCGTGTGCATGTCTTGCCCAGCGGGTCATTACAAAGATACCATTTCCAACGACGCCGTCTGCACAGCCTGCGATTTTGGGAAGTACCTGACTTCGACCGGGTCTACCACCGGGAGTGACTGTGTGGCCTGCACGGGAGAGAGTACCACGCGGAACCGGGGTACTAGTTCCTCACTGGGGTGTGTGTGCAATGTGGGGTACACGGGGGTGGACGGGAGCCAGGCTTGCACAGTGTGCCCTACCGGCACCTTCAAGATAACCATTGGATCAGCTCCGTGTGAAAACTGTGTAACCTACAGGCCGGAATGTGACAGCTGCGCTTCCAACCAGGTGATCAAGTACCAATTCGAGTGTGAAGGTTGCAACAACTTCAAGTGTATCACCTGCCCTGCAGGAACGTATCGTGCACAGCTACTTGGGTTGTATCCATCGTGCTACAGCTGCCCTGGAAACGCTACCAGCCTGTTAGGAAGCACCTCCGTGACTGACTGCTACTGCAAGGCCGGGTTCACCGGTGAAATCACCTCGGATGCTTCTGTCTGCACACCGTGTGCATTAGGGGAATATACTTATAATCCATGGAATTCTTACTACAGCGTACAGACCTACAAGAATTTTAACAATCTTTTAAAAAACAAACGGCCATGGGCTATATACCATGCAGAAGACTACAGTAATGGAACCATCTCTGATTCTCTTAATCAACAACCCGATGCCAACTTCACAGGTGGAACGATCACTCATGATAAGGGAAATGGTAACGGGGCTTTGGGGGACATATGGTATGTGATGGGTACATACCAAACAACGGTCACCTTTCCACCCGGCAGCGTACCTGAAACGTTTACAGTATGTTCTGTTGCGAGGTATACTAGTAACCCAAGAAATTATATCTTTTTTGGGATACGAAAGTATTCCAGAACGGATTTCTATTGGTTTCATGGATGGAATAACGGAAAGGTGGGTGTCGCACATTACATAAAGTGGATGACATCAATATCAGGCCAGTACGCCAGTCCCTTACAAGACGACTGGATGGTGATATGTGGCACAAACGGAGGGGTGTCTAAACCCTACAATATCAAGACTGCGATGCTCTCCGATCCATTGCAAATTGACAATATCGGAACTGAGAACGGAGGTTATGGGGGTACGTACATGGGGATCAACATTGAAAAAAATTACAGAGGTAACTTTGCATTCAGTGAGATGTACATATGGGACCAGGGTTTGTCGAGCGATGAGATGGACACTGTCATGTATACACTCCTCCTGCATCTGAAGACGGGTGACTCTCTCAAGCCACTTGAAATTTCCTCTGATTCATTATCATGCACGGCTTGTCCCGATCCTAACATGTGGTCAACTGCATACGCAAGCTCCCTATCAGAATGCTTCTGCCTGTATGGTATGAAGGAAAATGATGGATCATGCATCTCCTGCCCAAATGGCACGTTCTCTTTCGATGGTCTGACCTGCAGTGCCTGCCCTCCCGGCTTCACTGGGGCTCAAGGCATTGCAGGCTGCGTTTGTCCTGCCAATACCTTCTCGGGATACAACAGCATCGTGTACAACATGGTGACTTTTGACGGCTTTTGTTCGCGGGGGGTGATATCATCCCCCACTATGCAATTCACTGTGCTGTCCAGCGTAAATGATTTCGGACGGCACTGTACCGTCACTATCCGCGGTTCTCTGACGGACTCACTGATCTCGGTGGAGAACCTCCTCCTGAGCTACGGCAGTGCGAACCGCTTTGAGATGAACTACTCCACTGCCGCTGACTGTACGGGGATGGTGGCCTACGATGCTTTCTCCTTCACAGGGGTGGACATCTCTGGATTCTACTTCCTGAAGAGCAATGGGATTAGGTGTATCCAAGTGAACATCTTTAAGATAGACTATAGTGACATCAGCGTGGATTTCAACATCGAGTCGATCTGTAGACCCTGCCCGACCTCCAGCACGCTGGGAGAAGGAGTGGTGGACCAGCGGCAGTGCAATTGCAATGCAGGGTATGTGCATACACAGGGAAACTGCTACCTCTCGATTTGCGCGGCGGGCACCTACGCCTTGCAAAACAGCTGTGTCAACTGCCCGGTGAATACCTACAAGACGACAACCACGGCGCTGTACAGTGACTGCTTGAAGTGCCCGGCTCACTCCACCTCTCCCGCAGGGAGCATCTCCCTTTCTGCGTGCTCTTGCAATGCCGGGTACTTCGGGCTGTCGGCGGGTGGGGAGTGCAAGGATTGCCCTTCCGGGACCTACCAGTCCAATGCAGGCCAGACGGCGTGTGAGCTGTGTCCTGATAGTTTCATCACGGAGGTAGTCGCCGCGTCTTCTTCTGATGATTGCCTTTGTGCTCCGGGCACCGGCCAGGAGATCGACGCGGTGCTGGGCGCTGTGTGCAGGCCGTGCCCGCTGGGGACGTTCAAGGCCGTGGCCGGGGCGAGCCAGTGCAGGGAATGCCTGGTCACGAAGACAACCCTGCAGACCGGTTCCGACTCCCCCTTCGACTGTGTGTGCCTCCCGGCCTTCGAGCCGGACACGGAGGGGAACTGTTTTCCTTGCCAGGAAGGGCACTACAAGGCCCAGGCTGGGAATTTCCCATGTACACTCTGCGTCAACGGGGTGATCAGCAGCGATGGGACGGCATGCATCTGTGATAGGGGATACTCCGGTACCAACATTGGAAGCTGCACGGCCTGCCCCGCCGGGACCTTCAAGCCATTCACGGGACCAAGTGACTGTACTGAATGCCCACCGGGGCAGTTCTCTCCCTCCGATGCCTCCTCTTCTTGTATTGACTGCGCCCCGGGTTTCTTCTCCCCGGGCAACGTTGCTGCCTGTACACAGTGCCCTCTGAACACCACGACAGGCTCATCCGAGCGCTCCATGTACGACTGCGTCTGCATCGCAGGGTATGGCGGCATCGGGCCGTATGGTTGTCGTGCCTGTACTCCGGGGTACTACAAGGACACGATCGGGAATCTTCCCTGCACGCAGTGCCCGAGCCTGGGTTTGCAAGGCCCCATGGCGAGCACGACGATTCTGAACTGCATGTGCGGACCGGGCTACACCCGCGAGCCCGACGGGACGTGCCAGCCCTGCCCGGAGGGCCGCTGGAAGGAGAGCACGGGGAACGGCGCTTGCACGCTCTGCCCGCCCTTCAGCTGGAGTTTGGAGGGCAACGTCAACAAGAGCTCGTGCTACTGCCTCCCGGGTTTTTATACGATTTCCGTGGATTATTGTTATCAATGCCCGACCGGTACTTACAACGACAAGAACGGGGCGAAGGTCTGTGAGAGGTGCCCGCCCTACTCGTGGAGCATCCTGGGGAGCAAGAGCAGGACGGACTGCAAGTGCTACCAGGGCTATTACTTTTCCGCTGGTGAGTGTCTGCAGTGCCCTGCCGGCAAGTACAACCCTTTCAACGGGAGCACTTCATGTCAGGCTTGCCCCGAAGGCTCAACCAGCCTCCCAGGCTCCACCCGCCTTGCCAAGTGCTTCTGCCCCATTGGATGGACGGGAGGGAACGGGGCGGTCTGCACCGAGTGTGACTTTGGATCCTACAAGGAAACCAACGGCTCGGTGCTGTGCTCCCCCTGCCCGCTCATGCTGACTACGGTCTCCCGCGGCTCCACCTCGGCCTCCGACTGCGTGTGCACACCAGGGTACCAGTTCATCAATGGAAGCTGCTCGGAGTGTCCGTTTGATACGTACCGGGATAGCCTGTCCCAGCCCGCGTGCGTGGACTGTCCTGCCGGATTCGTCACCTCGATGAAGGGTTCGTCGATGGCCATCCAGTGCGTGTGCCCCGCGGGCCAGGCCGGGAGGAACGGGGAATTGTGCCAGCCCTGTGCAGAGGGCACGTACAAGCAGTCGTTTGCCAGGCAGCCCATCGAGTTGCTCGCCGCCTCTATAGGATGGTCACCTTCCAACTCTATCGCCGCGCCGACGGGGACTGTCCGCACGGTCGATGCGATATTCTTCTGCGACATCGTCTTCCCCTCCAGTCCCTCCCCAGGCTGCCTGTTCGAGTTTGGAGGGTCGGACAGGGGCACCTGGGTCGGACTGATCGATAGCACCGGGACCATGCGGGCGAGGACTGGGGACGGTGGGTCCGCCATCACACCCGGGGAGGTCTACACTGGCATGGCCTACACGGACTTCCAGGCACCGACAGACGGGCAGTACCACCAGGTCTACGTCAGGATCACCGTCGTCCCCGGGAGTGTAACGGTATGGATCGACGGGCGCTTCATGGGGAGGGGCTTCGCTGCAAATGGTGGTGATCTGACCGGCTATGAATGGGCGGGTACGAATTCCGGCGCCTTCATCGACGCTCCAGCCAGCGTCACCACAGGGGAGCCGACCACGGCATGGCTGGGGAGGGCCAGGGGTAACCTGGAGTACTACAACCCGGACATGATGTCGACCGTTGAGAGTGCGGTCTGCCTCCCGTGCCCGCAGGGCGCGATCAGCCCGTCGGAGAGCAACTCCGTCACCGCCTGCTTCTGTCCTCCGGGGTACAAGACCGGCTTCGTCGAGCAGGGCTACGTCTCGACCTGTGTCCTCTGTGACCCTGACACTTTCCTCGCCAACCCGGGTGACATCAGCTGCACTCCCTGCCCTGGGAACAGGACTTCATTGGCAGGGAGCGACTCTGTCTACGAATGCTCCTGCCTCCCCGGCTTCATTGGTGATCCCGGGCACGCCTGTGTGGGCTGCAACCTGGGTACGTACCGCGTGAACGAGACCCACTGTGGGTCGTGTCCCGCTTTCATGACCTCTGACTTTGCCGCCAATTCTATCGACGAATGCTACTGCATCCCGGGGTACTTCCTTCAATCTGGGAAGTGCGAGCCCTGCGCCGCCGGGACGTACTGGGAATCGTGGATATGCCAACAGTGCCCCGACTATTCCAATTCCTTGGAGGCGAGTGTGGGTATAACCTCCTGCGCCTGCAACGCTGGCTACATCGGGAGGGACGGGGAGGCGTGCGTGGCCTGCGATCCGGGTACGTACAAGTTCATGTCAAACCCTGGAAGCTGCCGCGATTGCCCCAAAAACACCATCTCTCCATCCGCTAGTGGATCCATCCTAGACTGCATCTGTGAAGCTGGCTACACTGGGATGGCCGGATCGGAGTGCGCGGCGTGCCAAGAGGGAAAATTCAAACCCACGACAGGGAGCGGGGACTGCACGGGCTGCCCGGGAGGGTCGACCTCCCCGATCGCCTCCGTGTCTGCCCTACAATGTACCTGCCAGCCCGCGTTTCAACCCACGGAGAGCGGTTGCGAGCCCTGCCCAATCGGGACCTACAAGGACAACAGCCTCAGTCAGCCCTGCACCCACTGCCCCGCTAACTCCACCACCGTCGCCGTCGCGTCACAGTTTGTCACCGCCTGCCAGTGCGTGGATGGGTACGTCGGGGAGAGGGGCGGGCCGTGTGTACCCTGCAATTCCTCTTCCTACAAGATCACATACCTGACGTGCCAGCCGTGTGGGACGGGGCAGTACTCCCCGCCAGCAAGCGACTCGATAGAATCCTGCGTCTGCGCGGAGGGCTTCTACCCAATTCAGGAAGGCTGCGCGCCCTGCAATCCGGGGGCGTTCAAGAATTGGGTGGGGGACGACGCTTGTGAGATCTGCCCTGAAAACACCACCACCCTGAACTACGGTTCCATTTCTTCAGAGTCCTGCACCTGCCTCCCGGGCTTTCACCGCTCGAATGAAGGAAGCGCCTGTGAAAAGTGTCCGACAGACACGTACAAGAACACCACCGGAGAGACAGGCTGCAACCCCTGCCCGCAGTACTCTACCTCCCCAGCGGGCTCGGCCACCATACAGGAATGCATCTGCAACGACCGGTTTGCCCGCTTCGGGGACATCTGCACCCAGTGCGAGGTGGGCTTCACCTACAACGACGCCACGCTTGAGTGTGAGAAGTGTACCGGGGAGCGCATCACCGTCGAGCATGGCCTGAATTTATTTCAGTGCTACTGTCCGGCTGGCTACCGCTTCAGCGAGTCCGCCGGGGAATGTATTCCTTGTCCCTTTGGAGAATTCCGCCCGTTCACACCGACAGATAATTGCAGTCTCTGTCCTCCAAACTCTAACACGATCATCGCGGCGAGTCCTTCCGAGGACTTCTGCCAGTGCCTGCAGGGATTCACCGGCCAGGCCTCCTCCTGCAGCTCCTGCCCGGCCTCCACCTACAAGAACGCGACTGGAGCCCAACCCTGTACCCCTTGCCCAAACAACTCGGTGTCAGAACTCGGATCAACTTCCCGCTTCCAGTGCCAGTGCCTGCCGGGGTACACCTCGCCCACGGGCGTGCTGTGCCAGCAATGCGGGAACAACACGTTCAAGGAGGGGCTGGGCAGCTTGGGATGCATCCCCTGCTTCGAAAACTCCGTGTCACCACCCGGCAGTGGCTCGAGCGAGGCCTGCATCTGCGACGCCGGGTCATATCTTCGCGCACCGAGCTTCTGCTCCGACTGCCCGCTCGATACCTACAAAGCTACGGTCGGGAACGAGGCATGTACGGGTTGCCCAATCAACACAAAGACGATCATCACAGGGGGGACGTCCGAGGAGGTCTGCATCTGCGATCCGGGCTACTTGTACGACCCCTCCTTGGGAGACTGCGTGGACTGCCCGCAGGGCTACTTCCTTGACGGCACCGGCCAGATCTGCAGTAAGTGCCCAGAAAACATGACCACCCTAACCGCGGGTAGCGCCACTCCCAACTCCTGCCGCTGCAAACCCGGCTACAGCCCGGATGTCAACGGTGTGTGCAAGGCCTGCCCTCCCTACACCTACAAGGCCAGCATAAGCCAGAACCCCTGCAGCCGGTGCCCTGAGCGGACGATTTCTGCTCCTGCCTCTACGAACGTTGACATGTGCGTCTGCGACCGCGGCTACACCAGCCTCCTCGGGCTCTGCGTGGCGTGCGATGCGGGCAAGTACAAGGACTCCACGGGGGACCAGGCCTGTACGCCGTGCCCGGACGACTCCACCAGCCCCCAGGGAGCGGCCGACGTCACGCAGTGCCGCTGCAACCCGGGCTACGAGGGCAGCGGCATTGTGGGATGCACGGCCTGCCGGGCCGGCTTCTACAACGACGACGGGCAGGTGTCCTGCAAGCGCTGCCCTGCCAACTCCACCAGCCCCTCTGCCTCCCCGTTACTCTCCTCTTGCGCGTGCATGCCTGGGTACTACGGGCAGAACGGGGTGGAGTGCGAGGCGTGCCCTTCCGGGAAGTACAAATCCCTGACTGGCGACTACGCTTGCCTGCCGTGCCCAGACGACTCCGACAGCCAGCCCGGGAGCGCCGCCCAGTCCCTCTGCCTCTGCAAAGCCGGGTTCTACGGGCCGGGAGGCGGGCCTTGCGCGCAGTGCGATGCGGGGAGGTACTCCAACGGGTCTGGGTTCAGCGCTTGCCTGTCCTGCCCAGCAGACTCCTTCTCCCCCCAACAGTCGGACTCCCCCCTGGATTGTGCCTGCAACAGGGGTTTCAATGAATCCACCCGGGTCGACGGCGTCCCCACCTGCGTGGCCTGCCGTGCCGGGGAGTACGAGGATGGCGGGAGCTGCCTGCCTTGCCCCGAAAACTCCACCAGCCTCACCCAGGCGGGGGTGGGGGCTGAAGCCTGCAAGTGCCTCCCTGGGTACACCGGCCCGGACGGCGGGCCCTGCTCCCCTTGCCCTACCAACAGCTACAAACCCAACCACGGGGAATTCAGCCTTATGAACCTCCTGAATCAATCATGGGCATCTGCAGCACTTTCCACTACGGTGAATGCAGCAGGCAACGCCATGGACGGAAGCACGGCCACCTGTGCCGAGACCGGGACGGAAATGATCCCCTGGCTGCAGGTCTCGTTCCAGAGCCCGCAGTTGCTCTCCCTCGTCACACTCCAGAGCTGCACCGACTGCTCCTTGACTGGAATCGACGTCAACGTGGGCAACTTCACCGACTTCACTGTCAGCCCCTTCTGCGGGAGCTACGTCTCTCTCGCGGGTGGGGCACCGATCACATTCGCGTGCTCGCTGGTGGGTACCTTCTTCACCGTCAGCGCCCCCTCTCTGAACTCCGGACTGAGGCTGTGCGAGGTCGCCGCCTACTCGACCTGCCCGCTCTGCCCGCTGCACTCGCGCTCGAACCGGCCCGCCGCTACCTCTCCCACCGCATGCGAGTGCGAGCCGGGCTACACTGGGCCGGGCGGGTACGATTGCACGGCATGCGAGGCGGGGAAATTCAAGCCTCAAGTCGGATCGGGGGCCTGCACGCTATGTCCCGATTTCTCCACGAACCAGGAGGGACAAGCCAGCGCTTCCAGCTGTGTCTGCATTGCGGGGAGGACCAGGGACGCGAACGAGGACTGCTCTCCCTGCGATTCCAAGTCCTACAAGGAGACCATCGGCAACGAGGCCTGCACCCCCTGCCCTGACAACTCCCAGTCGTCAGGCCTGAAAGACACCCTCGGGACCTGCCGCTGCCAGCCGGGCTACACCGGGGCGGACGGCGGAGAGTGTGCGGCCTGCCCGTCTGGGTCGTACAAGACCCTCCCCGGCCCCTCTCTCTGCGACCTCTGCCCACCCAACACATACCAGCCATACCTGGCTTCCACCACCATGGACGACTGCCAGGAGTGCCCCGCCGGGAGCGTCAGTCCGGCAGGGAGCACAAGCGAAGACACCTGCGTCTGCAAGCCCGGCTTCGAGCCAGGGTCTTCCAGCTACTGCCAGGAGTGCCCCATGGGATCTTTCAAGGCTATTACCTCCATGCTCCCCTGCCAGATCTGCCCGAAAGACACCTTCCAGCCCTCCCTAGGTGCTAACCGCTCGGATTTATGCCTTGTCTGCCCCGACCACTCCTTCTCCTTGGCGGGATCGGTAGCCATCTCCGATTGCCTCTGCGACGTCGGCTATGCGAGGGTGGGGGACACTTGCTCTCACTGCAATGTCAGCTTCTACAAGGACACCACCGGCAATGGCGCCTGCACGGCTTGCCCCATGTACACTTCCACTCCAACCATTGCTTCAGCCTCCCTAGAGTCCTGTGAATGTATCACGGGATTCGAAGCTTCTACCAATGGAGTGGAATGCACAGACATGGATGAGTGCACGACTCTAGCAAGCCCCTGTCCGCTCAATTCCTTCTGCACCAACACTTTCGGGTCTTACACCTGCACCTGCCTCTCGGGCTGGTACCCCATCATCGGGCAGTGCCAGGATGTCGACGAGTGCAGGCAGGGGACCGACACTTGCGACAAGAACGTGAGCTTCTGCGAAAACACCCAGGGTTCATTCATGTGCTTTTGCAAAGAAGGCTACTACTACAGCCTATCCGAAGCTGCCTGCGTAAACCTTAACGAATGCGCCGCGGCAGTAGCGCCCTGCCCGATCAGCTCCGTCTGCACCGACACGGTTGGAAGCTTCGGGTGCAGCTGCATTGAAGGCTACGGCGAAGACCCCAGCACGGGCCTCTGCGTCAACCTCGATGAGTGCGCGGGAGACCCTTGCTTCGAAAACTCTGTCTGCATCGACCTCGATGGAGCCTACCGCTGCGAGTGCGAGCCCGGTTTCACCCTCGACGCGTCCAACAGCTCCTGCCTCGACATCGACGAGTGCGAGCTCGGCACCGCCGGCTGCAGCAGGGACGCCACCTGCACCAACACCCCAGGGAGCTTCACCTGCGAGTGCAACGAGAACTTCCGCGGCAACGGCCTCTACTGCGAGTGCGCCATCTGCATCGACTGCCCCGCCGGCTCCTACTGCTTCAACGAGATACAAGTCAAGTGCCCGGAATTCTCCACCTCTCCTCCCAACTCGCAAAGTAACTTCTTTTGCACGTGCTTTGAAGGGTACTACTCACTCAACGTCTTCACCACCGAGTGCCTCCTGTGCCCTGCCAATGCGTTTTGTACCAATGGGGTTATAGAGAACTGCACAAAGCACAGCTCGAGTCCACCAGGTTCGAGCTCATGCACTTGCGACCAGGGTTACTACTCCGATCCAGAGGCCTTGAAGTATACCTGCATTTCTTGCCCTAGAAACCATTACGGGACGGGTGGGGGCAACTGCACCCTCTGCCCCAATCGTTTTCAGTCGGATGGCAATGCGGTATATGTGACGGAATGCTTCTGCCCGGCTGGTTACCGCATCGACATGTCCGGGGATTGCGTCCCGTGCCCCGAGCTCACATACTGCCCCGACCGCAATACAATTACCCCAAGTGAATGCCCCGCCAACACCTACTCTCACGTGCAATCGAAATCGCTAGATGATTGCCTATGCGAACGCGGCTATGGATCCTACAACAACAGCGACTGCCAGCCCTGCCCTGCGGGATACTGGAAGGATGCCAGGGAGACCGTCCCCTGCTCACCTTGTCCGGAAAACACCTACCTTCCTAAAACGGGGATCATCAACTCGAGTGAGTGCCGCGCGTGTCCCGCCAACACCCGGTCTCCATCGGGCACTTCCCTCCTCGCGCAGTGCCTCTGCGTGCCAGGTTACTCCCGTCGAAACGATACCTGCGAGCCCTGCCCACCGGGGTTCTACACAGAGTCCTTCAATCATTTCAGCTGCACTGCATGTGGGGACAACCAGTACTCCACTGTGTCTCCGTCTTCGAGCCGCTCCAACTGCGTTGCCTGTGTAGGGAACAGCACAAGGCTGGCGATCGATATTGCATCTTGCCTTTGCAACCCGGGGTTCTTTGGTGTGATTCAAGATGGAAGCCTGCAGTGCACGCAGTGCGACAAGGGCTACAGCAAGACAACATTTGGCAACGGATCCTGCGCGATCTGCTCTAATGATACCTACGCGGATGAGCGGGGTCTTACAGTGTGCAAGGCGTGCCAACCCAACTCCACTTCTCTCCCGGGTTCGGTCTACCGTTCAGAGTGCCTTTGTGACCCCGGATATGAGTACAGCTCCGGCGATTGCCATGCCTGCAAACCTGGGACTTACAAGTCCGTCTCTACCAGCACCGACCGCTGTCTGAAGTGCCCGGAGGATACATTCCTGGATTTGCTCGGAGCCTCCAGCATCGATCAATGCATTAAGTGCCCTTCCAATGCAGTCTCCAGCAATGGCTCCTCGTCTGTATCAAACTGCAGCTGCGTCCCGGGTTACTACACCATGGACGGTGGCATCACTTTCGTCTGCCGGGAGTGCGGGCCCGGTTACTACTCCGTGGACTACAACCAGAGTGTCTGTGACGCCTGCCCAGCGGGAACGTACTCGGAGAAGGCGACAACCGTGGCAGAGAGTGACTGTCAGAAGTGTCCCGATAATACCACCAGTGATAATCATACAGGTAACATCACAGGATGCCGCTGCACCCATGGTCACTTCGGCAGGGATGGGCAGGCCTGCTCCCCCTGTCCCGTCGGAACCTACAAAGACGCGCAGGGCGACCTGCCGTGTGAGATCTGCCCGGACGGCCGCTACTCCGACACCCTCGCGGCGGATTCGATAGGATCCTGCCTGGAATGCCCCCCGCATAGCACGAGTTTCAATTCGATGAAGGCCACCCTTGCGGCATGCCTCTGTGACCCGGGCTACACGGGGGCATTTGGGAACTGTAGTGCCTGCCCCATTGGTTACTACAAGACAACCTACGGCTCCACTGAATGCACACCCTGCCCGAACAACACCTATAGCATCATCCCCGCTGCCATCTCAGAAGACCTCTGCCAGACCTGCCGTGATAACAGCATCTCCGGGGAGGGAACCGGGTCGGAGCTGGGCTGTCAGTGTTTGGAAGGCTTTGGATATGTGGAAGGGAAGTGCACGGTGTGTCAAAAAGGATACTACAAGGACACCATTTCCAACCGTGTGTGCGAGGCGTGCCCTGTCAACACTTACAACCCGCTGAACCAGTCCTCCCAACCTTCGGACTGCCTCCCCTGCACCAACAACACCATCTCCCAGCAAGCTTCCGTCAAGAATACGGACTGCATATGTGAAAGCTGGTATTTCGGACCCGATGGCGGGCCGTGCATCCCCTGCCCTGATGGCTTCTTCAAAGATGCACTACACAGGGGATGCATCCAGTGCGGTTTCGGGATGATAAAGATGTTAGACCAGTTCCAGTGTATCGCTTGCCTTCCAGGGACATACGGTCCCGAACTCGCCAATCCCTCTTGCCTTGCATGCTTCCCGGGGAGCTTCCAGCAGTCACCTGGACAGAGCTCCTGCTCCCTCTGCCCGATCGGAAAGGCATCCGAGGCCAACGGCTCCAACACCTCCCTCACCTGCCAGAACTGCTCGGCGGGCTACCATGCCCCCTCCCCCGGAACCTCCTCCTGCCTCATCTGCACGGGTGGAACTTACTCCCTTGAAGCATCGAGTGACTGCATTCCCTGCGACCCGGGCTCGGTCTCCCTCCCCGGCTTCAGCTCCTGTCTCCAGTGCGTACCACAGACCTACGCAGACGCCAACGCCACCCACTGCAAGGACTGCGAGGAGGGCTTCTACTCCGAGGCCGGGTACACCGCCTGCGTCAGGTGCCAGCCCGGCTACCGCCTCGATTTCGACCTGCGGGTCTGCATCGGTTGTGACAACAACACGTACTCCAACGACTTCCGTCTCGTCTGCCGCGACTGCCCTCTAAACTCGACGAGCCCGGCGGTGTCAGGCAGCGTCTTCGACTGCGTATGTGAGGACGGATACGAGATCCAGCTGGTTGCGGGGGTCTACCAGTGCGTGGCCTGCCTGATAGGGCACTACCGGGGTCCCGGCATGCTCTTCTGCGAGCCCTGTCCCCCGGGCTACTTTGGAGACTCTCCTGCGCTACACAAGTGCGAGCCCTGCCCCGCGGGCTTCTACGAAGACACCAACGGGTCCTCCGCGTGCATCCCCTGCGACTTCGATACCTACCAGCCCATCACAGCCGCCACCCGAGCCGACCAGTGCCTCGCTTGCCCGGCCAACTCCATCACGTACAAGACCGCGGCGGAGTTCCAGTATGACTGCCGGTGCGTCCCAGGGTACGAGTACAGACTGCAGCCAGTAGCGTCGGGGGGCTACCACATGACCTGCACGGCCTGCCCACCTGGTAAATACAAGGATAGCACGCTGAACGATGCCTGCCGTCCCTGCGAGAGGGGGTCTTACACTCCCGAGAATGCTTCGCTGTACTGCGAATACTGCCCGCTCGGCACCTCCGGCATCGGCCAGGGGCAGGCATCCTGCCCCCCCTGCAAAGAAGGCTACTACGCATCGAACTCAATCGAGATTATTTCAGGCTGTGTCCCCTGCCCCTCCGGTATGACGACGCTCTTTACGGGAAGCCAGAGCACAGGGAGCTGCCGCTGCCTCCCGGGTAACACTCCGATCGACCCGCTGGTACCTCTGAAGGGCTGCCGGACCTGCTACCCTGGGCATTACAAACCCGGCGTCAGCAACCTCCCTTGCTCCTCCTGCGATTTCAACACGTACCAGCCCGAGTACGGGGCGGTGGATTCCACCAGCTGCCTGCCCTGCCCGAATCACTCCCTGTCCCTCTCTAGCACCGCGAACATCGAGGGTTGCATCTGTGAGTCAGGATATGAGAGGATCGGGGAGGACACATGCAGTCCTTGCAGTCCTGGAAGCTACAAACCCTCCCTGAGCAACGCGGAGGTATGCGTCTCGTGTTGGGTGGGCTACTTCTCCGAATTTCCCGCTTCCTCGTTCTGCAGCCCGTGCACAGCCGTCGGCCTCTACACTACAACAGCAAGCAGTGCCTCCAACTCGAGTGATATGTGTAAGTGTATCCCAGATTACGGTCTTGCTTCCAAGGCCAATGTTACGAAGACCTGCGTCCCCTGCGGCACGCTCTCCTTCAAGAAGGGACTGGGAGACCAACCCTGCCAGTCCTGCCCTCTCAGCGACAGCATCGCCAAGCACTACCTCGTCACCGACTACTCCTGCCTGGCCCGCTGCGACCCGGGCTACATCCTCGACGAGGACTACGACGCATGTCAGCCGGAATCCAAGCTCCTCTCCCCCGTCACTGACGATCTGATCATCACAAATGTTTCAGGTGATGGGTTTCATGATGCCATCACCGGGAGTATACTGCTCAAACATACCTCTGGGACATCAATCCCTGTTCTGTATCTTTCTAAGAGCATACCAGAGGTCGAATGCAAGGCGTGCTGCCTTTCCGAGATCCAGAGTGATACTTCTGAAGAACTCCTCCCCGCCTCCCTCTCCGTCACGTACCAGGCCTGCCCCAATGGGACCTGCGATTGTGAGCGGCTAGAGAAGGCATTTTACGAAAGGTACATCCCCTACGGGCAGGACACGTACGGCTTCATGGACCTCACCCCGGCCTACGGCGGGCTCTACCGCTTCTCCATCGACGCCGCCGCGCTGGAGCCCGTCGTGAACTGCACGCCCTGGGGTCAGGGGTGGCTGAACTGCAGCTTCTATATCGCGGCCATGTTCATCCAGGTAGACTCTACACTATCTACGACGTACCACACGGTCTACCACAGGGTGAGCTACAGCCGGGGCGTGTCGGCCTCGATGTCGGTGATCCAGAAGGTGCAGCCGGGGATGGTTTCCTACCTCTCTCTTTCACTGTACCGGTTCGCAGGCTCGAACCTATACGCCGCCCGCTTCGTCTTCGAGGGAGACGAGGAGCTCCTGGTAAGGGCCCAGGCCATGACCTACATCCTCCGCTACGGTGGCTGGAAGGGGTGGGATGTCATCGACGAGCAGAGGATCTGCGCAAGCCTGGCTCCACTCCCTTCGTGCTGGTCCGCGAGCCCAGCACTCCACGGCGCAGTCGTCATCGACCAGAACACGGCCGGGACGCACTGCGAGACGCTCTTCACCTGGCGCCCGGGCTGGCCCATGTACGTCGTCCTTCAAACACCCCACCTCTACCATGACTTCGACACAGCAAGGATCACCCTCCTGCTGGCTTCCAGGAAAGGTGGCTATGCCTTCACAGGGGTGGCCCTTACAGAGAAATTCCTGGAAACCTGCACGGCGAGCCTCGTCTCGGTGGACGAAAGGAAGCTACCCGCCGCCTTCCGCTTCGGGCTGAACAGCTCCTGGATACCTTACACATCAGGCATTGAATTCCCCTCCTTGTCCGAGTCGATACAGGACTCTCTGCTGTCGGTCAGGATAGGGGTCCCTGGGGTGACAAGGATTGAAATCGTCCTCATCCACGCCATCGGCGATCTCCTCCCGGGCCTGATCCGCGGGCTGATGGACCAGAGTAGGGTCTTCCTCACCCAAGGTACCAGCCACCTCGTCCTCTCAGATACATTCCAGAAGGCCTGCTTCAGAGACTACCCCATGTACTGCGTCACCCAGACGAGCACGATTGGTCTGGTCGACCTGCTCCGCCTCCCGGACTCCCCCTCGGCCTGCACCTCCCAGGCAACAACCTGGCTCTCCGATAATCTGCTTCTGTATACCTCCATCGCGTCTCGCTACGCGGAGGCAAGGTGTGGGGAGGCAGATCTTGCTAGTTATTCCTACTTCTGGATGCGAACCGCCTACCACTGGCCCCCGACCTTCTCAGACTGGCTCACTGCCAACCGGAGGGTCACCTCCTTCATCCACATCGCAATCCCCGCCGGGCAGGCCGCGGTCGTGAGGATGCCGTGAGTATACGAATATACGATTTATTTCTTCTTACTCACTGGCTCCTTGGGCGGTGGCGCGAACTTGGCGGGGGTGGCCTTCTTCGGGGCCTGGTACTGGAGCTCGGTCCTTGTAACCTTCCCGGCATCCCTGTCCTCCTTAGACTCATTCCGATCCTTCATCGCCCCCATCTCTCCCGGGACGCCGACCATACCACCCATATTCCCGTTCACACTCGCAAGGATGTCCTTATCCGCGTTGATGAGCGTATCCGACAGTTTAGCAGCGGTGGATGGTTTGATCGAGCCGATCTCGAAGAGCATCTTGAGGTCCTCGATGCTCTCGACGTCGATCTTAGGGGCGGGCTGGATGACGAAGTTGACCCTGTGTGGGTCTTCCTCCCCGTAGATGATGGAGTAGACATTCCCGGCCAAGGCTCGCAGATGCATGCAGAGCTGCTGCATCTCGGCCGAGAATATCCGCTGGTTCATGCCGGCCTCCTTGGTGAGCCCCAGGTTCCCGATCATCATCTTGGGCGGGATCTTGAACAGTTGGAAGACTGAGTTCGTCCACTGGTTGTAGAGAAGGGATATGTCCTCGACCGGGTTCAACTGGCCGAGCATCTGGCTGTCGTAGTTCTTCGGGAGAATGTGCAGGAGCGGGGGATGGTTGCCTGAATTCTCCAGGAACTCCTCCTCGATCTGCTCGGTGACCTTCCTTGCCTGCATACCCTCCTCCTCGGCGAGGCTGGCCAGGAAGAGGTTGTGCTCGGCCCGGACGGCGGGTAGCGTCAGTTGGGTGGCCAGGAAGTTCTCCCTGGGCTGGTCCGTCGGTATCTTGCTGTCCTTGAGCGAGCAGACGACGTGGGCCCTGGTGTTCCAGGCGTCGGCCATCGAGCGCCTCGCCCTCGCCTCGCGCAGGTCCCGGTACTCATGGATCAGGCCCGCCATCGGGCTGCTGACCGTTGCGTAGAAGCGGGAGTTGCCCGACACGTTGAAGGTCGGCTGCACGAACTCGTAGACGTAGACCTCGTTCTCCTTGACATTGCCGGTAAGCACCGTGATCTTGTAGCGGAGCATCTTGCTCTCGTCGCTCTCCCTGGGCGTGAACTTGGGGAGGTAGGTCTTCCTGCTCGCGGGCTCCTGTGCGTCGGGCTTGATGTTGTCTGCGCCGGAGCCTTCGTTTCCCTGTCCGTCCCTCCTCATCGGGTTGGCGACAACTGTCCAGCGGAAGCTGCCGAGCGGGAGGCACTCGGGCACGATGTCCCCGCTGGCGAGCCTGCGGAAGCGGACGGCCGCGAAGCCGCACACGAAGAAGCTCCGGATGCAGTGGGCAAGGAAGGGCTTGTAATACATATTCAAAAATTTCTTGAATCCAGGGATGCTGGGCTTCTTATCGACGACAACGTCTATGTCTCTTGAAAGGCACATCGCCTGTATCGTCGAAAAGGAAACATTGATGACGGGTTCGTAGCTTGCCATCTCCATCAGCTGCCAGAAGCTCTCCTCCTCATCGTGCCTCCTGAACTTCTCCTTCCTCATCATCGCATCCTGCGACATGCGCATGCGCTTGTAAGCCCCACCGTCCATCGATCTCGGGCAGGGCGCCCGCGCGGCTGTTATATCCCCTCCCCATCTCAGATCCCATCCCGCGTCATCCTCCTCTGGTATGTCTGCACGACATCCCAGGAGAAGGGAGACAGATCCGGGATGGGCTTGGTCAAACTCTGCCGAAGGATAGTGATGCCGATCTCGTTGCAACAGAAGTACACCAACCCAAAGACAAGGGTTGTGTAGAAGGCGAGCTGCTGCTCCCCGTTGGCGCTCGAGGAGAGAATGAAGGTCAGGGCGACGCCGCCCGCCATGAAGAGGGTGAGCAGACAGTGCCACACACTAAGATAAGTCTCCTGCGAATCCCTCTTCTTGAGTTCAGGGAAAACAAAGATGTAATACAGCATGAAGTATGCGATGGATGTAAGAAGGAAGCACAGGACGCCCCCCACGATCTGTGAATCGGTCATGCTCATCTTCTCTTTTCAATTCATCAATAAGTATTAATAAATAGACTCAAACGATCATAAACTTCATGTTCTTCCGAGCAATGTTGATCATGTAGTCACATATCCCCATCGTCTCGTCGAAGGAATGCATCATGAACTCGAGATTATCATTCACCACATCTCTTGAAAAGCTCTTCATACGCTCGCGGAAGTCAGTCCCGACCTTCATCTTGTTCATTTTCATGGTGTAACTCTGGACAAAGCAGACGACGACATCCTGAAGGTTAAGCGGGTCTCCCTTCTCCAGCTTCTTGCTCCGCAGGCTCCAGTAGTCCAGGTCCGAACCCATGAAGACCATGTCCGTCTGACACATGAAAAGGGTTTGCTTCAGCAACCTGTCGTCGACCTTGAGCTTGTCGAGGAAGTCATTGATCATGGCGGCATGCTTTTCAATCCTAGGATCATCCTTTGATGGCTTCTTCTTCTTCAAGGATGGCTCATTCGAAGTCTTTTGCTGCATGATCTGATTGGCGCTCTGCAGTAGCACCTCTGCGTTATTCGTCAATTCTTCGACATTTTCACGCGGGGCAGGCTCGTCGGATCCTTTTTCTTCAGTCTCCATCACTTCCTCTTCCTGCGGTAGGAAGATGATTTCAACCAGATCGCAGGGCACAATATCGTCCTTATGAATAAATGATTCTGTCTCAGGTACATCAGGGGCAGGAGTGTTTTTCGACGACGATTGCTCCGGGACCTTTGAAGGTGGCTGCTCCAAAACATTGGAAGTTGGCAATTTCGGAATCTTGAATGGCGACTGCTGCGGGATCTTGTCAGAGGGAGTTCCTGACTCCATCTCCTTGCGCTTATGGCTGTCTGGAAGTGGTGCCTTTTCAGATGGACCATCCGCGCCAAGGCAAAGGATGGCAAACTCATGCACCTTCTCTTCATCAAACTCCAGACGGATACAGCTGCCATCTCCAAACTCGAGGGAGGAATAGAATTGCTCGAAGATACCACGGATGCTGTCGTAGATACACCTCCCAATATTTTCACGGTCACACAGGGCAAGGGTAAGACGCAAAATGCTGATCAAATTATCATGATTCACCATGGTGGAGCTGGACAACTTCCTTATCAATGCGCTGATGGATCTGGTAAAGATGACATCGTTCTGTAGACTCTCCTCGGGAAGGACCCGGAGCTTACCGAGCTCTTCAAACTTTACCGCCTCCCTCATGATGTTGAAGACGGCGTCTGCATGGCTCCCGTAGGCGGTAAGGGCGGGTCGGTTGGCCTCATCCCGGATGTTAAACAGCATCGAATCCGACTTCCCAATAAGGAGCTTCAAATTCCCGACAATCGACATGCATGTCTCCTTGGTCTGAAACTGGCTGACAACCTTGTATGATTTCACGTCATGCGGAATCTTCCCATTCCTCACAAAATGCTCCTCCGGTACAAAGTTGACATCGACCTTGCCCTTCCGCATAATGATGCAACGACGCTGCTTGACGGCGGTGAAGATTTCATGCTGGAACTGTCTCCAGTCGACCACCCAGGTGCACATTTCCTTGGAGAGTAGGAATCGGAGTGGTATGGTCCAAGGAGTGCCGGGCATCTTGCAATTCTTGACATAGAGAAAAATCTCCACCCTCGGCTTCAAGTCGTCGAAGTGGAAGGTGGTGATGGCGCATATGCCCTGCACGAAGAAGGCGTACTTCTCCGTCGGAGTGAAGTAGTAGTAACCTGCAGGGATGTATTCGGTGAAGGGTAACAGGGAAAGGTAATCAGAGAGCTTCACGCAGCTCTGCATGCCCACATCTGACATCTGATTCTTCCGCATGTAAGAGATTGGAATCTTGGCGCACGCGTCCTCCATTCTCTTGTAGAAGACGCCCATTAGTCCGTTGACGGTGGTCCACACCGCCCTCTGCACTATGGTGCGGTATTCAGTAAGGTGCTTGTTGGCCTTGATTCCCGTCCCCCGGTAAATGCAAATAATATCGATAGAGCGGAGGAATTCCATCGCCCTCTCCTCCGCGATGCACACGCTGCCCCAAATAGAGGCAATTCCCTTCCGGCTCACGCAGCAGGTCTGGAAGGCATTGACCATGTGCCAGCTGCCTAGCATCATGATGCTCCTCACATCCACATCGGCCAACTGTGTGGTGCAGGTAAGCTCCTGCAGACAGGGGACGATATGACGACTGTAAATGGCACTCCCCTCCATGGAGTCGATCTTCCGGTTGCAGCCCAGGCTGAGGAGAAAGCAGAGGTAGCTGAAGAAGTCCATGTCACAGACTCGGAGGCACTCGAGCTGCTTAATCTTGGCCTCCGAGTGCTGCACGTCCTCCTCTCGCATCTGCTTCAGGGAGGAGATCAGACGGGCACAACACTTTGCCCCATCCTTGTCCATCAGCAGCTTCTGGTGAAGGCGGGCAATGATGGGGCCGGCGATACCCATGCAGCGATTGAAGTCAATCACAACGTAATCTTTATCTTTGAAGACTCCGTCAAACTCCAGACCATTCATGACATCAGAAAGAAACGAGCGTATTTCCTTGTTGTTCTTCGTGAAGAAATCGGACTGTTTTGAGCGCAAGCTCTTGTCGTTTGAGCACACATATTCCGTGACACCTTTATCTCTGAAAACGATGAATTCCTTCTTGCTTGTATTACCTGCATTGCATATCATATCAAATTTTCTCCCCATTCATCTATCTCTCACCTTCATTGTCCTTATCACTCCCTTCATCCTCCTCTGAGTGGTCCGCTGGGGGAGGGGGAGGGAGTGCCTCGCTGCTTCTCGCTTCAAATATGCGCTGATCTGAAAATAATGGGAGTCCTGATGACAATCACACATAGTAAGATAATTTATGAATCCAAGAAACAAGCAACAAGAAAGAAAAATCAAGAAAGGATCAACAATTAACCTGCACTCTCGTCGGGATATGTATCGAAGAAGTCACCGAAGCCGTCCGGATGGAAACTCATGTCCAGGTTCCCGTCGAGCTCGAGCTCGTGCTGTATATCACACCCCGTACCAGCTGCACCCTCTTCTTCCACACACCCTCTTTCCTCCGGCTGCCGCGGTCCTCCGCCGCAAGGCTCCACCCCGCTCCCCCCACCCTCGGCATAGCATGCATCACCCCTTATAATGCTGGCATAAGACATACCACTGGTCATACTAAAGCGCAGGCTCACCTCAGCGTAACACCCACCCGCCTTACCATCCGGAGCGCGTGGCAGCATCGGACGGCGCAATTCTGAAAATCCACTCACCGCCCTGCCCCCAATAAATACCGCGGAGAGTCAATTACCACCCCCATTTCCAGTCTCCCCCGATTGGGAAATTATGGGTGGGGGTAGGGGAAATAAAAAAAAAGTTCTTGAAAAGCCACGGCCCCGTGGCCTTTCCAAAAAAAAACAAATTTCAAAAAATTGATCGAAATTTAAAAAGATTTCAACACCCGAATAATTTCAGGTAAAACTCGAAATTTTTCACCTCTTCGATAAATTTTGAAGTTGTAAGCGACCTGCCAGTGTCAGTCAACACCGGATCGCGTCCGCTCCGGGTGGGTCAGTAACAAGTACAAGACAAGCGCGGCATGCGGGTATCACCTTGGAAGGATAGGAGTTGACAATCCTGACATCCTGCCTGCTTTCAGGACCCTGGACAACGACCTCTTCCATGTTCATACGGATCACCTTGTAAGCCTGTACCCCCATCTGCTCGTATATGATGTAAAGGAACTTCTGTATGTTGCGGAGGAGTTTTTGCGAGATGCGCTTACAGGTCGAGTATATCGACACCTCCACCCCAGGGGCCGAGAACATCATCGCCGCCGCAAACATGCTCACGGAAATGGTCTTGCCGAATCGACGGGGCGTGCTGACAAGGATCTCCTGCGCGAGGTGGTCCCATCCGTTGAGCTCCAAGATCCTCTGGTGATCACGGCTGAACTGGCCGTGCGGGTCTGTCTTCCAGAACACACGGGCACAGGCTCGGAGGAAATCGTTGTGAAACTCCCGCTGATGGTAAGAGCGGTTCCAACCCCTCTGGTCGATCGCCGAAAGCGCGTCGCGGCACATCTGCATTCGCTTGAAGCCATCCATGTCCCTTATGCCCTCCTCCCTCCTCTGCTCCACCCCCCTGACTGCCTGCATACGCAGCTGGAGGGGTGAGATGAGACGGGTCTGGCGCGCCTCCTCCTCCTGCCTCCTCCTCCTCTCCTCTCGCTCCTCCCGCTCGCGGGATATGAAGAGATTAAGGATGGTATCGTAGGCGATGGGCCACATCCCTAGTAGTGTGTTTTGAAGGTACGCTTTAATCACGACTGTTATACTTCCTCTCCACAAGGTAAGTACATACACAACACGCACACATAGTTACTTTGACTGCTTGATGCAATCCCTGAACTTGTCAAGATCATGTGCCACATGCTGGAAAGCGGATAGCTTCTCATCACAAAGTACCAGGTTAGCCCTGAGCATTACATTTTCAGCTTCGATTACCTTGTTCTGCTCTAAGCTCTGCCGGTACTTAGCACGGAGGAAATTGTTCATCTCGTCCGACTTCTTGATCACACTGTCGGTTACCTTCTGCAGCTTGTTGTACTCTTGGGTCACTTGCTCGAGTTTGCGCTTCAGTTCACGGCTCTCCTTGATCAGTTCCTCTTTCTCCTGCTCAATAGAATTGTCCTTGAGCTTATTTTTCATTCTCATGATGACATTCAGAGCATTGTCGAAAATTTCATCATCCTTCGAGGCAGATTCTGAAATAGCTTTCTGCTGCTTGTCCTTCTTGGCAGGCTCCTTGGGAGGCTCCTGCTGCTTGTCCTTCTTGGCAGGCTCCTTGGGAGGCTCCTGCTGCTTGTCCTTCTTGGCAGGCTCCTTGGGAGCTTCCTGCTGCTTGTCCTTCTTGGCAGGCTCCTTGGGAGGCTCCTGCTGCTTGTCCTTCTCAGCAAGCTCCTTGGGAGCTTCCTGCTGCTTGTCCTTCTCAGCAGGCTCCTTGGGAGGCTCCTGCTGCTTGTCCTTCTTGGCAGGCTCCTTGGGAGGCTCCTGCTGCTTGTCCTTCTTGGCAGGCTCCTTGGGAGCTTCCTGCTGCTTGTCCTTTTCAGCGGGCTCCTTGGGAGCTTCCTGCTGCTTGTCCTGTTCCTTCAGCTTGTTCTGTTTCTGTACCAATGCAGAGAAAATATCACTTCCTTCGTCACCATCCTCTTCATCATCATCATCATCATCATCATCATCATCATCTTCCGATGAGGAAGGTATGAGCTCCGGATTCTCCTTAACCAAGTCAAGCGCAGGTTTCACCGTTCGCTTAGGTATGTCCTTGACAAAAACGTCGTTGTGTTTGCGAAAGACGAGGGTATCGACCAGAACATCGGAGTGTGACTTCATACACTGCTTCACGATATTGATAAGTACAGCATTACAACAGTCGTCAAGCTGGTTGGCATGCGGGCTGCACAAAGAGAAACCGAAGAATTTCTTGATCTCAGTAGGATACTTCAGACTCTCCACGCTGAATGATTTGTCCTTCCTGGTGAGAGTCCGAGTCACCAATGCCATAGAACAGCCCTTGTGTGCCCTGTCCCCGTCCAATCCGCACAGTATACAACGGGCTTGGAATTCCTTCTCTTTGTATTTTTCAGGGCACTGAAGTTTTTGAATGTTGTGCTTGAGGGTGAAAGCAGCAGGTGGAACCATGTCAAAGCAGGGAAAGCATTTCTCAGTGATCGGACTCTTCTTCACAAAGAATACATGATTGTGCTGCTTACTCTCTTCAGACGATGTCACAGTCTTGAACCAGTCCTTGAATTCCCACCCATAGCTAACATCAAAGGTCTCATCGTACTGACTCTGCTCGAATGCAGTGAACATGACACCCTGCGACTCGAAGACATCCGGCATCTTAGTCCGCACACGGTGAGTAGGAGCGGCCTTTCCCTTGGATTGGCCCTTCGACGACATAGCGTGGCAATCGGTCGTGGTTTTTGCCTCCGGCGGCAAAGGCTGGGATCAAATAGAGGGGTGGAGCCCACCCCGACGTTTTTTTTTTCATTTGAAGGGAAAAGGGTGGGTGGTAAGATCTTTTGTAAAAAAAAACGCCCCCCTCACGAGACCCACCCTTGAAAAAAAAGGAATAACCCCACCCCACCTTGAATAGAAAAAAAAACTTCACCAAAATCTCAGAATGATCAGCCTGAAACAAACTCACTCACATGATGCAAGAAGACAAGGAAAAGGATCTCTTCCAGCGCTTCATCGAGCTGTTCCTGGAAGGGGAGAACCTGAGAGACATGATGGTCTACATGTGTAACACTTGCACCTCGGACGTTCAAGACCCGATCACCCACACTATCTGCATTTTCCTATCTACCCCAATCAGGATCAGCATCACCAAGATTGGCCTGGCTCCATTTCAAGGTTTCAACACGGCGATATTCCCCTTCTTCTGCATGCGGGAAGAGCAGAAGATCCTGCTTCTTGAAATCCTCCAATTTATGCAGGAGAACAGCAGGGCGACGCTTTCAACGCAGATGGGCGGGGGCGGGATGGCAACGCTGAAGCCCGACGGGCAACGCATCTACCTCGACACATCCGAAGTCATCTTCCAGTTCTTCCAGGCCACCAAGGAGTCCGAGAGGACGGGGATGAAAGCACATGTCAGGGACAAGGTCTGCAACATCATCCTTCAAAGGGTATGCAGCGCAGTTCATATCCCCCGGCGGACGCTGAACGAGATCATGGAGAGGGCAAGGGAATTGTGAATCATTAAACGCTGTTTTATTCTTTTCACGTCACTCATCATCGTCATCCGACTCACGTCCACGCTTCGATGGCCTTCCAAGCTGCTTCCTCAGCACCTCAATCTCAAGCCTCTTCTTCTCGTTCTCGAGCTCAGCAGCCTCCTCATTGAGCTTGTACATCGCCAGCTTGTGACGAAACTCACAAGACTGAGAAACTTGGGGAAGGTACTTTTCCTGTGACTTGTGCCCATATATCATCAAGAAGTGGATCCAACCATCATTCTCCTTGATCTTCTCGGCGTCTTGAACATCCTTCTCCACTTGTTTGTTGATGAAGGTGACATCACTTTCGTTCAACAACCGAAACAGGGCATCCCAGATCACTCTGGCAGACACGTACAAGACATCATTATCATGCATCTCATACACAAAGTCATCAGACTTTTCCGTCTCAATGATCTGCACAGTGAAGTCCACCAAGAACTCATCCAACCTCTTGATGTTCCTAGAGCTTGGATCGATATGCTTCTTCAGCACATCATCGAGGTTGTATAGGGTGGGCCTCTGCAAAAGAACGTCACCGTCAGACTTTGGCAACCAAAAGGAGCGTGGCATCCTCTTGTTGTGTTGGGCCGCCGAGCCACTCTCCGTTTTATACAACCCCGCTCCTACCCCACCTCCGCCAACGAAGCGGATCATTTATCACCACCCTCACCCGTTAAATTACCTGGCACTACCCCGTGAAACCACCCACCCACCCCTCTTTATCCCAATTTCCGCATTTAGGAAAAAAAAGAGGACTCGACCACCCACCCCTTGCAGAGGGGGTTTAGATTTAAATTAAATATACCCCCTGTCTGTACCTAATTACCACGGGTAATAAATACCACCCACCCCAATTAAAGCCATCCACGAACCTCCCGGTCCCCCCAATAAAAGCGGGGTGGGGGGAATTTCGCGCACCCCCAGCTTTCCCCCATGTGTGCCGCCACGCTGCCACACAATCAATGGATCGTGCGCTATTCGCAGGTCGCGGCCTACGGCCACTGCGCCCTCCACTCGTACAACAGATCCCAGTTCCCCCTCCCCTCGTCCATCACCGGCGTGCAGGAATTCACCGTCGGACCGGTCACCGCCTTCGCCGCTCGCACCGCCGCCGGTGACATCGTCATTTCCTTCGGCATCGACGAGGAGGAGGAGCGCAGCATGCTTCAGCGCGGGGGACTGACCCAGCTCGGTTCCGTCTCGCCCAAGTGGAGTGACAAGAGCATCAACGTCAAGGTCCACACCCCCGTCGCGGAGCTGGCCCGCACCTTCATCGAATCGCCGGCGCTCGGCGAGCTCTCCTCCTTCCTCCGCGCGCAGCCTGCCGGTACCGTTGCCTTCACGGGATTCTCCTTCGCGTGCAACGTCGCCGAGCTGGTCCATTTGTCTACTGCAGATTCGGGGAGATTGGCCGCGAGCTCACCTGCATCTTCTTCGGCCAACCCTCTATCGGCACGATGATGTACGAGAGCGTTCGCGTCATTCACCTGCACAGGCATTCGGACCTCCCGATTGAGAAGTCGATCAGCTTCTACCGTCACGATGACAACATCGGCATACTCTTCACGGGGAAGGTACGCGGAATCTTCTACCCCGACTTTGATGGCGAAAGCACTGGTATCATCCGGAGGTCCATCAACTTTGACGGAAAGGTGCATGGCTACCCCCAGCACATCATCTCCACCGAAAGCAAGGAGGACATCCTTGGGGGGCACGACGCGGCCAAGTATCACGAGTGCATCTGTCAGATGGAGGCTTTGGGAGATGACCAGGTCGAGAATATCCCATACGAGAACAAGTACAACGCATGCTTCCAATCTGCCACCACCCTCGCACAGAAGATCAGTGAGAAGCACCTGCTCAGCCCCAAGCCGTTTGTCGAGCGCGTCTTCCCCATCCGCGAACCGACAGAGTATTTCCTGGCCATCATGCACGGCAACAAGTGCATAGACGACGGGATCAGCGACGGAGAGACGAAGGATGTCATTCGCAGGGCAGTCCCACAGGACCTTACCAAGCCTTTCATGGGACTCGAGAACATCTCGCTGATGAAGAAATTCATCGACCATGTCGTATTCCTCATCGAGCGCAGCATGAAGAAGGAATCTCTCCCCTTCCCAAGCACTGTCCACAACGTTCGCGACCTTCCGGAGTCGGACATCATCGCCATCTGCACCGCCATCGCCATCACGCAGGACGATCACATATTGAACTCCATCTTGTATCTGCATGTCTTTGATATCCGCCGCAAGGCCTGCGCCATAATGGCCCATCTCCGCCTGATCGTCGATGTATGCAAGATTGCCATCAACTGGAAGGTCGAGTGCATTTGGAACCCCCACTTCCAGTTCGTCACCGACCTCGACAAGTACCTGACTTCTTTCTCCGAGTGGCAAGATGACATCAAGTACAAGCTCGACGACTTCAAGGCAGACAAGGATTTCTGGGAACAGCTCAAGCTTTACTCTGACGATGTCCGCTGCCGCTACTACTTCTTCCTCTCACAGGAGGTCTTGAGAACCGCCAGCAATTACCAGTTGCCCATCTGCGTGCGCAACCCCCTCCTGTTTGCCGAGTCGGAGATCGCAATGGAGGCGCTGCCAGCCCCGCCCGCCTCCTCCGTCGAGCCGAAGATGCGCGAGAATCCATTCATCTTCACCCCGAAGGACCTTCTCAAGCAGGAGACATTCTGGGATGACATGAAGAACTACGCGCACGAGAACAGCATCGATTACAGGTCGATACACATGCTCCGCCTCCTCTGCCGCTACATGGACAAGCACAATGTCGACATCTTCGTCTACCTACCCCCTAGCGGTAAGTAAGATCGAGTTAGTTTGGAGAGGGTGCAGGCGAGACCGGATGGCTGCTGTGTTGCTTCCTCCCTTCTTGCCAGCGCGTGGACGGAGACCATTTGCGACGCGGGCACCTATCACACGCGTGATGCCAGTCCACCGCTGATGGCTCGTCTATATAAAGAAAACCCGCATATATTCAATAAATGGATAAAATGCATATCATCTACTCCCTCCTCATTCTGATCATGATATTACCAGAAAGTAGATGTCAATGTCCGGTTAACTATATCCAATGTGGAACCGGTTCCTCGTACACCTGCTGTCAAAGTTCACAAAAGTGTGATCCAATTTTGATTCGATGTTATTCAAGTTGTGATATAGTAACAGGTTACTCGGCTTGCGGAACAACTCTATGTTGTCCAAATCAATATACTACATGTGTTAGCAATCAATGTACGCCTATTTCTTGTGCAACAGGAACTACATTGAATTCTGCTACAGGACAATGTGTTTCGTCTGTAAGCTGTGGAGCAGGAACCACATTGGATTCAAATTCAGGAAAATGTATCTCGTCAATAAGCTATGGCCCAGGGACGTACTCCACTGGAAGTGCCTGTAATGCTACTATCCAGAGCTGTGGAGCAGGTACTGCTTTATCAGGTACAACCTGTGAGTCTGCCATCCAGAGCTGTGGATCAGGTACTTCTTTATCAGGGACAACCTGTGAGTCTGCAATCCAGAGCTGTGGAGAAGGAACCACATTGGATTCTTCTACAGCAGAATGTGTTTCATCAATAAGCTATGGTCCAGGGACGTACTCTACTGGAAGCGCCTGTAATGCTACTATCCAGAGCTGCGGAGCAGGTACTGCTTTATTAGGAACAACCTGTGAGTCTGCAATCCAGAGCTGTGGAGAAGGAACCACATTGGATTCAAATTCAGGAGAATGTATCTCATCAATAAGCTATGGTCCAGGGACGTACTCTACTGGAAGCGCCTGTAATGCTACGATCCAGAGCTGTGGAGAAGGAACCACATTGGATTCTTCTACAGCAGAATGTGTTTCATCAATAAGCTATGGTCCAGGGACGTACTCTACTGGAAGTGCCTGTAATGCTACTATCCAGAGCTGCGGAGCAGGTACTGCTTTATTAGGAACAACCTGTGAGTCTGCAATCCAGAGCTGTGGAGAAGGAACCACATTGGATTCTTCTACAGCAGAATGTGTTTCATCAATAAGCTATGGTCCAGGGACGTACTCTACTGGAAGTGCCTGTAATGCTACGATCCAGAGCTGCGGAGCAGGTACTGCTTTATTAGGAACAACCTGTGAGTCTGCAATCCAGAGCTGTGGAGAAGGAACCACATTGGATTCTACTACAGGAGAATGTGTTGGAAGTGCCTGTAATGCTACTATCGAGAGCTGCGGAGCAGGTACTGCTTTATTAGGAAAGACTTGTGAGTCTGTCATCCAGAGCTGCGGAAAAGGTACCACTTTAAACGGCAAGACATGTAACCCTGACATAGAATCATGCGGTCCTGGTACAAACTTGAGCAATAAGACATGCAGCAGAACATATAGATGCTCACTATGCAGTGGGTGGACAAATGCATCGGATTGCAACGATACATTTCCTGGGGTGTGCGATATGAATTCGAATCAAACGGTCGCACCGATCAATATACGATATGTTCAATCAATCAGTGCGCAACATACTGGAACAAATGCTTTCTGTGTTACCAGCACCATACTGTTTTCCGTAATTATTGGCATCTTTCTGCTTGTTATCTGTTGTAAATCTGAGCCAACAAAAAACAATCTACACGCCGCATTCCCAAATCAATTTGAGACGAAAGCCGTAAGACTTATGATTCCAGCTCAATATACTTAATTAACAATATCTGCAACATCATTATCCAGAGCGTGTGCAGCGTCGTCCACATCCCGAGCGCACGCTCAACGAGATGATGGAGAGGGTGCAGGCGAGACCAAGTGGCTGCCGTGTTTAGTTATCGCATACTCGGGGATATAATTAGGCGAGACCAGAGACGGTAAGTTCATAAAAAGCGGGACATGATCTACCTCCTCCACCGCCTCTTCGAGGACAAGAGGCTGACCTGCGTCCTCCTGATGACCTGGATGGTGATGGTGCTGGCGATCTTCTCCGAGCTCGGGGTGACGGACTCGAACTTCATGACGCTTGGGCCGGGTGAGCACTCCAAGATCATGGGCGTGGAGATCAACAGCTGGTACAAGTGGAACTGCGTCGCCGTCTTCACCTTCGTCTCGACCTCCATTAACGACTTTGTCGGTGACGCTATCTCCCCTTGGATCCAGAACACCATCCAGGACCACAAAACCAAGTTCCTCCCCTACTCGAAATTTACCTGCATCATGATCACGCAGATCTGGGCGCTGTACTGCTGCGTCATGAACGTCTTCGCGCTCTTCGTCATGCTCTCCCAGGTCGACTTCCTCATCATCCGCATCTGCGCCGACCTCATCGTCAACGTCTACACCAGCCTGAGGTTCATGAAGGGCAAGGTCGTCGATCCCGAGCGCTACGCCGCCTGGATCAGGTCCGAGGGACCGGGGCACACGCAGGCCCACTGCTGCCACACCCCCGAGCCCGGCATCCTCCTCCCCTCCGTCGCCGTGAGACAGGAGCACGACGAGAAAGCTGCCGAAGACAAGCATGCCAACGAGACCGAAGAGCCCGAGAGGAGGGGGAAGAGCATGGACCGCCTGTTGGTTGATATTCACAAGCACCCTTAGCGGTACATTCCGTTTTGGTAGTCCCGGAAAGTCGAAGCCACGTCTTGAAGGTCCGAGCGGATGACACCAAGTTGGGCGAATAGAAGTCTATCATCGGAGTTGATCGAACCCGACACAGTGAGAATATGCTTAATGTCATCTTTCATCTTGACGATCCCATCTACAGCCATTTTCAACGAGTTATACTCGTGCTCCAGTCTGTACACACGGTCCTGTATATCCTTTGATGGTTCTGCATCGCCCGCGTTGCTTTGAGCGTGCTGCTCCTTTGCGCAAAGATCCACAAATTCAAGTATTTTCTTCAGGTTATCCAAGTTTTGATCAACGCGCTCCACCGCAACAAAGATTTCTTCTAGCTTTTCATTGAGTGGTATATGATGCTGCTTATTAAATTCGTTTATCTTATGTTGCATTTGATTGAAAAAATCAAGTACAGGATTCACCGCATCCAAGCGGGTCTGGTGTGATTGAATGATTTGATTCATATAATCTAACTTTTCTTCAAGGTTTTGCAACCGCAGATTCGTATCATCCATCACACCCGTAGTACCTTGCCGATTCCTTGTTTTAATAACCTTAAATGGATTCTCCCAACAGAGCCTCTGTGTCTATATACATAAGATGGGAGAGCGAGCGCACCAAAATGAAACCGAACTTCAGCATCGGTGAGGAGGACGGGGAGGAGGCGACGAAGCCCCCACCAGAGTCAAGCGGCGACAACCCCATGCGCAAGAGCCCGATCCAGTGTGTCTTCGTCTTCCGGCGGCCGGTGATGCTATCCGACCGGATCATCAAGCTCATGACGGGCCCCTTTGCACACGTGGACCTGTACGTGCATCGGGAAGAGAAGCCCAACGACAGCCCGAGCCTCACCACTTTCATGGGCGAGCACTTCAGCATGTCGGTGAACATGCGAAAGTCCTACAACAGTCGGGACTATGAGGGACTGCACCTTCGCCTCGATCCAGTAGAAAGCACGAAGCTCTTCGATTACGCCATCGACCTGGTGGAGCGCCGCGTGCCGTACAACCTCGCCGATCTGCTGTACCAACCGCTGAAGACCGTCCTCCCGGACAGCGGATTCTTCGAGGACGTCCCCAACGAAAGCTCTCTTCAGGTCAAGAAGGTCTTCTGCTCCCAGGCCTTTGTCCTCGCCCTGCGCAACAGCCTGCACAACGACGAACTCGCCGGGGCGCTCATTGACGAGAGCCCAATCCAGCGGAAGAAGCTGCTCTGGAGGCTGATCAGCGAGAACAGCCGGCTCTGCACTCCCAGCGACCTCTACCACATCATCAGGCCTCACTGCAGGAGGGTGGACATGGACCGGCTCCGGCACGGCCATTTGTCTTACACATAATCTATGAAATACCTACGGAGTGGCTCCTAGACTCCTTCAATATAGACAGCTTTACATGGGCTACGGAGCAGCGGAAGATGCTGTACCACCTCTGCACGAGGGCGTCGTCATCCTGGAAGAGCCTGCAAAGCTGGTCGACTTCGTCGGTGTCCTGTCTCCCGACCCATACCCGCACCTGGTTCTTGACGATGTGCTCGATCTTGCAGCAGAACCACAGATAGAGGATAAAGGGGGAGAACTTCTGGTGAACCACAATCGAGAATGAATCCTTCCCCTGCCTTCCCACCTCCACGCACATGTCCGACCTGGCTCCCGAGATGCTGCAGATGAACCACCCATTCTTCCGTCGTACGGGGGGTGCGGAGCTCGTCATCACCTCCAGGCAGAGACGGTACAGCTTCTCCTTCCCCTGTGTCTGCAGCGTCTCCACCATGGCCTGCACAGACTTGATGTCTCCCATCACCTGCTGCACCCCCGCGTGAACCTTGATCGCCCAGACATCGGCGTTCTCCTTGCATTGAGAGAAGTACCGCTTGTACTGGTTGTCGTCCCCGATGACCTCAAAGGCCTTGTTGCAGCAGTAATCCTTGAAGTTCTCATATGTGCTGAAGCATGAGGTAGACTCACAAATCTCCTCCTCCACCGCCACATCCTTCGTCGCACACACGATGCCGCGCAGCTCTGATACAAAATCCGACACACTCATCTGAGGCCGGCCCGGCATTGCTTGCCCCTACGCTTGCCGTTGAGCCCCGCGACCGTTTTTTTTTTAAAAAAAAGAATTCAAATCCCCCTCCGGACCCTTTTTTAAAAACAGGGCCGCCACTGGCCATTCCCACGCACCACCTACCACGCATGGCCACCACGCCGCAGCTCGCCCCCTGGCTCATCAAGTCGCTCAACGAGGACACCATATTCGTCAAGCTTGCAAGAAAGGCAGAATGCAGCGAGGATGAGGACGACTTCGACGGGATCCTGTCCCCGCTGCCGACCAAGGTTGATCTGCAGGTGCCAAATACCCCAGTGAAGAAAAGGAAGACCTTCACGCCGATCCACTCGCCGGTAGAATCCGACGCCGAATCCTCCTCCCTATCCGACTCGGACTTCTCCTTGAATGAATAAAAAAAAAGGGATCCATCCATCACTTAGCACACCCCCGCACCACGCACGGCAAAACAACATCGATGTCCCTCTCAGGGAAGTACGACCACGTCCTGATCCACAGCATCATCGACCCGGCGTCGCTGCCCGCCTTCACCGACTTCCTCATCGAGATGAGCAACTACATCGTCGCCCCGAAAAACGAGCACAGCGACGCGGTGCAGAGGGCGGCGTTCTACGGCTTCGGTGACATCCATTTCCGCGTCTCAGTCTTCCGCCTCCTGCAAGCATGCTTCATGGCCGAGTGGTACTGGTCCTCCGAGGTAGTGCCACACCGCTGGGAGATGCTTGTCCACATCCCCACAAGGCACAACATCACGGCCGCCCAGCTCGAGCGCTTCTGCTCCTTCTGCCGCAACGGGATCAGCTGCGACGTCATCGAGCGCGGCATCAACAACGGGCTCGTCGTCTTCCTCGACCGCATCGACAAGGGCAAGAACCACGCGGGCTGGATGCGGCACCGCCTGCGCATCGCCTGCGACCGGCACAGGGAGCGGATGCGGATGCAAGAGGAGCGGGACAGGATACGGAGCGAGACGGGCATGGAATTCACCACCAGCAACATGCTCTACTTCTATCACGAGTGGCAGAACACCCGCATCGACATGCAGGCCCTCCGCGAGACGATCGAGGAGCTCAACAACAGGAACATCCAGATGACCCGCAGGGTGCACGAGAACGCCAGCTTCATAAACACCCTCTGCACCTCGGTGATGAACATCGCGGAGTCCATGCGGGCGGAGCTCAACGGCGAGGCGCTCGACGCCTTACAGGAGCACCTGACCCGCATCCAGGACATGAGCCGGCAGGCCAACAGCCTCTCCAATAACCTGCGCACGAGCTCTGTCCTCTACCGGTCGAGGACGGGCAACACCCTCGACGACCTGCTCATCGTCGTCGGGTCGGACGAGGATGACGGAATGGTCATCCAATAAAGGATCATTAAAGAACGGAAGACCGCGGCTTCCTGATGCAGATCAGCAGGTTCTTGTACACCCGCGGACTCTGCTCCGACAGCGTCAGGAGGTAGTCCTGTTGGTACCGCTGATCGAACCTCGCGTCGTTGCTATCCAGCATCCGCCACGCCACGAACGTCCAGTCCTGACCCCGCATCCATCGGTGGCACACGCGGCAGAACACCCGGAACACACTCCTCACGCACTGGACGTGCTGGACCGCCGCATTCCCCCCCTTGTACACCATGGGGGAGACGATCCTCAGACCCTCCGGCCCGTACGTCAGGCGCTCTTCCGAGAGGGGGCCAAAGGAATGCCCCTGCATCGCGAGCTCGTCCTCTCTCTGCAGCAGGTCCAAGAAGTCATGGATCAGGCGGTTGTACCCCCACGGGCACTCCATCGCAGTATCCAGCCTACTCTGCATATGCTGCATACTTTACCGTCCCCCTCCCATGCACTCCCCAAATACACGGATGGAACGAAGCATTACACACAATCCATTTATTTACGATCCAGGCAATGGCACAAACAAACAAAACAAAACAAATGGCCCCGGGGTCATCCAGGAACGGGAAACACACGACCGCAGCCAGGCGCTTCCTCCTCGGCTTCATCCTCGCCATCTTCTCCCTGCAGATCTTCGCCATCTTCCTCTCCATCCAGATCTCCAAGGCCCTCCGCAACGTCCACCTCCCCCGCCTCCTCCCCGAGGACATCGGCCTCCTCGTCGCTTCCAAGGCATACACCCACTAAGCTCACAACGTCGCAGTCTCCGCAGGGAAACGCACGAAGCCGTGCCGGATCTTGTACGCTAGATCCATCAGGTCCTTCCCGGCCAATCTCCGGACACTTAGCCTCCTGGCGGGCCTCCAGGGGGTCTGAGGCGGGGCTGAAGGCTGCAGTCGCTCTACTGACGGGCCCGGCCGGCAGGATCCGTCGAGAAACAGGGGGGTCAAGGGAGGTTTTCTTCCCCCTGGGAGAAATGTCCTATGGGTTTTTGGATCTGCGATATAAAAAAGTCTTGTCTCGGTCACGTGATGTGTCACGTGACCGGTCAGGTGAGCCTGTCAGCCGGGTCACGGCCCCTGTCAGCCGGCTGACATGTCACGGGCCTGCTGACACGGTCCGCTGACCGGTCACGGCCGCCCGGAGAGATCAGGCCCCCGGCCAATCTCCGGACACTTAGCCTCCTGGCGGGCCTCCAGGGGGTCTGAGGCGGGGCTGAAGGCTGCAGTCGCTCTACTGACGGGCCCGGCCGGCAGGATCCGTCGAGAAACAGGGGGGTCAAGGGAGGTTTTCTTCCCCCTGGGAGAAATGTCCTATGGGTTTTTGGATCTGCGATATAAAAAAGTCTTGTCTCGGTCACGTGATGTGTCACGTGACCGGTCAGGTGAGCCTGTCAGCCGGGTCACGGCCCCTGTCAGCCGGCTGACATGTCACGGGCCTGCTGACACGGTCCGCTGACCGGTCACGGCCGCCCGGAGAGATCAGGCCCCCGGCCAATCTCCGGACACTTAGCCTCCTGGCGGGCCTCCAGGGGGTCTGAGGCGGGGCTGAAGGCTGCAGTCGGTCTACTGACGGGCCCGGCCGGCAGGATCCGTCGAGAAACAGGGGGGTCAAGGGAGGTTTTCTTCCCCCTGGGAGAAATGTCCTATGGGTTTTTGGATCTGCGATATAAAAAAGTCTTGTCTCGGTCACGTGATGTGTCACGTGACCGGTCAGGTGAGCCTGTCAGCCGGGTCACGGCCCCTGTCAGCCGGCTGACATGTCACGGGCCTGCTGACACGGTCCGCTGACCGGTCACGGCCGCCCGGAGAGATCAGGCCCCCGGCCAATCTCCGGACACTTAGCCTCCTGGCGGGCCTCCAGGGGGTCTGAGGCGGGCTTGAAGGCTGCAGTCGGTCTACTGACGGGCCCGGCGGGCAGGATCCGTCGAGAAACAGGGGGGTCAAGAGAGGGTTTCTGCCCCTGGGAGAAATGTCATATGGGATTTTGGATCTGCGATATAATAAAGTCTTGTATCGGTCACTAGATATGTCACGTGACCGGTCAGGTGAGCCTG